CAGTCATGACCGACTCTGGGGTTGCGGCGCTCATCTCGCTTTATTGGCCAAGGGAGCCAGTGTACAGCTTCCGGGTCATGTGCCCAGCATGACTAAGCCGCTTCTGGCGAACCAGAGCAGCACACGGAAACGCCGTTTACCTTCCCACCGGAGCGGAACCTATTTATCTACTTGCACTTTGACATGCTTTTGAACTGCTAGGTTAGCAGGAGTAGGGACTGAGCAATGGGAGCTCATTCCGTTGCGGGGATTCGAACTGCCGACCTTCTGATCGGCAAGTCCTAGGCTCTGTGGTTTAACCCACAGCGCCACCCGCGTCCCTTAGAAGTAATGTGTTTAGCACTAATTCTGGACGTGTAGACTTGATTCTGAGCAAACTAAAGCCTCCTGATGTATACTTTGCTCTAGGATAAAGAAGGGCAATCAAATACATTTGATTTTGGGTGTTGAGACTCACGTTAACAGAGGAATGATAGAAATTTGCAGGGAATATCTGGTTTAGTTAGTTACAAAGGATTCCAAAGCATAGGTGTAAAAATCTGATGAAAACTTTTAAGAGTGTTATTTATTCTTGGCCTGTAATAGTCTGCAAACATTGATAGATACTACTTCCCCACTGAAATATGAATCATACCTTTTAATCTTTATCTATGTTGCATGTAAGAGATGTTGCTGCGGGGAGGGGGGATTCAACAACTGGAGAACTCTGAACGGCAACTGTACTTATTTAAGAAACTCTCCACATTTAGTATTTATTATAACCATTTAGTTCACTTTTCCCTTGATGAATAAGACTGCATAATCCTAATCCTCTTTTAAAATACAATTTATCTTGGGACAGAAAATTAATACATAATTAATATGAGGATAATACTTTATGTAGAACACTATTACAGCAGTGAGTTGCATTTCTTTCTTTTTAAAAAAAAAAAAAAATGTTCCCACTCTCCTGAACAGTGGTAGTGCATACTCTCACTCTGTGTTTGTATTTTTTTGCAAACATTTTTGAAGAACATTTATATCCTGGTTTGCAGATTCTATTATTTGTTAAGCACTAGTAATGTGCTTAGTGCTGCTCAAATGAAGGAGGAGCTTAAACTAATGTTTCCATAGCCTAACAGAGTTTGGATTCGATGATTTTGGATGACTGCACAAGCTTCACCAGCGCACTTCTGTGGTAAAGGAGCCCAGGGTTAATAAGCCTTCAACAAAGTCAATTATTCAGAAAATATCTACTGAGTCCAAGTTCTAGCTTTCATTTGTTATCGCAAATAAACAGACACCTGGTCCTGCACATTTAAAAAACAAATCCTGCACAAATCCCCATTCTGTGAATACCGTAATTTTTATGATTGATTTACTTATTGATCAATTCATTAAAAGCAGGCAGAGCTGCCTCGGGAGGGAGTTTTATAATTGGGATTTGACCACTGAACAAGCATTTTCTCCAATCTGACCTCTGCAGGCTTGCTGGATATAGGCAAGGAGGAAAGGGAATGACTAAGTGAAGGCTTGGCTTTTGCCTGGTTCAGTTTATTCTGAGGATGAGAGGAACATCCAGAACGATGTTACGTAATCCCATAATTAGTGAGAAAAGCTGCTGGTGTCGCTGGCATTTTGCTAGACGAAACCAAGGTGCACAACATATGTTTATGTTATGTTGTATTGGTATCATCCAATCTCTATTTTTATTAGGTGCTCAGAATGGCTACATAAGATTATTACAGTACCTTATAATTAATAATATTATATTATTACCTTATATTGTGCTATTCTATTCTTTTTGTTTATTAAATTTCTACACTACCTTTTATTTGAGGATTACACAGCAGTTTACAACATAAAAACACAAAACTGCACAGCAAAAAAAGTTTGTTTAAAACCTCCAGTTTAAAAAGAATTGTTTAATTAGCCAAAGGTCTGGGAGAAGAGGAATGCTTTGCCTGGCACCTAAAGATCTGTAACAAAGGTGCCAAGTGAGCCTCCCTGGGGACAGCATTCCACAAACGAGGAGTCACTGCAGAAAACACTTGTTGCCACCTTCCTGACTTCCCGTGGAGGCACACAAAAAAGGGCCTCAGGTGATGATTGCAGGGCCTGGCTCAGTTCATATGGGGGAGGTGGTCCTTACGGTATTACGGTCCTAAGCCACTTAAGGCTTTATTGGTCAAAATCAGCAGAAACTATACGATATCAGAAACTATACGATAGAAGTTAGGCTACCCCTGTCCAAATAGGGGCACAGCTGGGCCACCAGCCAAAGGTGATGGATGGAAGGCACTCTGTGGCACCAAGGTTAACTGAGACTCAAGCAACAGCAATGGATCCAGGAATACTCATAAGCTATGTACCTGCTCCTTCAGATGGAGTGTAACTCCATCAAGAGCAGGCAACCTCCCATCCATCCGGTCTAGGGAACCACCCACTAACATTGCCTCAGTCTTATCTGAACTGAGCTTCAGTTTGTTGGTTCTCATCCAGTCCATTGCTGAGGCAAGTCCAGCACATTCACTGCCACAACTGCAGATGAAAAGGAGAAATAGAGGTGTGTGCCATGAGCTTATTGCTGACAACATACTCCAAAGCCCTGGATGACCCCACTTGGCATTTTCATGTAGATGCTAAACAGCATGGGTGATAAAATCAAACCCTGAGGAACTCCACCATAAAGTCTCCATGGGGCCAAAGAGAACTGTCCAAGCATCACTTTCTGGATATGACCATCCAAGAAGGGCAGAACCACTCTGCGAGGTTTGATTAAGAGATAATGCCTTGCTTAAGGTCAAATTGAACTTCATTAGTGAGCAGGAGCTTGATGGCATTTGGAATTGAAACATTCAGCAGAAATTAATTTTAATACAAAACCTCTGCTGGACACCTTACCCTAGATATAATCACACTGAGACTCTGGGTTTGGAAAATAAGAAAGCTATGGTGGTGGTGGTGGTTTTTACAGGAAATACATGTTTGTTATGTAAGATCCCTAGTTCTAAGGTGGAGATGGGAAGAGCCATGCTTATTCTTTCATCTTAGCAGAAAGTGTTCCAAGTATGCCTGCTTTCATAAGGACGACATGGAGGAGGAAATGAGGTCAGGTCAGCAACAGAAGAGTATCAGTCTAACCTGAAGCAAGATCAATAGGTGAGCACAAGTATAGTCTAGGATACTTGGAAGCTCCTCTCTATCCTTTCTCATGCAGGTACATAAGCCTACAGTGCAAGCCGAATTGCGCCGAGACTTCCAACAGGGCTCAAACCTGTGTTTCCACAACCCAGCCTTTAACCACTGCAGCACACCTGCTTTCATAAACAGGATGTTCTATATTGGCCAAGCACTGCATCTGGCCCTGATGTACCAAACAGTCATTCTGTCACTAAACCACCAATCTGGCATCTGCTAAGGATCAACCCCGTTCTTACAAAATAACAACAATTTGATATTTAAATGAGTTTTAGGTGTCACTCAGTTACCATATCTTAGTTGCTTAGTCATGTAAGTTTCAGCTGGTTGATTAAATCAGTATAAGTTTGCATACAATTAGACATAATGGAAATCTGTCTAATTAATCAGAGTAATCAAAAGGCAGAACAAAATTGGCTGCCTTTTCAGCAAGTCTCTGTAAGCAGCTCTGGTAGTATATTTTTTGGCTTGGGGTATAAAACTGCGGGAGGCAGTGGAAGACAGGAGTGCCTGGCGTGCTCTGGTTCATGGGGTAACTAAGAGTCGGACACGACTAAACGACAACAACATAAAACGACTACAAATAAATAAAGAGAATCTTTATCGAGAAGTTATTAATGTATTAAGTTAATCCCATGGAATAGTTAATAGTTGAAGCTGTAATCTCACACAAATTCTGAAAGGACTGTAGTAGCCTTATGGTAAAACCCCATTCAGCACTATGAGATCCCTGCATAAACACCCCTTTCCTGCTGTCTGCAGGCAGTTTTGAACATTGGTACCTTTCGAAAGAAGGTATATATAATCTCATGTTTTAAAGTTGAAGTGATACCAGAGTAAGCCTCATTTACAAGGGAATAAGCTTCATTAAACACAGTGAGACTTCTAAATGACATCCACAGTGTCAGTCTGCATACCTCAAGAGCATTAATCTTAGCTATGACTATGTATGTTGTGGTCAGGGCAGGACACGCCCAGGTTTAACTGCAGGGAAGACTGCAGCCCAACCTTCTGCACACAGGGCTTGTTTACATTTTTTGTGCGTCTCAAAACTGGAAGCAACCTCTTTGTGAATTGTTGACTACTGTGTTCATCATGTACGCTGTTCGAAAACTCGATTAAAAACACAAAACCAACCCATCCATTTCGGGGGCACCTTAAAGACCGATATACTGTGTAATTAACAGATTTATTACCCCCCCACCCCGTTTTTTTTGTGTTTTGTTTTTCTTTGCTGAGGACTGCTGCTGCTCCTCTGGAATTTGTCGCGCAGGTATAATACAAGAAAGGATGCAAAAGCAGCGCTTGCCGAGACAGCCCGGCAGAGGCAGGCTCGTAGTAGCGGCTCCGCTTCCAACATCGTCCACGAACCGGCACTTCCTGCCTCTGCAACTCCTCACTCCGGGGACTTTGCAGCAATTTAAAGCGCACGCGTTTCCTTCAGGGGTAAATCCCTGCTGAAGTCAATGGAACTCGCTTCCCCGCAAGGGAATTGCACAGGCTCGCCATGCAGCCTTCGCTCGGGAAGCAACTAAATCCCATCCACTTCAACGGGGACTTGCTCTCGCGTAAGCCTTGCTCTCACACCCTCGCCGCAGCTGCTGCCCTTACTGCAGCGCCTCCGCCCGCTTCCCGCGGCACGCTCGTATCAGCGCCGGCCTCTTCCCTCCAATCACCGCCCGGAGCTCCCTCAAGAGCCAACTTCATTCGCCACCCGCTTCTCGTCGGGGGCTCTCGCGAGATGTTACGCGGAAGAAGCCGGGCGCTCCTCTCCTCCTGTCTTTCCGCCCCCGCCCCGCCCCGCGCTTAACTAGTTAGGCAGGCAAGGCAAGGCAAGAGCAGGCGCGCGGGGGATCCTCTCGGGCGGCGCTTTGGGGCGCTTGTGGGCGGGGCCGAGGGAGCGCGCGCGCGCAAAGCTTGCGAGGGAGCGTTCGGCCGCGCGGTGCTGTGTGGGAACCAGGCGGCGCTTGGGCTTCCCCGCCTCCCCCTCCTCCTCCTCCTGGGTGCGGAGCGCCGCCGCTGAGGGAGGCAGGCGAGGCAAGGCAGGGCGGGCGGGCGAGTGATAGCTAGCTAGCTAGGCGATAGGGAGCGGGAGAAGAAGGGAACCAGAGCCGAGCAGGGCATGAAGATGGCGGACGCCAAGCAGAAGCGGAACGAGCAGCTGAAGCGCTGGATCGGCTCCGAGACCGACCAGGAGCCGCCGGTGGTGAAGCGCAAGAAGACCAAGGTGAAGTTCGACGACGGCGCCGTCTTCCTGGCCGCCTGCTCGAGCGGAGACACCGACGAGGTGCTCCGGCTGCTGGAGCGAGGCGCCGACATCAACTACGCCAATGTGGACGGGCTCACCGCGCTGCACCAGGTCTGTGTTCGGGCCCCCGGGGGCTGCTGGGGCCTAGCTGGGAAGGAGCCCTCCGCTGCCCGGGGAGTTGGGTAGAGGAGGCAGCCGCCTGAGGTGCTTGTGTGAGGGTGGGAAATGCCAACAAACATCCGTCTTCCCTCAGAGCGCAACGAGGAAGACGTTGGGAAGGACCCCCCCTCTCTCTCCCGCCTCCCGGCCGTTAGAGAGGAGCCAGGCCGGCTAAGCGCATCCTTGTTTGTGCCGTAGGAATGTTGTGTTTTGCTGAGGAGGAGGAGGAGGAGGGTGCTTCCCTGCTTGCTTGGGCGGGTTAGGCCGGGGAGCCGGGCCTTGCTTTTTTGCCTGCCTGCCTCCCCTCGCCCGCCCCCGGCAGGCAGTGACAATTGCGAGGCTCCTCTTCCTTCCTCTCTTGCACTTGGCAGGGTTGAGGTGAGGCGTGGGGTGGGGAGACTCCTCCGAGGGGGGAAGGGGACGCCGACTACCGGGAGGGAGGCTCGAGGGCTCCCCCATTCGTCCCCAGTATATGGCCAGGAATTGAGAGAATAAGCTCCCTTCCTTACCTTCGAGAAAAGGGGGCAACCTCTGGCAGTGATGGAAGTGGCTGCCTGTCCCGCAGTTTGAACGGCTGCCGTTTCCTGCCCCCGGTGTGAACGCTGTCGTCTCCCTTCCAAAAGATTAGACTCGCTGCTCAAGCTCGCTCTCCTCCCGAATAATCCTAAATAGTTCGCATGCTCTCTCTCTAAAAACAAAACAAAACTTGTGTTACAGGTCTTGAATGGTACTTGTTCTGCGGTGTGAAAGGCAAACTCGAATTCGTGTTTGGTATGCGTGTTTTTGCCCCCCTCCCCCCCAGTCGTTGTAAAATAGTTATAGCGATTTTACCTTGTTTTTGTTTGGCCAACTCCTTGAAACTTAACGTTTTAGTGAAAATGGAAGGAATACCACTTGTGAGGTTTTCTCAAAATGGATGCTTTGTGCATGTTAAAGTTTTATAGGAGTCTGATTGGAATCTCATAATGTTAGCCAAATAAGGAAAGACTGTGGCAATCCAGAGATAATGTGGGTTTGCTTGAATACGTTAAGGTTCTATTAGCAGGCCAAAAGCAATAACAACGTTAGGGTCAGTGAATATCAGAAAAGCAAGTATAATCATTTTGACAGTTTGATTTTGGTTTTCAACTCCAGTTGGCTTGGTAGCATCATTGAGATATAGTAATTAGTATCTCCTGTTGAATCAGGTAGAAATTCTCTTTGCAGTATATTGGCTGGTTAAGTGTGCAGACTCTTTTACTAATCTCTGAAATACGCATTTCAATTTAGTATGTATTAAAAATTTATGATGATGAAATGAATATGAGGAAAGCTTCTCTGTTGTGTTGCTTCAAGAGAGCTGAGGATGGCTTACATGCTGTGCATATCTTGCTTTTTTATTGTGCAAGGTGTATAATCAGTTGTGTCTCCTGAATAAAACCTGCCATTCTTCTGTTGACAGGTTGCAATCGGTTCAGAGAATTCATATGTGTACTATTTACAGAATAAATTACAGAGAGAAGAAACCAAAGGATAACTAAAACCTGTTAGGATGAAAAATGACAAGACTCTAAAGACTTGACTTCATTGTGATTCTTCATCCTGAAGAAATGGCTTTATTGATGAGGCTGCATTTTATTGGGTTAGATGTTAATCTATTTACAAGTTCTAGAAAATCCAAACTTTATAGAACTACTTGTCACAATACTAAAAAGTTGATACTGCAGTGCTAATGAAGTAATGATCATCACAAGATTATAGGTAACGGCACCTCATTGGCTAGCAATTACTGCACATTCTTGGTAGCATAATTTAACAATGTGGGCTTTGTCTGTGTTAAACTTCCTCTTCTGTCCCCTTAGACTAATGTCATTTAGCTTAATATCATAAAATTGGTTAGGCTATAATATCAGTAGGCATCTTGGAAGCTTTGTGAACATGTAGGTAGTTGAAAAGAAAAATCAATGCTTTAATGGTGTGCTTGACTACATATGTTTGGGAGCAAATCCTAGCGGAATTTTCAAAGTATGCATAAAACTTTGGCCATAGGCTCATGTATGTGGTGAGGGAATCTCTGAAGAAGTTCCATATTGGGACTGGCAAAGAATAAAGAACTTGGTGTGTGGAAGGAATTGCTACTGTCTCTACTGGGTGTATTTTTTTTAGGTGTAGTGGGCCATAAGAATCTCACACAGGAATCATTGAGCATGCTTATCTGGCTGCAAGCCCCATTAAACACAGTGGAACTTACTTCTGAGTCAACATGTAAGCCACAGAAAACCAGAGTTCAGTAACTTTGTGCATAATATAATGTGACTGAAAATATTGTTAACTTTCCAAGATATATTGCATCTGTCAAACTGTATCCCCCAAATAGGTTTTTAAATCTGGAATTTCATTGACTACTTAGAGCCCGTAATATGCTCTTAAACTTAAAACTTATTCATACTAAGGAAATGTCACTCAGCTGCTGTTAGGACCGTGTGTACTGTTAATGGAAACTGAAACTTGCTGCTGCCATTGCTGGGCAAAATATATATGGTGGCTGGATCAGTTTCTGTTGGTGCATACACATCATTTGTCAAGACTGAGTTTGGAATGCACATGCTCAACAACATGATATGGTGCATAGAATCATAGAATTGTAGAGTTGCAATAAAAGCAATTTTACTTCTCTGTGTCAGCATTCAAAAAATTTTTAAATGCAGCTATGTGATTTAGTGTTTTTAAGTAAGGGCCAGCCACGCTGGTTTAATGTGGAAAGACTTACCTATTATGGATCACTACTTTGTTTATTCTTTAGTCTTCTGTAGTGGTAACATGATTTTGGTTTAAAGAGATGAATAAGTTTTGTATATTTGTGTGAAAAGAAAGAATCTGTTCAGTGTTATTCTTCTCTGATGCAAAATGAGAGTGAAAGATGGTTCAACATTGTTGTCAGTTGATAGCAGTTATTAAAATTTTTGAATTTTGGTGACTTCCTAGGTAGGAAATTCTTCTGCAGAAGCCATTTTCCATAACCTTACTGGTCTTTTGATGTCAAATCAAACATAACTGGCACAGAGCAGTAGCTCATCTCTTTCTGAGATGAACTAGAATACAACTTCATCTCTTTCCAAAACTTGTATGTTCCTGTGTAAGAAAGGTACATTTTACTTACTGTCTATTTTCGTTGGTAAATAAATATTAATGGCCTCCAAAACCTGTTGGCTTCTAAAGCTCATCTTCATATAGATTCAAAATATATACAGTGGTACCTCGGGTTAGATACGCTTCAGGTTACATATGCTTCAGGTTACAGATTCCACTAACCCAGAAATAGTACCTTGGGTTAAGAACTTTGCTTCAGGATGAGAACAGAAATTGTGCTCTGGCAGAGCTGTGGCAGCGGGAAGCCGCATTAGCTAAAGTGGTGCTTCAGGTTAAGAACAGTTTCAGGTTAAGAACAGTTTCAGGTTAAGAACAGACCTCTGGAAGGAATTAAGTACTTAACCCGAGGTACCACTTTATTCATATGAACTGCATTTATGGCGTATGAACTTAATTTTCCTTTTAAAAGCTGTTTTGATGCATGCTAAAATGCGTTGTTGGCTAGTGCTTCTGGCTGTGACTTTGTGCACATTGCTTTAGTTAGATACAACATTGCATTTCCAAATAGCTCAATGCAGGTTACAAAAATAAAAGTACATTTAAGTTAGAAATGCTAGCCAGTGAATTGGAACAACAAATAAAATAATCACTGAACATGCCAAAAACAATCAACCGAACACTGAAGAAGATCATTTCTTTCCCTGAATGGACAAAGCATTCAAGAACAATGGGGCTTCAGCAGAAAAGGCCCTCTCCTCCCCTTGCTAACACTAAATTTATTTGGCATAGATAATGCATACAGAGCAGGGCTGGTCCCTTAGCTATGTGTGTCCCATGGTGTGACATTAATTCTTAAAATGAGCACCTTGAATTGCACCAGAAGCACAAAGGCAGCTTTTGCACAGCACAAGTTGTTTGTGGGTGTGCCTTGCAACACCTGTTAGAAAGCAAACAGCCACTTTTGCATCAGATGAAGCAGCCCCATTTAAAGTGTACTGCATTAGACTAGGTTAGAAGCTACAAAAACATGGATCAGCATGGTAAGATAGGCATGCTAGCTTTGTTCTAACACAGCTTGAGAGAATCCCAATGGATAATTTTCTTCTTTGAACTACCCTCTTCACACATGCTGCAAGCAACACACAAAGGTGTTTTGTAAAAATCATGTGACTAGTGTGTTCATTGACAGGATAATGAACAGTTCCGTTTGTACTAATTCCTGTTTAGTACTTCATAATCGAGAAGTAAATTTAAAATAATAATGTAGAGGGTTTTAATTAGCAAGATGACAAATTACAAGGCTTAGTTTAACACTAAGTCAATAGAACCTGAAACAGATTCAGGATGGACTTGGAAAAGTGTCTTGAAGTGTTTGGCTGGAACTTTGGGTATGTTTCAGTGAAACGAAATGTCTTTAAATCCCATTGGTTTCAATAGGAGACGTGAGCATTGACTTAAATGTCTTCCACTAAAACCAGTGAATTGAGCTCTGTTTGGGGCATTGAGTATGTTAACAGTGGTAGGCTGAGCCTTAAACCCACTTCTTTCCATTTGTCAGTTTTACCTTTCTAAAAAGTTCAGTTGTCAGTATTTTCAAAAACCAGTGGTATATCAGTCATCAGTTAACTTGGTTTTATTGTGAGTTGACTTGAGCAGCTAGTGCTAGGAAGATAGTATAGAAATTAAAACAATACAATAACTAAAACTGAGTGATAGAGTTGTATATTGATCCCCCCCCCATTTTTTCCTTAGGATTTTGAAAGAAGTTATTTTGTAGTGCAGTGATACTAATTCAGTTGACCAGAGTTCATTATCAAGTAAGCTAAATGATTTTGCTTTTGGGTGGTATAATTTGAAGCAATGGACATAATTATATATGTATGCTCTCTTGCTAGGGGTTCAGCAGATCTTTTGTTGCACAAGTAAATCAACTGGGGATAGTAACCCTTGATGCTAAATGTTATTAAGTATCAAGTCTAAGAAGCTTTTAACTACAGGGCACATAACTCGGCTAAGGTTGCGTAGATAAGCTACAGAGTATGCTATTGTGTGTTTGCAATATTTTATGCCAACAGTACAAACATTGAGTTCTTGTTCTGCTGCTTTAGTTAGTTTAGTTAGTTGTTGCTGTATTGGTTGTTGTTGTTAGTTTAGTTAGTTGTTGCTGTATTGGTTCAAGAGAATGAACTTGTTCATTGTGATACCTTTGGTGTAAAACATACAGAAATTGTGATGCTAGGAAGAAATTATTAATAGTGTATCACAGAAAGGTAGTTAGAGTAACCAACCAGTAATTTTTCATGAAATGGGAAGAATATATATATATGAATATATATGTTTCTCACCATAAGCTTGGGTACCATGTAAGTCTGCTGTGTTGACCAGATGCATGTAAAAAGACAACTTGGAGATAATCACGTGATTGGTGAAGACCAGATTCCTTGTTCTGCCTGTTCTCTCAGTGTACTGTATAGCCATTTCTGCTAGTGGCAGATGTTGTCTGTTTTTATGATTTTGACACTCATGAATCTATCAATATAAGAATAGATGTTGCCAAATTAGAAACCTTAATCATTGCTCTTAAACTTGACACCTGTACAGTTTGCCATTTTTTAACATTGTAGTGGTAGCGCAGCATGAACCATTGAAGAAAGAGTCTGCATTAACTTTGAAAAAGTTCTAATTCCCTTAGTTAAAGCAAGTTTAATCTAAGTCACCAAAATATTTATAGGGACTGGAGGCTTCTTTTAATGTTGTTTATCTTCAGGTTTTAGTATTTTTTCCTGGTGAGTGTGGTGCTGCCCTCTGGTGAGAGTGATTACCAATCAGCCTTCCAACTTTGACACTGCAGTGGTGGGTGAGGATCCCTGTCCTCCGCCCCCATACTTGGGATTGGACCAAGCCAGTATCCCCCTTTGCTGACCTTAGGAGTGACAAAGACTGGTAGGAGAGGTCTTCCTTGGGTGCTTGAGGTATCTTCAAGCAGCAGTGTCCAAGTTAACTCCCTGCCTTCCTAATCCTTGCTGAGTGAGTGACTGAAATTTCTGGCTTGGTCAGCAAGGCCAACCAAAAATGGTCTATTCTCTGCTTATCCCTATTGTCTTAAAAATGCAAGTTGTGCAGAGAGCCCTTTCCCCAATATGTATTTTTGTGATGTTTGAATGGTTTATGTGAATGTTGGTTTAGAAGAAAAAAAAAAGAAATTACTGTTTTGTGTGTTGAGGTTGACTGCATGTGAGTATAGAGCTTTCCTGTTTGGTGTAGTCTTAAAGCTTAACTGTAATTCTAAACTGAATGGAGGCATAGCGTGGTTAGCCCACCTTTGGGAATGTGCATTTATTTTCATTGTTTTTAAACATTATTAATATTTAAACTCAAGAATTTAACCCAGATATTTTGTATTTACTTATATAAAATACTTAGAAGTAAAATTTATATTTCTATATTGCAGTACACCTTACATTCCAATTTATTTGTGCTTTGGTTAAAAAAAGGGCAGAATCCAACCAAATGTTTAGCACTTTCAAGTGATAGTGATTCAAGAAAGATATTCAAGAATGCTCCCATTTGAATCAGAGGAATATAAAGGTACTTTTTAAAGTACGTTTGGCTCACCACTTACACAAGGGCTTGGTTCCTGGGATCCCATGCACAAAGGCAGAATGCACAAAGTCTGGAACTCCTGGAACTGCTTCTCCCTGCAAGGCTGAGCGCTGCTTACCTGGATCTGGGGAGGTTGCTGGAGTGCCCTGGGAGCTCACTCCCACAGCCTACCCAGAGTCTGATAAGCAAGGAAAACCTGCTGGGTGCATGGGTGGGGGAAAAACAAATAAATGGGAGATGGCGGCTTTCTTTCTTTCTTTCTTTCTTTCTTTCTTTCTTTCTTTCTGCACCCTCCCTCCACAAGGTGTGATTGCATTGTAAAGTGAGCATAAGTTGCAGGTGTACTCTATTATTTGTGTCAATTATACCTATTTGATTTTAGGGCTACTTAAAATTCTGGCTTGATGTTTTCACATTGGAGAAACCTAAACCTCATTACCACATTGCTGGGACTGGCTCTTTGGTATAAATGGTAACTTACAGGATGTTTGTTGAAATCTAGGTCTTTCTCCAAGCCTCTTGTGAGGTCACACGCAGTGGCTGTGTTCACACAATTTTTAAGTCAGAATATGAGATGCTTTAAGTTTAACTTGTGATGCTTGCTTATTTGGAAGTTTTTAATCATAATTCCTGGTTCATGTGCAGTGAAAATCTATGGTTCATTGCAACTTCCTGGTTTGCGTGAAGGAATAAAAAAAGCAGGAAAGGTATGCATATTCTGATTTAATAAAATCCTGGTTTAATATGTATTTGTGGCTGGTATCATTCTTTCTGCTATTGACTTTTCATATTGTGTGTGTGCATTCATGGATGCATGCATGTTGCAGGGTTGTGTGGGGAGAGCCACAAAATGTATATCTGATTTAGTGCATCTCAGTTCCTTTGTAGAGTATCAAATGCTCTAGGGGAACATCTTCCTGAAGTGGGAATCTGGAACTTGCAACATGCCTTAACATAGCTTAACATGAGAATGGGTAGTATACATCTCCAAAACTACTTTATGCTGAAGATGGAGTTATGTGTTCAGGAGAAAAAGTTACATTTATATTCTCATAGCTGAGGTTTTTGACAGATATTTCACAGCATTTCGCTGCTTGTTTACTGTTAGTGCTTTTGAAATGAACATTTCTAGAGGAAAGACAATACGTTAGAGTGGTAAATTGTATTCTGGTGATATGTGTTGGTTCGGTAACAGAAGTAAGGTTCAACTGGCCAGTGTTAGAAATTAGCCAGATGCCAGGCATATTTTGCAACTGGTACAGGTTCAGTTGTGACCATGTGGAGATCTCTGGCTGCCAGGTTGGTGACTGAAATCTCCATCTGGCTGGCCCTTCGATCTTTCTTAAGCAGGTAAGCAGAATTGCTTATTTATTGTCATGGGTAGGCAAACTAAGGATCTGGCCCAATCACCTTCTAAATCCAGCCCGCAGATGGTCCGGGAATCAGCGTGTTTTTACATGAGTGTAATGTGTGATTTTATTCAAAATGCATCTCTGGGTTATTTGTGGGGCATAGGAATTCTTTCATTCACCCCCCCCCAAAAGAAATATATAGTGCAGCCCCCACAAGGCCTGAGGGACAGTGCACCCCCTGCTGAAAAAGTTTGCTGACCCCTGTTTATTGTATTTATATTCCACCTTTTTGTCCAAGGAGTGCATGGCTCACCTCCCTTCTCAGTTAATCCCTACAATGACCCTGTGAGGTAGGTTAAGAGACTGTGACTGGCCCAAGGTCACCCAGTGAGATTCATGACTAAGTGGGTATTTGAACTCTGATCTCCCAGGTCCTAGTCTGCCACACTAACCCAGGGCTGAAACTAGTCAAAGACCCAGTTTGGCACACACACCCGTGCACATTTTCTTACACACACAGGTTGCCCCCCCCCCAATAGCTACGGCTCTGCTCTAACCATTACACAACACTGGCTTCCTAGAGTACTTCTGCTGTGGGACAGGTATCTAAATTAAGTAGGTAAATATGGGGAAAGCTAAATGTCACTTAGAAAAGGATCTGAAATATTTCCCTTGAAGCTTAAATTTGTTTTATTCTGTATTTTATTTGATGGTTTAATGTGTTGTAAACCACTTTGAGATTTTTTTCTTTAAAATATAAAGAGGTATAGAAATGACATAACAACAATAAATTCCATTGGGGAAGAAATGGTGCTTAGACATACTGTTGTGGCATCCACAACCTAGGTTTAAGGTGTTATTGGGTGATTAGTTTCTAACAGTGCACTTGGCCTACGCCCTTGATAAGGAAAAATGGTGTAGCTGTATATACTAGTGTGAAGACTGCGCGTATCTTTTTGCACATACACAAGATAATCTGCTGCTTGTCTGTCATTGTAATAGACAGCTTGTATGGTTATAAGGGACACATTTTTCTCCACATGTATGTAAACTAGCCCTAAATTGTTTCAGATGTGGTTTACAAAAAAATAAAATAAATCCCTTTACCTCTGTCCTTTGGTTAGGGATAGTTTATAGGCAAAGTTTTCATCACTTTTGTTTAGTATTGCGGACTAAATCTATTAAAAAATTGTTATTCAGAACTCACTATAGTAATAAGAGAAAAGTACACCAGAGAGAGAATCAAGAAGTTAGGAGCATCTTTTGAATGAAAATGACTATTTTTCATTGAAGGTAGACTGTTAAGTGTTATGGATTCATTCCTGCTTTATTACTGTTTAGAGACAATTTAGTTTTCCTATTTGAATACGTTTATCTATTGAGTACATAGTTCAACATACGAAACTGTGGAAGGATATTAGGAAATGCAGAGTTACAGGCAGATAGCACTAACGTAAAGGGTCACAACTTCATTTGCATTGTGTACATAAACTGCCACATCATTCCATGCAAATGCATGAAATCCTTATTAGCATAGCTCTGTTTATCTGAGTTTTTTTAATCTTTCTTAACTATAAAAAGGCAAACTCCAGTAGAGCTGCAAAACAGTAGGGCTCCTAGTAAGCAGTGCAAGGTCTGATGCTATCTGGTGGGCGGAGACATTCCAGATTCTCATGTATTGCTGGATACATTCCTGAAATGACAGTCAGTGGAAAATGTGGCATAGAATGGAGGCTTTCCTCAGCTGTCACCTTCTTATAGTCTGTTAGTGTATTGTTAGAACAATAAAGCAATATGACTGGTTCATATTTATAACAAAATGTTATCCATGAATATCAAGAATGTGCTTATTTCACAATAACTTGATCATATAAATATAGTTCTTCTGAGCATTGCCAGCAAATATAGTTTCTTAAAGTCTGAGAATTCATCTAGGAATTATTGTATATGCCAAAAAGTTCAATGTCACCCTGTATGAAAGAAGGAAGATAAGGCATAGACTAGATAAGCTGTCATTTTTCAGTAGAACAAAATGCATTGATAGAGGTTCATTGCGCCACTAGTGTGATGTTTAAGTCTATGATGTAGTACTCTGTCCCACAGAGTGAGCATTTGCAGTGCAGCACCAGTATACAGAGATCTGACAGTGCAGTCTTATACATGTCTACTCATAAGTAAGCCCTAGTAAGTTCAATGGGACATAGATTCCCAGAAAATTATTGTGGGATTGCACCTAAATACATTTATAAGTACAAAGAAACTTAAGAGTAGCGAGCAAAATAAGATAAGGTTTTTTGTTTTGTTTTCCTGTACTGTATATGCTTACCCTAGCAGTTGTTGGCTGTATTAATGCTTGTAGGTTATTCTAATTACACCCTTGCAGGTAGAGTTGCTCACCTGGGGGCCAGGGCATATAATATTGCTTCTGGTTAAGTAGTTTGCCAGATTCACTGCCTTGTGATACATAGATTAGGTATGCATTGGTGAAAATGCTGGTAGTGTTGTACTTCTGTGAGACTTATTTTAATAGAATAAACTTGAATTGGGATTTCAAAAGATTCTGTAACTGTTAAATGGAAACCTGATTGCTACATCTTGATCGGTAGAAAAAGGCATTTTAGTATGTTCTGAACAAATAGCAGATAGTAGGATTCAAATAGCTTGCAACATCAGCCTGTACAAGAACATGAAAGAGAAGAGTAGCAAGGCATGAGCCAGCTTATACTTTTTCATTATAAAACCTTCAATACAGTATAAGTTTACTAACACTGGTTTCTTTTCTGTAATTATTACTGTCTATATATCTTAGAACTGTGCACTGTTTGCAATTTACTTACATAAAAATTATAACACGTCATGTGACTAATTCTGTTGCTGTAATGACTTAGCTACTGTAACAAAGATTTGAAATACTAACAGAACAATCCTAAATTTGTTTAGCGTGTGTGTGTCTCCCTCTCCTTCAGCCTGAGGTGGAGTAAGCCATACATCCTGAGGAGCTGGTGACATCATCTGGACAAGACTGAGCTAACCTAAAATCAGTGTTCGAAACTCCTATTGTTCTAGGCGCATTTTGCGACAGAGAAGTTCATTAGCATGAGCAGTTTCTGAGCTCTGGGCGCAGCACTGCGCCTAAGATTTCAGATTAAAACTACAGAGTGGAAGGAAGGATGGACTTTTTTCTGCCTTACCACTTCCAGCTACTGTCTGAATACTGGAGAAGAGACCCACTTAAGAATATTAGAGGGGTAAGCAGGGAAAGGACTAGACCATGTGAAAAATTAACATAATATTTTAACTGCAGTTCATTCATTTTCAGCTTTGTATTTTTGTTATAAAGAAGAGCACCTAGATATTATGTTGTTGTGTCCATAACCTCGGATTAAGGTGCCACTTAGCTCCTAGCTTTCATATCTCTGTTTCTAACACTGCCTAAAACTCTTCATAAAGCACCAGAAAATTTGTATCCATGCAAATGAAAACCTTCCTCAAATGGAGCACCCCACTGAGCTTGAGTCAGGTATCCCAGAGTACAAAAAGAGACTTGAAAATATGTTTCGAAGTCCGCATGGCATGCTGGGCCTAGGACAGAAAAAAGTAGGCCTACAATGGGTTCTAAAGCATGATCTCATTAAGGAAGAGTTAGAAATAATGACCAGGATCCTTTTCCAATTTTACAAAAATCTGCTGTGGGATGGTCCACAGTCCCAGAATATCAAATAGCAGGAATGTATGCTTGCTAACATTTACAACCACAACCAATGAATCTGGGCCTAAACACAAGGTGGCCATTAAGACCCTTTTTGCAGTTGCAATATAACTTCTGACTCTGACTGAAAGATTGCTTCTGCCAAGGTATTCATATGATGGGGTCCAAGATTCATTAGAAAATTCAGACTAAACGCCATACCTTTTTTGAACTCCAACTTAAATTTAACTACCCAAGATGTAGAGAAGACTGTAGCTGAAGCTGGTGCCAAGGGAGAGGATTTGGAATGTAATTGCTCAATTTGCTTGCTACTTCCTCAAAGCAGACATACTTCAAAAGGTGAGAACAGTAGATGATGTAAAGTTGCAGGCAATTTGTGTGTGTGTGTGTGTGTGTGTGTGTGTGTGTGTACCATGATTCAAGCAGTGACATGCTCCAGCAATGAAGACACTTCACATAGTATGCATAGTAACTCAGAAAGGTAGGAATCATGAGATTATCCATTCAAGCTCATCATTTATGATAGCATTCTGTATACCAGAACGTCCCACTGCATATACCATAATGACCCATAAGGAGGGTGAATGAAGAATAAGTACTGTTGCTCATCTCAAACCCAGGTGGGTTGGATGGGTGGATGAAGATGACAGTGGGGAAGAAGAGAACCTAGATCGCTGACTCACAGACTTCTAGGCTAAAAAGTTGTGTTTCCTCAAAGACCCAGTATGCAAGGATCAAAGTCAGGTGCAGGAAAGTTCAGTCTAAGGATAGCAAAAGAAGTTATGAGGCCACACTAAGATGATGAGAACACAAATTTTGGTGCTCAGAAAGAATAATTAGCATAGTGATTTTATGCCATTTTCAGTTAAGATAGATAAGACAGATACTTTAACATAAATAAGTGGGTCACAAGGTCAGTTAACAAACCTTTTTGCTTGCTGGGTGTGGGGAGTAGTAATGAGGTATTACTGCCTTTTACAGTTTGCTACAGCAAAAGTACCTATGTCCATTCGCATGGATTTCCTGACCTGAAACCTTTCCTGGTGTGGAATGGAAGGGAGGAGTTCTTGATTATTTTGTTTGTTAGTGGTTTTGAAGAGTTTTTGTTCTTGGGCTGGGGGAATGGAACAGATCAGGGAGTTAGTGTCTCAGGATGACTAGATGACACATATATTGAATGGCATTTTGTTATGAGAGTGGAAGGATTTAGTGTCTAGGCACGGAGGTGAGATTTTCAAAAAAGGAACTAGTGTTTCTCCAGGAACTGCACCCCAGATCTCTCAAACTGGAGGAAACAAAATCTTGTATTCTGTATGTTTGCTGAATTATACACCACTCTGGGTATATCAGAGGCATGGGAGTGTGAATATGGGAGTGTGAATATAGGGATTGTTTAATGGATAAATTTTATATTTAAAGATTGGAAAAAATGCCCTAACCACTGACCCATTGGTTTTAGTCAATGGAGGGGAAAACATGTTCCAGCTTCAAACTGGTTTGAGACTGATTCATGGATATATTGGAGTAATGAGGGGGCTTAATTCCAGTGGATTGAAAGCTGCCCACATAACTCCCATTGAGCACCCTGTTTTGACTACTGCTGCTGGCTGTAACACCGCTATCAGTAGATTTATGCCAGCTGTGGAGAACTTTAGGTGCTAGATGTTGCTGAACTACAACTCTCATAATCGTTGGCCATGCTTGCTGGAACTGATGCAAGTTGGAGTCGAGAAAACAGGTAGAGGGCTAAAGGTTCTTCACACCTGATCAACTGACAACTTTAAACACAATTTTGAAATAACATTACTCCTCAAAGGAATTGGTGCCTTTTGGGTTGTTGTTTTTTTGGCAATTATTGGTGTGTCTAGTACAGGTACATCCTATCTGGAAATTCATCTGGTGTGTTGCAGTGGGAATTGATAGTGAACACACATGTTCATATTGCTATTTAGACTAGATAATAAATAATTGTTTAATATTTTCAGAATTCTGTGACTGCCCAGATTCATCTGAAAATATAAATCAAACAGTTGAGTCAAACTCTTAGAATCTTTCATTTTACAACAGAACACTGTGATCTTAGCATGCAAGTTACAACAAATAACCTCTCCTTTGAATATAATATATATAGATTTAGGTCAAATTAACTGTCCCCCTTTAATTGAAAATACCAGTTGGGGCTACTGGCCTCCATCATGGAAATCCAATTTTTTCCTTCTTTGTTCCCAGTATTTACTTGTGTATTTTTCATGACCAGCTGATAGTACTAAGGCTGCAAGTTTAGACACACTTAACCTGTGAATAAGTTCCACTAAATTCAGTGAGGCTTATTTGAGTTGATGCACACAGAATTGCTCTGGTCATTTTTTTACGGAAGTGTGCATACTCCTCTTTGATTAAAATCAGGGTTGAAAAGTGTTGTATTTATATCTTTTATCTTACGTTTCATAAACTCTGAACTATGTTTGAATGAAGATTACATTATTAACTGCTTCAAGAGGTCCATTAACTGTCTTGAGTTCAAACCATGTGAAATGGTAAGACATTAAGAGTTTATATTTTCTTGAGTAAAAGACGCTTCCATCAGCACACTTGTATGTAGTTCCCCTTTTAGATTGTCTAGCCAGAAGCTTGGAGTTGGACTATTTAAAGTTTGAGGGAAAATAGGATTTAATGCAATATTGTCTTGATACATTTTGAAATGGGTATTTGCATTTTTAAGAAATAATTTTCTCAGTGTACTAGACTTTTGTCTGCTTCACTGTTTACTTTTCAGCTGCATCTAGTATATCTATAAATGCTAATCCTTAACATTTGAACTATTGGTGCTGCCTAGCCAAAAAGGTTGCTCCATTTTTGTTTTTGTTTTGTTCTTTGCAGATAGTTGACTAACCAGTACAGTGATTCAGTTAGCAGTTAAAATGTAACCGGAAATAATTGCCTAATTTTTGTGGTGTATGATATCAACCTCTGTTCCTGTTCTCCTTTTTCTTAAGTGTACGAATGTCCCTAAATAGATCAGGACTAAGTTGCCTCTTCTGTCACTAACGACCAGAATTACAGAAGCCTTGTTTAGAATTTATGAAATACTGTTGGTTAATAATGTCATTTGCAACCACATAGAGCAGAAACAAATAATGTTATCTATTTGAAACAAGCAAAACCCATGGAGTTAAGTTTGCAAGTATTGTGTGGGATCCAAACATGTGGGGGTTTTAAATTGCTCTTTAGGGTTCAGTTGGGGGGTTAAGGACTTAATGTGGGAAAGAGATTGTTATACCATAGCTCCTTGTCTTCAAAATCTTATACAAGTTGAGTTTCTGTATTATGTAAAAATCAGTAATGCTGTAGCGTTCTTGTAGAAATGGGTTTGTCATACAAATGGAACATTGAATCCCTGCCATTTATTGTATATTAAATGCTTAAGACTGGATCTACTTGTGTTTCAATTTGGAAAGCAGTATGACACAGCCTTTGCACTGTAGGTTGTTTCTTTTAACTTGTTAAAAAGAATACCACCATATGTATAAGTACTCCAAATATCTTCCATAAGTAAGCTTGGGATTGTTAACTCAAAATCAGATCTGATCAAACTTTATCCCTTTAACTTGGCTTCATTTTAGCCATAAAAAGCAAATCCAAATAAAAAGCATGTTAACATTTTTGACATTCCTTAAAAAGGAAGCAAAACAATAATGAGTTCTGAATGAGAGAACTCTCCCGTCTTCTGATGTAGAAATGGAGTAGTTGCTAATGATTGGCTTGCTATCTTGATATGTTTTAGCCATGTGATTTTTCTAATTTTTGAACACAAAATTAAGACTTTCTGTCTTTATAGAGTAACCATTGTTCTCAGATAAGTAGCATGCTCTTAATTTTGAATATTAAATGCAACTTGCCATTTTTTGTTGAGATATTTAATTGTACTGGACATTTTAAAAACATCTGTAGGCTGCCTTCCATAAAGACTGGTTACAACCTTAACAGGCAATCTAATAAACAAAATTTAAAGCAAATAAATACACATTACAGTAAATACAAATTAAAATACAACCATACGTTCAGGAGGTAGAACAGTTCTCAAAGCTTCAGTAACTCCTAAAGGCTAGATGAATACATGCATCTTCAGAAGGCACCAGTACTCTACAACGTAGGCTCCAGCCTTATTTCCAAGTGGACATGGTTCCATAAACTGAGTGCTAACACAGAAAATGCCCTCCCCTGCCTGCTCTAGTTGTGGGACATCTGACAAGGTCCCTCCTGAGATTTTAGTAGCTGGGCTAGTCTGTATGGGCATAGGTGTTCCCTTGGGTAACTAGGTTGCATGTTGTTCATGGCTTTAATTCGTCAACAGAACTTTAAACTTGGCCCAGCAACAAATTGATTCCTAGTGCTACTGTCAGCGGATAAGTTACGTTAACGTAGTGTGTTCCACATAGATCACATGACAGTAGTCCAGCTTTGAGGTTGCCAGCACATGGATAATTGTGGCCCAGACATCCCTGTCTAGTAGCTCTTATTTGGTGCACCAGCTGAAACTGGAAAAAGACTTTCGGGCACTGCAGACACTTGTGCCTCCGATAACAGTGGTTCAGTGAGCACTTTGGACTCCTCCCATGTGGCACAATGTATCATTTGCTGTCTTATAACAGGGAGCATTTCCTGTACCATGTAAAATGTACAAGGTGTCCACACTTCCTCTTGCATGTTCATGCACCACTCGCAGCATGCATGCAGGCCACAAACACAAGTATCCTCTATCTCACACACTATACAGCCACACATATGTCTCTTCTCTCTGCTCAAGTGTATCCCTCTGTCTCTCTCATGCCTGTGCTGTCTAATCCCCCATTCAGAAAAGACCCTACATGGATGAAGGAAGCACCTTCCATTTCCCAAACAAACAAAAAATGCCCCCGGCAATTAAAAGAAGTGGGCACTGGATTGCATGAATGGACACTGGATTGACAATCCCTATATTGGACTATAAGAATTGTGAACCTAAACAGCTTAAATTGTCTGAATTGATATTCTCTACTTTTTCCCTGAATATATTGTTTTAAAAATCTCTTTAAAAGTTCAGGAGCCTCTGCACAAATGGCAGCGTAAACAATGTATGCCTATTTTAAGGTCCTAAAGAATAATTTGGCTGTGGTATAGTTGAGGGGAATTTAAAGTCTTATATTCTGTCATGGGAATTAATATGAGAGCCTCAGTAAAGTTTTATTTCAGAGCTGTGTCATTGCCCTTGAATACCCAAAAATGTTTGTTTTGGTTAAGGGTAAATCAGTTTTCTTAAAATACTATCATCAACATAGGCTGTTTCTGCTTGAGAGATTGTGTATTCATCACTTGTCATTTCCCCCCTGTTCAAAATATCTTTGGATGTTAAGGCATCACTCTCCTGTATCATAAATTTCAAGTGCAACCTTGGAGACTAGTAGTAAACATATTCTTCATTGAATTGTAGGGTGGGAGTCTATTTCATTGCTTACAAACATTAATTGACACTCAGTCCAAGTTGCAAATAAGCATTGTTTTTTATGCTAAACCAGAACAGCAACTTGTAGCTTGTAAATAGATGGGCTTCAAAACTACCCAGCTTTATGTACTTGTTTATAATTATGAAGAGTAGTTTCAAATTGTTTCCTGTTTCTGACAAACTAATAATGGAAATAGATCCATTTGAAAAGAGCTCTTAAGTTATTGCTGCAGACAGAGAATGTTCAATAGCACGTCGTGGTCATACAGTAAAAAGGCGTCTGAAAGGTAGAAACAATTCTAAATTTGACACATGATGAAACCAAAAGTGTTCAGTTTGATACTATGAACACATAATTTTCTTCATTATATTTTTGTATTCCTTCCAGTCTTTTTCTCAGTGGCATTTTAGTGTAATGATGAGTTTTTCTCAGTGCTGGTAGTATGTGCCAGGGGACCTTTATGTTGACTGAGAATTTGAACTAAGTTTCTAGATCAAAAGACGCTTTAGCCTAGGGGTTTGCGAACCTTTTCCCAGTTGAGGATTATATTCCCTTAAGGAGCATCTTTTGGGGGTTTCCAGGCTGGCAGTGGCTAGGGCACAAACTGGTGGTGAATGAGTTTTCTCTCTTTTTCTTTCTCTGCTGGACTCCACCGTGCCCCCTCCCCCCTCCATGTCATCTTATCTTTCTGTTACCCCATCTCCATCTCTTTGTTTTAGGCCTTTCTCCATTCCCCCTTCCATATTAATGCAGATGGGAAATGATCATTTGTCAAATGCTTCTCCATTTCAGCACACTCTACTTTTGTATTTCCGTCTACTCTCCTTTTCTCTCCTAGTTTCTCCTACTCTGTTGGTCATTGCAAGGCTCTTTTTGGCCTTGGGCTTACCTAACAGCCACACCTCCCCCCTCCCCCTTTGTGCAAAAAGAATCAATTTCCAGAGGGATGGCTAAGAGAGCAAGAGTGAGACTGCTGCACCTGGAGGACTGCATAAAAGGCTTGGGGGCCTTAGCTTCCTCATTATTGCTCTAACCACAGCAGCATTGGTTCTCAGAAGTAACTCTTATGATAGGGGCACTACAAATCTTTGGAACCAGTTGTTATGTCCTGCTTTTCGAGACTCTTAATTCCCCACATGTTTACGCACTGTTTTGGCGTTACTGATTATTGCCTACCATATAATTAAGTTCCTTTAGAAAGCTTGTAAGTTGTTGAACCTCAAAAACATGATAATATTTATACTGGGAATTTTTAGTCATTTGTGTAATAATGCATGATGACCCCAGAACTAAGAGGATCTGTTGGGAGCAGAAGCGGAAAAAGGGTGGTGTCTCCCCAAGTTCTAAATGGGTTTGTGGGTGTATGATTTGCCCAAATCTTAATTTGAGGTGCACATATCCCATTTCCTTATTCCTTTCTACATATGTTGGCTATTGGTATAGGGGTACAACGCTTGATGATATACAATGCCATTTTGTAGAAGACTGTCTTATGGAGGTGTTGCTATATCACCTTGGAAGCCCAAAGCTTATTTTAGAGATTACACCCCCAGATATTTTTTTTATTAGTCCACAGCTAAATTGTCCCATTCCCAACAACTAGATTTTCTTTACTTTTTTCTTTTCTTGTTAGTGGGGATAGTAGGCACAGTTACCTTGGGTCTGTCTATTTTGCTAATGACCTCTGTGTGGAATGAGAATAGCAAATTGTTGTTCCATTCCAAAGTCTATCTGTTCACATAGGCACTTTAAAATGAGTTGATCCCAGTATTATTGCTTTGTTGTGGAAGGAGAATTGTGCTGATAAAAGGGTCCTTCTGTAAACCGAGTGTCAATGTAGGATCAAACCCATTGTAATTAACAGAAATACTTCTATTTCATGGTATAAGGGACACATCTAAATCTACTGTGTGTCACTGTGTGCTATATAGTCAAAAGCTGTTCTGTGTATTGGAGAAATGTGCTGCTGATTTTAATAATGCATTTTAAATTGCTGTAATCCACCCTGGGGCATTGTGGTGAAGGGTGAATAAGAAATCGAATTAATAATAATAAAACAAGGGATTGTAAGGAGCTTCAGAAGCATGTCTCCATACTAGCACAATGGCAAATGGAATTCAGTGATTTTAAAAAAAATGTATTGCAAATTTCATCCAGTATTCTTTCCATTGCATTATGTGGAACAGTTGGTTAGGCAATAACATAATGAACTTTTACATGCTTGTGGTAGCTAGAATTCTATGTGTGAAATTCTGAAATTCACCATTAACACCCAAAATCAAATAGTGGAAGGATAAAATATAGGAGTTTGTAGTTATGGCTAAGTTGACAATTTCTTTAAGATATTGAGGAGGCAAGACAAGTTTCTGGTAATATAGCAGAATTACATTGATTGTAGGATATATGGCTTATTATCCAATATGAGTTAGGGTTTACCATGGCTTAATGCATCATCATACAATAAGCAGATCAGTGGTACATATCTATCAATCTATATCCATCCATCTGCTTGAAAGTACGTGTTTGTATTGCGGTTAAGTATTTCTTCAGGGGGAAAAAGCAAAATGATGTATATTGGGGATAAAAATTATAGCTTCATGTATGTATTTGCATGGTTTGAACCAGCGGTGGTTGTCTGGAAAAATGAACTTTGGTTCATGGTATATAGCAGGGCTGGCCCAACACCCTTTGGTGCCTGAGGCAAGATGTCCCCCTGATCTAGTCCCGCTCCCTATGGAGGGAGGGGCAACACAGTCACTCTGTAGGACCATCCCCTTTTCACTGAGCGTCTTGGTGAAAAGAGGGCATTCTGCAAGGTGGTGTTGCTGCTCTCCCCATCTTTGGCTTTCAGCTGCGTCGTTGGCTCCCCCAAATCCCAGTCTGGATCTCCCACCCCCTGTGAAGTATGCCACCCGAGGTAGGTTGCCTCATGCAGCCTCATAGGGAAGCAAGCTAGCTTCAAGGTTTCAGGGCAAACCACAAGTCATGCCTTTCTAGCCCTTTCCTGCCCCTCAGGATTTGCTGCCTGAGGCAGCTGCCTCACTCAGCCTCGTGATAGGGCCATCCTTGGTATATGTTTTGATGAAGATATCTTGCCCCAGTGTGCAGCAGCTTTGATGAAGACAAATTATGTGTTATGGTTCAATAGGAAAGGTGTTGAAAGCAAAACTATCAATATAATGATACACAAATATGTGGTGTGACAACACATGGAATACTGTGTATAGTTCCAGTCATCACACCTCAAAAAAGGGTTAGTGTATAGCCACAAAAGGTTCAGAAAAAAGGCAACCCAAGTGATCGTGGAGCTTGAACAACACTCCTATGAGAAAAGTTTGCCAATTTATGAACTTTTAAGTATAGAGGAAAAACAAGTAAGGTATATAGTAGGTGCATAAAATTATGCATGGTGTAGAAATGGAGTGGGTTCTCATTCTCATAAAACTGGAGACTATCCAATGAAGCAGTCTTTTGGATGATTCCAGACAGATAAAAGGAAGTCCACGGTACATAGTTAAATTATGGAATGCACTCCCACAAAATGGCCACCAATTTGGTTAGCTTTAAAAGGGGGTTAGACTAGGGGTCGGCAAGGTTTACCTCACCTCAGCTGGTTCACTCCAGCGGAGATCCCTCCGTGGGCCAGATCACGCCCTCAATTTCCGGCGTCTGCACAGACGTGATTTCTAGTGCCGTGGAAATGAGTCCCCATGCTGCACTGCGCCGGTTTAGTGCAGCACACGGGGACTCACCGAGCAGGCACCTTGTGGCCCGGTTAAATGACCCCCGTGGGCCACTTGTGGCCCATGGACCTTAGGTTGCCAACCCCTGGGTTAGACCAACATAACAGGTTAAGGCTTTCAATGGCTTCTAACCATGACTGTACAAGCTCCTGTAATGAAGGTGTTATGCCTTGCTGGGGAGCACAAGTGGGAGAGCTCTGTTGCACTGATGTCAACACACACACACACACACACAGAGAGAGAGAGAGAGAGAGAGAGAGAGATTTTCATCTAATCAAACTAGAGTATTTAGTAAAAGTGAAGTAGGAGACATGATAGAGCTTTACAGCTATCATTGGAAGCAGAGCTCTCCTGTTGTTTTGGACACAAGTTATCTACTGTTTCTTAACTGAAGACTCTAAAATTTTCCACCACAAGTACTATTTAAAGTGGACACATTTGCTGTTACTATCTTTGAAAGAGCCATATTCCTGATCTGCTAATACATGGGCACTTCAGGCTCATTTTAGAAGCTTGTTTGATTTTAGCATACATATAGTTAATATATTTGAGCCTTTTGCATGGGAATCCCAGAGCCTTATATGGTCAGCTAACTTTGTTCTGCAGTGAACTGAAGGCACCCATCCAAAGGGAAAAAATTCCAATTGTCTTTAACTATCTAGTACCCTTTCCTTGGCCTCTTGCGGTAGTACAGTAGCTAACAGTCTAACAGTTTAAATGTAGGCTTTTACAAAGGTAGTGGAAATTAATTTTGGTAGCATTTGATAGCTGGATATATTCAGAGAGCAGAAATATTACTTTAGTAAAGGTTCATAACAAGGTCTATAGCTGCTTAGTGTAGAGATCTGAAAACTAGCATCACTTTGTGTGAGGACTTCTAATTATTTATTTATATTTTATCTTGGTGGTTCTGTGCCTGTCTGCATAAGAAGTGGCAACTGACAGAGCAGGTAGTGATTTTTGCATACTTGGAGGACTTTCTAAGCATACAGAAATCAAAGTCAGACAGTACAGCATGAGACTCAATCTCAGGGTTGTGGTTTTGAGCCCCACATTGGGCAAAAGATTCCTGCATTGCAGGGTGTTGGACTTGATGATCCTTGTGGTCCCTTCCAACTCTACAATTCTATGATTCTTTGAAATCAAACAGCTCAACACAGACTGAGCATCACAGTGGCCTCCAGGGGGTGTGTCAGTTAAAGAAAAGGGGGAAGAGAGGGAATTGGCTTGCTTGAGCTGCTAACAGGTTACAGTTTTGGGAGTGGGGGAAAGGTCAGAAAGAATACATGCCAGAAGGTTAAGTACCCTCTCTGAGCTATTAGGGGAGGTTTCAGGAGGGAGCAACTGATGTGCCTCACTTTTGTTTCTCATTCTGCACAAATTGTTCCTTCAACTGCTGTATAGAAAAAAGTGCTCTTTAAACCAGTCACTTGGGGAAAGGTTTTAGGAGAGATGGAAAGAGAAAATTGAATATTTTTTCCCACCCTAAGACCTCCATCAAAGTTGTCTTTTTTCTTTTTCCCTGTCTTGAAACCTCCCCACCCTGTAGGCCCTGAATAGCATTGCAAGGCTCTTTTTTCAGGTTAGCAGGAGCCTTGAACAGGAACAATCCTCTTAGGGGCAAAGGATGCAGGTCCCCACTTTGTGTTAAAGTACCAGAATAAAAATACAACCTACAACTTGGTGTGCAAATACATATGTGTTATGTAATGTATTGAGGAGTCAACCTGGAGACTTTGATGAGCTTTTGATGATGGTTCACCTTTGGTTGCCTCCTGCAGCCTTCCTAAAGCCTGATTTCTTTTTTGTTGTTGTTGATATTTAATGACAAGTAACGAAACATACCCACACAGGGAAGCCCTCTGATTTCTTAGTGGAGTTGCCTGCATTCAGAACAGCCTATCCTCGTCCCCAAGGAGGTACTAGTGATATGGAAGCTTTGTTCATTGGCCAGTAATTTTCAGCTGTGTGCTGGGACACACAACTACTAGTCTAAATTGGTGATTGATAAGCCCATTAGTCAAATGTTATATGTGAATCTGAAGTACCCATCCACAAAATAAGTTGCTAGTGATCGTGCTTGATTCTGCTTTAGCTTTGCTTGCTTCTATTCAGCCTTTGCTGTGGTTGGTAATTGACCATGTTCTTACTTGAGGTGTGATTGAATGGTCCTGTTTCTTGTAGCTGAATGACATATCCTGAAAGAGGCATGTCATATTGAATCATGGAGGGTGGGAATGTACTGTTTTGGAGACAGAAAAGTTACTGACTTTAAAATTTAATCTTATAAGATATAGAAGTGAAATTTGTTTCCAGTTCAGATTCAGAAAAAGTGTGATCCCGCTATGAGAACCTTAGAATACAATGCCCTAGGCTGTGATTGTTGAGTGTGTTCATCTCACTTTAGTCTAGTGCAGAATTTCCCAAACTTGGATCCCCAGCTGTTTTTAGACTACAGCTCTCATCCCTAGCTAACAGGACCAGTGGTCAGGGATTATGGGAATTATAGTCCAAAAACAACTGGAGACCCAAATTTGGGAAACCCTGGTCTAGTGTTGACTACTCAGAGTTGACTATTTCATGGGCAAAACCAATTTTGGACAAGACAGTGGCATATGCCATTGTTTGCTTGTTTCACTATGAGATTCAGGGGAGAAAGTGTTAAAGATATAGAATTATAAGGATCATCATAGAATTGGTAGTGAAATTTCAGGGCATTAGTTTGTTTCAATAAGTACAGAACAACTTTCCAGAATTTGAACTGAGAAAGAGGGCGTTTTTCTTGCAATTGTTTTATGACCATCAGGACCCCATAATTCTAAATCACATCATAGATTGCTTAATACTTTAGTGTGACAGCTGTCTGGTGGTGGTTGGTATTATAGAAAAAAAGGGGGGAGAGAAAGAAAGATCAAATTTTCTTTTATAATTGTCTTGATTGTTTTAGGGAAAATATGAACAAAAAACCTTAAATAGGACGGATTAGAAAAAAATGTTTTGTGCAAAACTTCATCAGAATTGGCTGTATTGTAGCAAAAGGACTGCAAAATACGGACTTCATAATAGCTGGCAGTTTGTGATTGTGACACCTATATGTTTAGTATAGGTAGGATTACCCTGACTTTTATTTACCTTTAATGACACCAGCAAATAGCCAAATCAGACTATATAGTATGATGACATCAACACGTCCAGTAGATTGTGCCTTCCTTGGTGGGATCATTTGAGAAACAATGCAGACAAAGCTATCATTTTTGTTCTCTGCACTCTTATTTTGTCTTCACTTTGTAGTCACCAGTGTCTCACCAATACAGGCACAATTTTCTGAAGAGTTGCATCCTGATAACTGGAACAGTACCTTTTCTGTTGCTACATCTACACTACCACAATTCCTAGAAGGCATCTGAGCTTGCTGTGTGAGTTGTTCCCAATGGCAAGAAACTTGGAGGCAAGCTATTTTGGTAACAAAAAGTTGCCTCCTGCTGCTTTTACCTTACCCTCACTATCTCTGCCCAGGGATGCACAAGCAAGGGTACCTCTTGCCCATTAGTAACTAAGACAGCAGTTATATCCCTCTGTGTCTTTTCTGAAATGCAGCGTCTTCTTTTCTTTAACTTGCTGTTTCTTCCTTGTTTCCACAGGAAGTCACACTTGCATCAGCTTCTTTTACAATAAGATAGCTGCCACCATCATGCCCAATAAGCACTAACTCACTGTTTCATCACTACCTCCCATGATCTCTGTAAAAAATGGCCTATATTCCAGACACTGGGAATTCTAGCCTAGTCAGCTCACTTTTGGAGCTTGAGAGGAGGCTGCAGGAGAAAATATAATGGGATAACCCAATGCATACTTTTTTACTTGGGAGTAACAATATTGGAGCAGGAGCAGCTATATAGTGCATTATTGTTAATATACGAGATTATCCAGTCAACACTCCTCTTCATAATCTTACATTCAGACATTAACTGATACATTTCTTGAAACCATGGATTTGCTTTCTATATCCAGTTATTAACCTGCCATATCACAAGAAACCACCAACCCACCCATAGCAGGCCCCCTGTCCCTAGTATCAAGTCCATAACATGAGGTTGCACCATAATCTCACATTTTCCAAGGCCTCTGGTTGGTAGGCCAGGACCATCTCACCCTGTATCAACACATGTTGCACTTTGCAAGGCCTCTGGTTAATGGGTTAGTTCCACTTTTACCCATGCCCATAGCATAACTGATTTTCATGGTAGCTAGTAGTTATTTTTCTCTTTCCCTTCAGAACCACATGCATATACCAGTCCAGTTTTAGTCTGTAGTCACAATGTAATGGTTTTCACCCAAGTGCTCTATGTGGATGCAGATGATGACCCCTTCATAAAGAACATTGATTATAGTCTCATTTTTTGTGAAATAGTGCCCCATGTTTTCAGTTTCTATGAGCTTTTGAGCAAAATAGCAGTAATGTTGGGCTGGCTAGTTTGAAGCATGTTGAAATTGTCAGTGAAGTGCACATGAATGAAAAATGACTGTAAACACCAAGCAATACAGGTCTCTGTTGCTGCATAAATTCTTGAGGGCTCGCTTTTGGGTAGAAATGTGTAGGGTTACACTGAGTGTGTTATAATACAGTGATTTTTTGAGTGTTTTCATGTGTACATGTGTTGATGGTGCCCATGAGATTACCTTTACCTTTCTATATGTTTTATAGTTCTCAGCCTAAAATGCTTGCGCTGAGCGAGCCATGCTGTAAATGAGTACCTAGTCCAGTGGAGAAAGAAAAGGCATGTGATGTTGGCCACTTGTTTCTGTTAACCTTAATACAGTGGTACCTTGGGTTACATATGCTTCAGGTTAAAGACTCCATTAACCCAGAAATAGTACCTCGGGTTAAGAACTTTGCTTCAGGATGAGAACAGAAATCATGCTCTGGCGGCGTGGCGGCAGTAGGAGGCCCCATTAGCTAAAGTGGTGCTTCAGGTTAAGAACAGTTTCAGGTTAAGAATGGACCTCCGGAACGAATTAAGTACTTAACCCGAGGTACCACTGTAATTTGCAGGCTGTAGGTTGTGTTCTGATGTGTCATGGCCTTTTGCTCAGGGGTTTCATTGGAGTCCTGAAGATGTTTAGGATTAGAGAGTAACAGTTCTGACATAGAATTGTTGGACATAGTTTTTGCTTTCTACAAAAGCAAACCTTCAGACCCAAAAGGACAAAAACATGTGGCATTGTAGTGTTTGGATTACGTGCCTTGAGTGAAGGCATTGGATTTTGATCGTTTAATGTTGTATAGCTCCGTGTTACTGTTCGAGGTCCCTGTGTGGCTTTTCCCCTTGCACATGGCACCCACATGGCTCAAACATGCCATAGTATGGTTTCCCATGTTTTCTGAATCCAGTTTGTGGCTGAGTGGTAAGCCATAAATAAGCCAAGGTTTGTTCTTGGTTTACTTCTGGTTTATTGCTTGTGGTTTGTCTGAGAACATACTCCCCCCCCCCGGGGGGGGTGATTTGGATGGCACAAAAAGCCATACTAGAGCTGTGTGGGTACTGTGCTGAGTTGAGGAGGAACCCATGTGGGGACCTACATGGCAGGCGGGCATAGTCACAACTAAGTCGTTATTTGAGACAAACTGTGATTTACATGTGTGACTCAGGCAATTGAAAGCTGGATTTTAGTTATACATAGAATAGAAATCTTAATTCCCATAGAGGTTTCTCAAGGTATCTAGGTACCCAAGCATGCATGGTTTTACAGTATAAGCTCAAAACTGAATTGCACCCTAAGGAAATTGACATAATTTGCTGTTTGCTATATCTTGTGATGTGTGTTTTCTCTTCTACATATTTGTTTTAGAAACTCTGCAGGGTCTGTTTTGTTCCTCACACTGTCAAAAAGTGAAGAGTATTAGGCTAGCTTATGGCAGATAAGACATACAACCTCACAGTTCTGTATATATCACAAAGTAGAGACATGCTCTCTGCATTCTCTTCTATCCTTCTAAGGCTGGCAGTGAGCTGGCAGAGAAGAAATATACCAAACAACCACGTATAAGAAGAACATTTTGTCATGAATGGAAGGAACATGTTGCAGGTGGCTATAGTGAACTCGAAATGGCAATAGAGATTCTTATATTTATGCAGAATAAATAAAAGAAAATGATGGGCTAATTCATGTAGCACGAATCATGTGAACATGTGCTTTATGTGGGATAATGGCTTATTGCTGCCTGTTTGGTTGTGGAATGGGCTGTTTGCGGTTAGATCTATTGTCATAGAATGACTTTTGGCCAATTGTTAAAACCACCTTAACACTTTTTTCTTCTGTTTATAGGCTTGCATAGATGATAATGTAGATATGGTGAAATTTCTGGTGGAAAATGGAGCCAATATTAATCAACCTGATAATGAAGGCTGGATACCTCTACATGCGGCTGCTTCCTGTGGATATCTTGATATAGCAGAGTAAGGATTTTTTCCCAATATTTAACATAACTTACCTTGATGTTTAGTAGACTTACGATGCAACCGTTGCTAAGAAGCTGTTTAACGACAGGATACTTTGAGCAATGTATTCCATATTTTATGAGATGAGAACTGGGTTCTTTATGACAAGAAGAAAAATGCAGTTCCCTCACTCATAATAAAATTACGTTGAAAGGTGAATTTGAAATTTGCAGTAGTCTACATTTGTTAATCATCTTGTAACAAAGCCATATATCTGAACATATATTCTAGAAATGAGCACTTGATACTTGATTTGAAGCCTGTGTTTTTTGTTTCCCTGTGAAATAGTCAACACTGGAGCACCAGACCTTTTGTTGATACTTAATTATATCTAGGGTTAAAGAACAAGTGCAGCATTTAGCTAAAGTTTGTCTTTGTCTTATCTTGGGATGTTGATAGAATTTTCTGGGAAGTTTACAAATAGGGTGGCTGTAGCTTTTAAGGATAGCTCTCCACAATCTTTAACCTTTCAATTTGATGTATTGGGTGCCCTTATGAGGAAGAACTCTGAGCTTGAGAAACCTAAACCTGTCCAGGCTATACATTGACACCTCTTGCATTGCATATAGTAATGTAGGATCCTGTTTGTCCTTAAAAGGAAGCAGTACTAGCTGTATTCTTTCTGACTCTGCAGTATGTGTCAGAATTCTGTTTGAGCTAACATATAAACTAGAATGGCATTTTAGCAGCTGTAAATTTCAGTAATTTTTTCATGTGGCAGCTGAAACTACTTTTCAAGGGGTACATGAGTAGGTATATTGTATATGGTTTTCGTATCTCATTTGTTCTTCCTCTGATGTGTGGGACTGAAGTTTCAATAGTTATTTGCCCATGGCATTGCTAAGATTTAAAGACACCTTGCCTGTTATAGTAGAATAAATGTGTGTAATTCCACTGAATAAGCAGTACTTATGCTGTACACACACACACATTCATACCCCTCCTTTATGTATTACACATACGTGTCTGTATGTGTACATATATAATCTGTTAATAACTTATTATATATCAATAAGAATTATAATCAGGAAATACAAACATATTACTACTTTTGAGTCTCTCTCTCTCTGTGTGTGTCATAAAAATACATTTTTATGTTTGCAGAACAGTTGTACATAAATGTTCCACTTTTCAAGTGTGAAGGTAATAGGCATTTCATCCAGAGCACACCCTCCTAAACAGTCTTGTTGAAGATGAAAGAAATAATTGCTTGCCAAACAAAAACTAGTAAAGAGGATGTGACTGAGCAGGCTCAGAATGTTGTTAATGCTTTTTAGGGAGTGTGCTGGAGAAAGTAGGGGCACAGCAGCTGCAGACATTCCTGGAGGTTTCTCATTTTCTTGATCTGGGTTCTTTCTTGGTGATGGGAATGAATCAATCTTAGTGGCCTTAATGGATATCCTTTGTTGCGGGCACAACACAGGGACTGCAGGTGTTCTCTCCCACCCCTGTTCCTCTGTGGCTTTTGATGCTATTGTCCATAGTATCCTCCTGGACCAACTCTGTGAGATAGGCATTGGAGGCACTGTACTGCAGTAGTTTTGATTCTGCAGTGCCAAGTTCAGAGAGTTACACTGAGAAACAGCTCATTGGCCCCATGGTGTTTTTGTTATGGTGTCCCACAGGGGCACATTTTATTCCTAAAGTTTTTAGGGATCTAAATGATACCAAAGCTTTTTAGGATCTCTCTGAAACCATTGAAAGCAGGCATTAGGAGTTTAGAAGCAGGATGCCTTCAGTATGCTGATCACAATTGAACCTGCTTTCTTTTGCATCTAAATTGGGTGAGGCTGTAGAAGCCTTGGACCAGGGCCTGGCTGCAGTTAGTGGGCTGGATGAAGACCAGGATAATGAGTTTGAATCCTGTAGCAAAATGTCTGTTCTGGAAGAGGTTGAGCTCTTTCTCATGGAACAGGTTCACAGCCTGGAGATGCACCTGAGTCCATCTTTATCACTTGGGGCCCAAGTGGTCTCTGCAGCTGGGAGCTCTTTCTATAAACTTTTATCTGATCAGACAAGTGTGGCCATTCTTGGGTTGGCCACTGTGATTCAAACATTAGTAGCCTTAAAACTAGGTCACTGCCTACATGGGGCTTTATTTTGATGCATTGCAGGGGGCTGGACAAGATGACCCTTGGAGTCCCTTCTTGCAGTCCTGATCTCAAACAAATAATTTACTCACGGTTGAATGCCTATCTTAGGAGTTGTAAGCAGGAAGTTTTCCTGGCTTGGCTAAGGGTTAAGACACAGGGTCCATACTCATCCATACCTTTTTGGGGTAGGGTGACTCTTGCGTGGTTGTCTTGCAGCATTCCCAGAACTGTTAAACATCATGTATTGCTAGTGCGTCCACATTTTCTTAGTGCTTGACAAAGGTTTTTGTGAACCTGGCCATCTGATCTATGCTGTGTGGTCTAGCTTCATTCTTGAAGTTAATAATTTTTGTTTTCTTCATGTTTCTAAACATAATGGGCTAGTTAGTTTTCTTTTAAGACAGGGATGGAGAATCTGTGGCCCTCTAGATGTTGTTCACATCATCCCTGACTATTGGTTATGCAGTCTGGAGCTGTTTTAAGACCTTGGTGTTGTAAGAGATATGCTTCACTCATGACTAGATTGGACAGTCAGTAGTGCCATCTGGTATACAGCATGGTATAGCTAAGATATCACTGTGCTATAAAATGCCTATGATTCACTCAGATACATTAGCTAGTCACCAAATGGCACCTTAAACCTGGGTTGCCATTTATATGAAATTTATATCATCATCATTATTGCTGTAATTATTAATTTCATTTCTGTACTGCTTTATATTTTAAAGAAAAAATCAGAGCAGTATACAACACAATAAAACATCAAATAAAACAAACAAGAAAAAGACAGCGACAAGAGATCACTACAAATCGACAAGCTGGCTGGTGTGCAACAATATCTTTTGATACTGGGGAACGTGGGGGCATGCACAGCAGCAGAAAAAGTTGCTGTATGCCAGCCAAATGGTGGAGATGTCAGTCTCCAAACCTGATGACAAGATATCTTCCCTTGGTTGCAAGTTGACTCGCATCAGTCGCAAAACGTGCCTAGTGCCTGGGGGATTTTGAACAGCGCTCCCTAGGTACCCTAATACTGAAAGTTTGATCTGCATTGTGATAGAAGTGAACAGCTGATTTGATTATGATTATTTTTGTGACTTGCTGGACTTGGCTTGACTATTTGTAAAAAGTTGACAACTTATAAGACACGTGAGACTCAAGGCAAGAACTTCTAATTGATACTTCAATCACAACTGATGTTTCATATCCTTTGCATTATCGAGTTCTGCCAAACTGAATAGTTGGTCACACTATTTCTTTGGCTCAGATAGACAAAACCTGCTTAGGACTATCTTCTCCTTCTGCTGGGTTTGTAATTAAAATGATAATAGTTATTGTTACATCGAAGAGGTGTAGTCAGTCTCCACCTGCTTCCTATGGTCACTCCGGCTCTCAATGCTTTGTTTGGATCATGTGGGCATAGATCTGCCTTTCACCAGGTAAAGCTACTTTTTTGCTTAAGATGAGAGTGAAGCTACATGGGGAGAAAGTACCTGAAGTTGTGCTGTGTGGCCAGAAGAACAATATTTGCTTCTTTGTTTTGAATCAGTATATGCTTGGATAATGGTGTCAGGTGGAGGGAGAGAGTTGCTTTGTGGCTCCTGCAAGCTACAAACCTGAAATTGATTTTTGATGATGCTTTCAAGGAGCTGGCTTTAGGCACCAGGTCTGTTGACAGACCAAGTCTGCATTATAAAGATGTCTGCAAACATGACATGAAGGCTCAGAACATTAGCTTTAGGTAAAGGTAAAGGGACTCCTGACCATTAGGTCCAGTCGTGACCAACTCTGGGGTTGCGGCTCTCATCTCGCTTTATTGGCCGAGGGAGCTGGCGTACAGCATCTGGGTAATGTGGCCAGCATGACTAAGCCACCTCTGGCAAACCAGAGCAGCGCACGGGAACGCCTTTTACCTTCCCGCCAGAGCGGTATCTATTTATCTACTTACACTTTGATGTGCTTTCGAACTGCTAGGTTGGCAGGAGCAGGGACCAAGCAACAGGAACTCATCCAGTCGCGGGGATTCGAACCGCCGACCTTCTGATCGGCAAGTCCTAGGCTCTGTGGTTTAACCCACAGCGCCACCCACGTCCCTACCATGTGGGAATTCCTTGCTGATGATCACAGTGCCTGGAAACAGGCAGTCAGGTCATGCATCCATAGCAGTGAAAAGAGGAGGAATGACTGCTGGGAGGAGCGCGGAGAGAATAAACGTCATGCATCTGCAGCAGCACAACTGGATGCCTTCATCTGTCCCAGCTTCAATAAAAGATGTCTCTCCCGTATTGGTCTCTACAGCCACAGTTGATGCTGTAACTCTCCAATGGTTTGACTTTACCCCAATGGTGCCACTTCCATTGTCTCCCAAGACAGATGGATGCCAACAGCAACTTAATACTTCAGTTTTTAATAAATACATCTGCGGGGTGGGGGTAGTTAAAATTAGCAAGGGAAAAAAGCAATCAAAGATTATTTAACTACAGATTTATTTAACCCACTTACTAAAGTCAAGTGTAAGAGGCTAAAAAGGTAAAGGTAAAGGACCCCTGACAATTAAGTTCAGTCGCGAACGACTAAATCAGACTGTATTTATCCATCTAGCCCTACTTTGACTCTTAGGCAGAGATTCTATCACCTGTTACCTGATTCTTTCAATCTGACATGCCAGATCTTCTCTGTGTAGGATCCTCTCCATGCAGACCATGTGTTCTCCTTTTCATATAAGTAAACATACATAGCATTGCACTCTTAAAGTTAAAATAAACAATTTAATGTTTTAATTGACCTTCATAAGTTCTAATACATAATTTCATTCACATTGAAACTGCTTTGAAAGTGTATATAATGTTGACAGTTAGTATGACTAGACGGCACAGTTGACTGTTAGAAACTTTATTTGTAAGTCCATGGGAAGAGACCATTTTGTTCAGTTCTGCATACTTTACTTCCCTTAAATTCTGGGGTTGTGCTGCTTCTGGAGCAGTTCTAGAGGTAACTCGGAGAATAACCATGTAGGTTTTTAAGTTAAGAAGGGCAATTCTAGGAATCTCTAGTCCCACTGCAGGCAACTTACTGTTTTGTTTTTGAAAGGTTGGAGAGAGGAATGTGGACTTTGAAACCTCATTCTTATCTAGAAGATGTAATTATTTGGGGATACTCTTGTTCTTTGGAAGGAAATTAGTGATCTTTGCATCTACTGGAACCATCCTGTTTTCACCTTTTCAAATTATGCTGAGGTTTCCCTTTTATATTGTTTTATGCCTGTTGCTTTAGAAGCCCTTGACAGAAAGATTGCAGGAAAAGGCCTGGTTTTTCCCCCCCTAAAGGAGGGTTTTGGTTTTTGTTTTAAACTAACTTCTGTGTGTCTGCTTCTTACCCTGATCTTGGGAATACAATCCATACTGTTGGAGTAGCAGTTTGACTCAATGAAGACAGTTCATAGAGAAAAGCTCAGTTTGCTGTTCTGCTTAGATGACGTGCAAACCAATTAGATTTGTAGTTTATTTAGTGGGGAATGGAGCAGAAATTCTCAGCTTCAGACAGGTTTTCCCCTTGCTTTGGTATAGTATAACTACAGTGGTACCTCTGGTTACGAACACTTCTGGTTACGAACGCTTCAGGTTATGAGCTCCGCTAACTCGGAAGTAGCTGCTCCTGGTTTGCCCCAGGATGCAAACAGAAATCACGTGCTAGAGGTGCATGCACAGCAGGAGGTCCCATTAGCAAAAGCGCACCTCAGGATAAGAATGGTTTCAGCTTAAGAACAGACCTCTGGAACAAATTAAGTTCGTAACCAGAGGTACCACTGTACTTACTTTGGTCTTGTTCTGTCTTTTATGGGATGTTTTTTCTCCTGTAGGTAAAATTAAGAAAGTAACTAGCCTTGTGTCATATTCTGTTTGTGCTTTCCTTCATAGTTCTATTTCCAATTTGGTATTCAGCTCATGAAAGGAGGTATGACATTCCTGAAACAGATGTTATTTAGTGCTGTATTTGCTTTGCATACATATGAATTGAGAAACCATACTTTTTCTAATGTTGAAAAACAGCTTGTATTGGATATGTGCTGAACAGATATTCTAGGCCTCAGTTTCTGGTGCTGCTGATGTTAGTGACCTGATGGGGCAGACTATCATAGATACTCCATGATTAAGTATTGGCTGGGAAACAAAAGTCTAGGGGATTGGCAGCCATAGTTTGTTATGGTAGTGGTGATGACAGTCTGACCATCATTCATTGTTTTAATAGTCACTTCCTTCTCCTGTACTTTGCTTTTTAATTCAGTGGCTTCTTAAGGTCAATAAAAAATGCACACTATCAATGGATTAATTTGCTTGTGTCTCAGATGTTAAATAGGTTGAAATGAGCATAACATCTAAGAACATATTTTGAGATGCCTCCCACACTGAATATTTTTTGACTAGGATGACACTATAGAATACTGGATCACTCAAGGTATTCATAAGATTGCATTTTCTGGTTATTGTTTTTACCTTGTTACTCATTTAATATTAGGAAATCACTGTGGTTCTTAAGACTATGTTCATGGAAGACAAACTTACTCGGCTACGAGTAATCTCCATAGATGATGATAGTTTAGCTTTGTACAGTATGCTTTTCTTTGAAAAGAATGGATTTAAATACATAAAGATATGACTTCTACTTCTAGCATTCCCTATTCCAATTTTTATTCTCTCTTATTTTAAAGCCTGTGTTAAGTTTAACAGTTACTGCAACAATTTGTTGCTGCTCCTACTTGCATTTCCTTAGTGCACACCAATGTAACAATGATTTAAACTGTTTTTAAGAGAACCATCTGCTGAACTTTATCAGCATACAAGTGAGGCATTTTGGCTTTCTATGCACGAAGTCAGCAATCTTAGGCATACATATTGGAAATAAGACCTACTGAACAAAATGGGACTTCTGACTAGTGATGTTAAATTCTTAAGAATATTTTTTTGGAGAATGTTCTCGATTAATGAGAATATTAGAGAATTTTCATTTAAAATAGGAGAATAATCATTTTAATGCGTTGAAAATGATATAATTAGTTAATATACATGTTTATTCATGGGTAAACCTGTTCAGATAGTAACAAAAAACTGTACAGATACTTTAATTCAATGGGGCAATGCAGTGAATTCATACCAGTCTTTGATTTTTTGCACCAAACTTGAAATTGAAAATTCAGTGTGAATGACTCACGTTAATCACTAAGCCTGTTACCATCAATTTGAATTCCAATTATGTTGTGTATGTATGAAATGTAGCTTTTAAAGTAAAAGGAATACAAAAAAGACTCAGGTCTGCTACAAGAGTACATTCTTTAGTAAGCATATCTACATGGTACAGTATTTTCAGTGCAACACTAATAAAATTTATATGTTTAAAATAAATGCTATTTTTTCCAGAAAATAAAACACAAATAATCAGTAATGACAAGTTATATAACATCAGAAATGCAAATTACTATCTGCTTAGACAAGTAAGAAAACACACAACATATTTAAATTATAACTGATAAATTGTCACAAGAAATAAATTTATTTTAAAAATAGGCTTTAATTAAAGGTAAAGGGACCCCTGACCGTTAGGTCCAGTCGCGAACGACTCTGGGGTTGCTGCTCTCATCTCGCTTTACTGGCCGAGAGAGCCAGCGTACAGCTTCCGGGTCATGTGGCCTGCATGACTAAGCTGCTTCTGGCGAACCAGAGCAGCGCACGGAAACGCTGTTTACCTTCCCGCCGGAGGTAATTTATCTGATTGCACTTTGATGTGCTTTTGAACTGTGAGTTGGGCAGGAGCTGGGACCGAGCAACGGGAGCTCACCCCGTCGCGGGTATTCGAACTGCCGACCTTCTGATCGGCAAACCCTAGGTTCTTTGGTTTAGACCACAGCGCCACCTGCGTCCTAGGCTTTAAGTAACAAGTCTCAAATGATTATAAATTTATATTGACTCCTCAAACATCTTAAGAGGATAAGTCACCATCTTCGTCTCCATGATGTCAATCTCTGGTAAATGGCACCTTGTACCATTGAATGGCACTGCAAAAACCAGTTACTGGCATTAAATAAAAATATTGAAATGTCAACTGTTTAAATCAAGGTCACCTCACTTGCCGTTACACATAATTGTATAGGTCTAGGTACTTTAAGTGTATAAAGCATTATAGCTACCGTATTTTTCGCTCTATAGGACACACTTTTTCCCCTTCAAAAATGAAGGGGAAATGTGTTTGCGTCCTATGGAGCGAAGACGCCATAGCCCCGCGACCCTCTCCCGGCTGGAGAGGTGACGCGTAGCTATGGCAGGAGCCTCTATAGCCGCGCGTCACCTCTCCAGCCGGGAGAGAACGCGTGGGGCTAAAGAAGCCCCCCGCGACCCTCTCCCGGCTGGAGAGGTGACGCGCAGCTATGGCAGGAGCCTCTATAGCCGTGCGTCACCTCTCCAGCCGGGATAGCGCACGCGGGGCTAAAGAAGCCCCCCCGCGACCCTCTCCCGGCTGGAGGGGTGACGCGCGGTTATGGCAGGAGCCTCTCCACTGCGCCTTTCTGCTGCTCCCTGACCTCCTCTTTGGGGCTGGTGGTGGGCTTCCCCCCGCCAGCCCCAAAGAGCAGGTTGAAAGGAACTTGAAGCCTGGAGAGCGAGAGAGGTCCGTGCGCACCGACCCCTCTCGCTCTCTAGGCTTCCAAGGTAGCCGCCTGCACGCACCTTAAACGGCACCTTGTTTTAGAGCGGGAAAACAAGAGGGGGGAAATTCTCCCCCTCTCTGCGCAGCGCCTCCTGCCGCTTCCCTGAAGGGGCGCTGGGCAGAGAGGGGGAGAATTTTTTTTTCTTGTTCTCCCCCCTCTAAAAAAAGGTGCGTCCTATTGTCCGGTGCGTCCTATGGTGCGAAAAATACGGTATTTTCTGTATGGCCAAGGGTATAGAATTGCTAGGAATAAGGTCACACCAAAAAAGAAAAAAAGCCTATTACATATAGTTGAAATATATATGAATTCAGATGTTCATCAGATTAAATGAATGGCATTTTTAAAACAAAACAAAAAATGTTTTCTGTAGTTCACATTTCAGAAGTGCCAATGGTGCCCAGTAATGTAACTTGATCAAAAAAATCATTATTTATTACTTACACTGGCAATATCACAGATTGACTTATTATTTACTAGATTTTTTAAATGTGGATTATAAAACTGGTTCTTAAATTAGAATTTACAGTTTGTGGAGAATATTCTGCGGAGAATTTAGAAGGCACAGGGCCTTCTTGGTAGGAGCGCCCTCCCTTCAGATGTTAAGGAAATAAACAACTATCTGACTTTTGGAAGACATCTGTTTAGGGAAGTTTTTAATTTTTTTTATTGTGTTTTTACTATTCTGCTGGGAACCACCCAGAGTGGCTGAGGAAACCCAGCCAGATGGGTGTGGTATAAATAAAATTATTATTATTATTATTATTATTATTATTATTATCAGCTCAAAAGTCATACCTCATGGAAGTAGCCACTCCCTCCTGCTTGTTTTTATCACCAATGTCTATAATTCATAGGTATTGCCTCAGAACATGAATTTTCTATAGATTACTTAAAATTAACAAGCTTCTGATAGACTTTATATTCCATTTATATGTCTAAACCAGGGTGAGCCAATGTGGTGTCTTCTAGACATTTTGGATTAAAATTCCCAATGTCCCTTAGCATTGATTGTGCTGACTGGGAGTGATGGGAATTGCAGTCCATAGCATCTGGAAGGCTTCCCCTTGTCTAAGCTTATTAAATGCTGTCTCAGACTCTTGATGTATTTCATGACCTGCCATCTTAACATGAAGCTGACAGAAGAGATGCTGAGAGAAACAAGATGAAATCAGTTATGATAATCTGTGAAGACTTTTAGGATCAGTCATAACAGAAACCTTTTATTCATATCACAGTGAATTTTTTAAAATTGTCATGAGGACTTTAGTCTCCACAATGTTTATAATTTATCAACTTAGGTTATTTTATGTAGATGACGAAGCCTCAGTTTAAAGATAGTAAATAATTTTTGTAGTACTTCCAGTTCTGATACTATTCTGGAAACAGAATAGCCTCAACTTTAAATAGTATTCTAAATGTGGATACACCACAGGTTCCTATAATGACAGACTTTTAAATACCATATTTTTTGCTGTATAAGATGCACTTTCCCCCTCCTAAAAAGTAAGGGGAAATGTGTGTGCGTCTTATGGAGCGAATGCAGGCTGCGCAGCTTTCGCTGAAGCCAGGAGAGCAAGAGGGATTGGTGTGCACTGACCCCTCTTGTTCTCCTGGCTTGGCTTTGCTGGAGAGCCGCTGTGTAGCATTCCTTCTCTGCGCAGCGCCCCTTCAGCAAAGCGGGAGGAGAAATGGAAGGGGCTCTGCTTCTCCTGCCGCTTCACTGAAGGGGCGCTGCGCAGGGAGGGAGAGAACTTTTTTTTTCTTGTTCTCCTCTAGAACTAGGTGCGTCTTATGGAGTGAATAATACGGTAACCTAGATGTCTGCAGTGACTATGGATTACCTCCAGGAAGATTTTACAAAAGTTGCTATTTTCTTTTATATACATAGACAGGGAATCAAGTTGATTCGTTCCAGTAATTGTGTTCTCCAAGGAATTTTTTCAATTTCTTAAGTTCATTAGTAACAACGAAAGGATGCCAATGGCAAAACCAATATTAGGGCAGATCTTTTATTATTAGATTTAACTTTAATATACCAAACTGAGTACTTACTATTTTAATATATTCAAAGTTTAATTTAGTATAGTCAGCAAAATAAAAATAAAAATCATAGATCTTATAGTTAGAAAGGCCCTGAGATGACATTACAGGGGGAATGTTTTGCCTAATAGTTATTTTAGTCTACATACTCCTGTTGTGTTTAACTTCTGACATAGGTGATGTGCTGATGTTTCAAGGAACTTTGAGAAATGTCATGTATAGCTTTCTCCTGGAGAGGAAAGATTACTTTAAATGTATAATCCCTTAAGGTTAACTTCTTGAAGTGGTGCTTATCTGATCTTTAAGCAAAGGCATCTAAGGCAGGGTTGACTAATCCCTCCCCCCAGGGCCACAGTGATGGTCTCCCACCTGACTGGTGACCACATGCCCATGGTGGGTGTGGCTAGTGTTTGCTGTCTGGTCTTTGACTGCAATAAAGATTGATTGGTGTGGCATATAAGCACATATGTGCCTGCCACACACACATTTAGCACACACAATGTCTGCTAACCAGACATGCCGCCAGACAGCCCTCCCTTCCACCCCCTCCGTCACCATTCAAGTTCTTCCCACTCCAACACTCAAGGATCTGTTCAAAGTTTAAAAGGCAATGTTCATAAAAGAGCGGACAGGGAGATTCATCTCCAAGCTCAGTGCTTTGGTGCTTAGCGCTAAGATCAGGGATAAAAGATCCCTCTTACTACTCTTTAGAGAGGATCTTGAAACAGGATACAGATTCATTTTACTGTCTGGATAAATTGGGGTTAATGCAGCACCTTTTGCATTCTTTTTTTGTGTTGTAATAGATGGTTTGACTATTTACTGTACCACAACCCCCATCTTTCAAGTGAAAAACTATTATTCCCCCAGACACTTGCATGTTTGTCTGTCTGTATACATTTGTATTTCCTTGAAAAAAAAATAAAAAAATAAAATTGATGCGTGAATAAGTGTTGATCCCACATCACACATTTGTCAACATGTGAGGGGGTCATATCAGCCCCCCTGTATGTGGCTCAGTAATGGCATCTTTGTTTCTAAGGTGAGTTGGGCTGTAGGTATAAGAAAGAAATTGTATCATTCACTTATAGATTCATTTGGGAGGATATAGCTGCCATTTGAAAATTTTGGCAGAGTGCCATTGCTCACTTGCTTACCTTCATTCTGCTTACACATATGTATGTGTTCTGCTTACTCAGTTTTGCAGCATCACAGAAATAATTCATTGTAGGTTGTTCTCTACTCTTATAGTTCTGAAGTTGGCATGAGCAGTGTAAGTAATTCTAATGCCATGAAACTGAGCAAACAAAACTGCATACAACTTCAACAAATTACAGGCTAATTACTAAAGAGCTGCTTTTGCTGTGAAGAGGTGTGTTCCAAACTAGTTGTCTCTGCTTTGAAGGCAATTTTCTACTGCTGACACGGCTTTTTTATTTCTCTCTTTACCCCATCCCCCTTCAGTGTCTAGTTTGTTATCCATCACATGATCGCATATCTTTTCTTCCATCTGGCCCAAGAAGACATTTTTACATTACACTGTGATGCCATATCTCTTTGCAGCACTTGATTTTGGTCTAAGTTTTTATTGTTGAGAAGGGTATATAGCACTTGATTTGCATTCAGAGGGTACCAGATTCAATTCTTGGCATGTCCTGTTAAAAGGTCTTTGGGCAGCAAGAGGTAAATCACTTAATCTTATGAAATTCTCTTAATATATAAAATGCATTTTAAAAACAGTAAAGCAGCAGCATAAAAGCATATAAAAACAAATGGGAAGGAGATTCAAATACATAAAACAGGTTCTGTTCTTTTGGGTTGGAGGAAGCCTAAACAAATAAGTCTTTACAAGATAGCTGAAACTACTGGTGGTTGTTGCCTCATGTATAGCAGAATGAAGGGCATTCCATAATACGGGGCAGCAGCAGAAAATGCCAAGTAGGTCAACTCAAGTACAGTGGTACCTCAGTTTATGAACTTAATCCGTTCCGGAAGTCCGTTCTTAAACCAAAACCATTCTTAAACTGAGGCACACTTTCTCCAATGAGGCCTCCTGCCACCAGTGCCCTTCCATAATTCGGATTCTGCTCTTAGACTGAGGTAAAGTTCTCAAACCAAGACACTATTTCCGGTTTTGCAGAGTTTGTAAACCAAATCGTTCTTAAACCGGACTGTTCTTAAATCGAGGTACCACTGTCATATATCCAGTTGAAATAATTCAAAAATTGATGTGGAGCTTATTGTTAGAAACTAAGCACTTTGGACAGCTGTTGTTTTTTAAAGAAAATATTAAGAACTTGTATGATTGACAGCATGTTAGGAAAAATAATTTGAAAATTATTTTTCAAAAATGTAAGGAAGGTGGTTCTATCAGAGACCATCCCTTTAGTGTGTGTGAGGCTTTGGTTTATAGTTACGTAGCTTGTTCACTGAAATGTATTTAGTACTTGTATCAAAAGGTGTGCTTTCGTATTAACAACAAGCTATTTCTTCTGTTTCAGATATTTAATTAGTCAAGGAGCACATGTAGGAGCTGTAAATAGTGAAGGGGACACTCCATTAGATATTGCTGAAGAAGAGGCAATGGAAGAGTTGCTTCAAAATGAAGTGAATCGGCAAGGTAATTTTAAAGGTTTACTACATAAAAAAATTAAAACATAAAAAGAATCTGTATTAAAACCAAAATGTTGCATCAGATTGACCATATGCAATTAAAAAATGCCATATAACTATAATTAATTCTGAATACAAATTTAAGAGCCCCTGGTTACATAAGAAAATACACTGTAGAAATAGGAAGAATTATGTCTCTGGAAAATTGAATGGAACTTTCAATAAAATATGTGTTAACAATTCATTTTTATAGGGCTTGCCATTTATTTAAGTGTGCTGATTAGGTTTGAGTTTACATCTGAAAAAGAACTGAATCTAACAACAATGTGTTTTCCAAAATGAGCATGATAGATACACCCATTGTCTTTTAAAAGACTTTTGCATATGATGAGCCTTTCAGTTGTTTTAGTGACCAGATTGAAGCCAGTTTATGTTATGTTTATCTCAGTCTTGCAGTTTGCCATATGTGGATGCCTTTGTGAAAAAAATATCCTGCCAGACTAATAAAACACTGTGTGCCTCAATTGCTGGTGTTCATATCTGTGAATCAGTATGATCAAGCACCACAACAGGCTTCAGTGGAAACTACAGGTGTATGGGAGAATATTCATGAATATCAGTGTTAGTGAAGAAATAGCATTATCTGTGCATTTTAAGATGCAAGTAACAAAGTGAAAGTAGAATGAACTGTGTCTCCGTTGTTGCTACAATCTTAAGCAGAAGAAGTACAGTATAAATCTTCATTATGGACATTGAAGGGATTCCTGAGCTGAATTCTTGTCTGAGCAGCACTTTTTATACGCATTCTTCCCAGATTATAAATATGGCACTATGCTTGTTGGCTATGTTTTTTCTCCCCTAAAGTGATTACAATTACATGTTTGTTTGATATTAATTCATGGAGAAAGCAGGAAGGATCATAGGTTCTTAAAGATGTACTATATGGATATGTGACCCTAGGGCCTTTCTTATTGTGTCCAAAGTTATAACTGAGTAAGATTGCTCAAGAAATCTAAAAATGTCATTTGATGAAATTTCTACTGCATTATTAAAAATGCAGCTTCTTAATGAGCTGAAAGGGGAATTGAAATTTCGAGGAGAACCCAGCAAGGTAGCAGAGAGCATGCTTTGAATGCAGAATGTTCCACATTCAACTTGTGGCTTTTCCAGGTAAGGCTGTGAAAGTGGTAGAGTGCAGAGATGGCTCAAACTTAGTTTGCCGGTAGAGAAACCAAGATGTTGGGGCATTTATTTAAGAAGTGGGAAAGGAAAGGTTTTGTATAGGACTCTAATAGAACAGTCCTGCAAATATTTTCCCTAAAATCCAACTTCATTCAGTTCCACTTTATAGCCGAAGCTTTTTTTTTTTTTAAATCTGATTATTGACATCTTTCTATTTCTTCATTGTCAAATTTTAAGTCATATGTTCTAGTGTGCTTTTTATCTAGATGGGAAACTTTCTGTAAGTTTCTGTCAGGTGTGAGTCAGACTAATAAGAGAACTGTTCTTAGGGGCAATGTTTTACTTTGGGAAGGCAATTTTAGCTCAGCCTCTTGTTTCAACTGAGGCAGTGACTTCAGTGAATGGGTGGCTGGGTGGGAGCAGGGTAGGATATTTAGTAGAGCTGTGGACTTGCAGAAAGAACTGGAACTTCTCAACCCTTCCCATCTTATCAAACCTGATTGACATTTAGCTAGTATGTAATCAGCAATAATTGAAAGAACATCTTCAGGCTCCAGCAAGGCATCTTTGAGTACTGTAATGCTGAAATGCAAGAAGATTATCAGAATACATTTTCAACTAGGCTGATAAAATAGTCAGAACATTTGCTGCTTAACATGCAAGTGTGGCTCCAGTGCAACAAAATGCAGACAATGTTTTTCAGTAGTTAATTCATTGGGGGGGAAAGTCATGTGTAGTATTTCAGATTGCCTACTGCTGTTCTAAATCAGAATCCTTCGTTGTGTAAAATATATCATGAAAGGACTGTTCAGAGGGCTTTTGTCTTTCACGTTTGATAAAATAAAGGAAAATATTTCTTTTGTGCCAATACTAGTTTAAAGCTTTAAAGTATAAAGCTTAAAGCTTTCTGCAAGCTTTCTAAGATTCATGTCTGAAGCAAACATACTTATTAAATATTTGCTTTGTTGTTGTTGTTGTTGTTGTTGTTGTTTAGTCATTTATTCTAGGCTAGATACAAAACTATAGTAATGTAAGGTTGCATGTCTTGTGTAAGGTCCCATGTCTTATCTAATGTCTAGTAAAGGTGGCGCTCTAGTCTAAACCAAACTTATTGAGCTTGCTGATCGTAAGGTTGGCAGTTTGAATCCGCATGACGGGGTGAGCTCCTGTTGCTTTGTCCCAGCTCCTGACAACCTAGCAGTTCAAAAGCATACAAGCACAAGTAGATAAATAGGTACTGCTGTGGCGGGAAGGTAGATGGTGTTCCCGTGAGGTCTGGCTCACCCCATAGTCGAATGTGACTGGACTTAACCGTCTATGAGTCCTTTACCTTTACCTTACCTAATTTGTAGTCTTAGTGATTGCTTTAAGGATGAAGACAATTCAGATCTTAAAGAGAACAGAATTAATTAATTATAGTTCATTTTTAAAAATAGGCATCATAATGTTATCAGCCACTTGCCTATACAATATTTTGGCTATGGTTGTATAAAATCTTAATGTCAGAGTGAATCTTGTGACTTGAATTCTAAGATAAGTTGACTTAACGAAGTTAATGGAATTAAAATTCCCACCCAAATGGTTCAGCACCCCTCTCTGGAGAGGCTTTTGTGGGGAGGTGCAGTTGGCTGCATAGGTGAAGAGACAGTAAGCTTTCCTGGCATAAACTTAATTGTTTTAGCCTATCCTAGGAGTCAAACCTATATATTTAATCATTTTTTCAGTGGAATAAGGTGATCAAATATTAGGTAATCTTTAGTTCTGATCTTTTCGCCCTTGAAGATAATATTACTACTCAAATCTTTATTGCTAGTCAGCTGTTGGTAGCTTCTGAATAATTATTATGAGTAGAAATATGTCCTTCTGATTTGAAAGTGGGAGAATTGACTTGACATGTTTTGATAAATCATTCAGGTCTGTGTTGAGAAGACACATAGATAATTGAGCAGAGAGCTTCTAGTGCCAATCTAGAAGAGCAGGTTTAAGAATTCTATGCATGCTCTCTGGACCACCAAGGGAGGCAAAATGAAATCTTCTGTAATCAAGACAGGGATGGGAAGTGAGGTACACCTTTAGATTTCTATAGTTGGTTCAGATGTTTGTGTTTGTACACATTTTGCTTTTATAACGCTGCTGGTCAGCAAGTGTGCAAGAGTTAATAAATGGATGTCCCTGCACTTTTGTTTATGAGTTCTGGGCTGAGACTGTTCTTCAGGTTGTAATATGTAATATGCCCTATGTTTAATATATGCACTGTTAAATCCAGGAAATTTAAGTAACAGAGTACAGTGGTACCTAGGTTCTCAGACGTAATCTGTTCTGGAAGACCATTAAATGCTTCCATTTTTGAACATGCCTCGGAAGTTGAACAGCTTCTGTTGCGTGTTTTTCAATTTTCTCCACTGAACTTGCAGCCAGCTCTTTGCACCTTGGTTTTCAAACGTTTCGGAAGTCAAATGGTCTTCCAGAACAGATTACGTCTGAGAACCTAGGTACCACTGTACTCTGTTACTTAAATTTCCAGGTTTTCGATATTCAGCTTCTGAAATGTTTGGCTTCCGAGGCACTCAAAAACCGAGGTACCTCTGTACATGCATGTGGCATTAACAATAGCACATATAGCATTTACTGTTGAAGCTATTAAAAGCATCTTACGAAATAAATAGTTGCTGATTGTTCTTGGGGAAATAACTGCCAAATCCCTTCTCCCAGTGACCTGCCTTAATACGTGCATCTGTTTTAAGTGAAACATTTTGATTCACTGTGGGTGGGTTTTTCTGCAGACTATCTACAAATATCAAGTTCATTAAGATTAAACATCGTTGTAAAAGTAGAAAGAAAGAAAGAAAAGGGTTCCTAGTGGGTCCCTTTTTCTATAAGAGCATTGAATATGTATCTAAATATAAATAGTATAGCAATACAGTGGTACCTTGGGTTACATACGCTTCAGGTTATATACGCTTCAGGTTACAGACTCCGCTAACCTAGAAATAGTACCTCGGGTTAAGAACTTTGCTTCAGGATGAGAACAGAAATTGTGCTCCGGCGGCGCGGCAGCAGCAAGAGGCCCCATTAGCGAAAGTGGTGCTTCAGGTTACGAACAGTTTCAGGTTAAGTACGGGCCTCCAGAACGAATTAAGTACTTAACCCGAGGTACCACTGTAGTTCTGATCCTTGACAGACAGAGCAGCTATGTCTGTCTATACTATACTGCGAGCACTCCAATTGGAGAGTAGCCTTTACCATGGACTTTGAAGAAGCACAATCTGGATGAAAGGGAGAAACGAGCTAAGAGGAAGACACATTTGGCAAATCCTCACCATGATCAACTCCCGCCCGAAAACCTATGTTCCCACTGTGCAAGGGCGTGTGGATCCAGAATTGGCCTCCACAGTCACTTACAGACACACCGATAAGACCGTGTTCATGGAGGACGATCTTACACGGCTACGAATGATCACCAAAGAAAGAAGGACTTATTTTTATTTATTTAAAAATATTTGTATACCACTGTATCAGAAATGTACAGCCAAACTATAAAATAATAAAAAGTTAAAAGCAAGTTTAAAGCAAAAAGAAAATCAAAACAAATATCAATACACCACTGTGTGTGGGTGTGTAATATTGATTCCCTGGGAGGCCTGGTAGAATAGAATGCAGTGGTCTACACAGTGAATAGCAACCTCAAGGTATAGTCACCTCAAGGCATGGTAACACATGCCTTCTTGGAGATTGGTTACACTCCCTTCTTGGAGGTTGGTCACTTATTATGCCATTTCTGCAGATAACCATATAATAAAATAAACAAATAAAAATAAGATCTCTGAAATGCAAAGATGAGGACCTTTTAAAGGAAATGTCAGCACTTATATGATCATAGATATAAAATAGAATTAGTAGGCTTGTGGGATGCATTTAAACTTACAGAGGCTATTAATACTAAGCACTGCAGGACCTCGATGGGGTCTTTAGAGACAAAATTGTGTTAGTGTTGTTTGGACCTCAAAATAGCCAGATGAAAGGTTTTACTGTAGCTATGGTTGCCCATAAAACATGTTAAAAGATCGAGAATGCTGTGGTACATTGAGCATGAGTTAGTTCATTGGAATGAACTTTTGTAGGCAACAGCCATCTTGGTTATATTCATGAAGCAGAATGAAAAGGCAATATGTATATATGCACATTGCCTGAAAACCAAGTTTTAAAAATCCTCTTTGGGCAATATACATAGAAGCCGTGTTGGAGTGTAGGGTCCAAAAGAAAGAAAGAAAGAAAGAAAAGGGTCATGCACAAGTAATAGGATGTGTGCTGGAATAGCCACAGGTACAGCTTTGCATGTAATTGTATTTCAGTCGTAGAAGAGGTTTAACTTGTTTCATTTGTGTCAGCAACACAGCCATGCACAAGGCATCATTTGCTTTGCTTCTGTACCTGTGCTTCTTGCTGCAAGCTGCTCCCATTGGAAGAGAGTAAATCTCTTCAGTAGGAAAGATACAGGAAATGCTTCACATTCCTTTCTTCTGATTGCTTAGCAACAGTGATTTAACTGAGTAATTGCCATTGGCAACAGCAGCATCTGCCCTAATAAGCCTTGGAGCCTTGCCTCCATATATATATATATATATATATATAGTAAAGGGACCCCTGATCAGTCGCGGACGACTCTAGGGTAGTGGTGCTCATCTCGCTTTATTGGCTGAGGGGAGTCGGCGTACAGCTTCCAGGTCATGTGGCCAGCATGACTAAGCCGCTTCTGGTGAACCAGAGCAGCGCACAGAAACACCGTTTACCTTCCCGCTAGAGCGGTACCTATTTATCTACTTGCACTTCGTGCTTTCGAACTGCTAGGTTGGCAGGAGCAGGGACCGAACAACGGGAGCTCACCCTGTAGCGGGGATTCGAATCGCCAGCCTTCTTCACCCAACGATTACTTTTAGGTGTAGTTCAGAGATTTTTGAGCTAGTTCATTCCAAGCACTGGATGTGGTCACTACTAGTTGGCTGGTAATGAAGCTATCTGAGTGACAAGAGTCTGTCAAAAACAGTAGCGAGTACAGCAACTCTGCATCATTTTGTGTGTGTGCATGTGCGCTTGCATACAGACTGTTGTGTTGATATGGGACAGAATGTTAATGGCAACATACTGGAATTTCACCTGTGTGTTGGAATCTTTGGATGAAGTCACCCAGCCACTTTATATGGATGTCTAAAAGGATGCAGTGGTGGCAGCACTGATGAGGTTGAGCAGAAGTTCCACAATGCTGCCTTCTGGAATTGACTTTACAAATAGAAGCAATGCCTCCTAGTCACAGAGTCTATCCAGAAAGATTCCTTGGTTGATGGTATCAAAAGCTGCCAAAAGATCGAAGAGAATGATCAAAGCCCCATTTGTGTCTCTTGACAGAGGTCATGCATCAGGGAAATTTAAGTGCCAAATCCAGACCTGAAACAGGATTGAAATGAATCTAGACAATATGTTTCAAGCAAGGGAGATTAACATTAGACAACCGCCACTTGCTTGAGCATCTTGACCCCCAAAGTGATATGACTGGGTTATTACAGTCTTCTGGATCTGGAGAGGATTTTTAAAGGACTGACTGCATAGCTTAGGTTTGCCATATGTCTGGAATTTCCCGGACATGTCTGGGATTTAACTGCTGAAAATAGCATCCGGGGGGAATTTAGGAAAATAGGCAAAATGTCCAGGATTTTGAGGTTGACTGCCTAAAGAAAGCTCAACAATTCCTCCCCAAAAGCTCACCAACTTCTGTGTCCTGAATTTTACTTCTAGAAATAATGGCAACCGTAGCCTAGCTGACTTACTGACTTGCCACTGGTCAGTATCTAAACTCTTTCTTCTTTCCATCTTTAAGCATTAAAGATTGATTATGCTAGGTTGGTAAGTGCCCAGAGCTTGTGACACAGCAATACTTGCTGGCAAGCTAACAAATGCTGAGAATTAGAATTTTGAAATGTTTTAAAATGCATGCTGAGCAATATATTTTAGAATTAAGCTAAAACGTTTCAGCTGATTAACTAGTAAAGGTAGCTAATTAGCCCCCCCACCCAATCTTTATGTAAAATGATTTTGTAGTGTACCTGAGAGAGAGCAAATAACATTTTTTAATGGAATAAACTGAACACTGAGCTAGAGATGCAATATTGCCATCTGTGGACCATTCTTAGAATGTACTTTGTACCTTAAACTTATGAGAAATATGAAATGTTTCTCTTATGAGAAATATGAGATTCTCAATGCACAATGGATATATGAATTTTTGGAGTTACTTATTAACTTACGCTAATTTACATGCATAAATTGATTGGGGGATGTGGCTTGAAAATAATAGCAACAATAACAATAATCATTGTATTGCATTTATTATTTGCTTTTTTAAAATAAAAAGTGACCTGAAGCAACTTACAAAATAATATAAACATTAAAACTATGTATAAAACCAAAACCAACATACATGACAAAGCTAGATAATAAAGAGGCCAGAAATACACACAGGACTTTCCAAATTAAGGACTGAAAGCCTGGTTTTAAATAAATGTTTCTTTCCTGACACCTAAAAATAGATAATGATATTGCCAGTTGTGCCTCCCTGCAGAACGTGGGGGGGGGGCACCAATGAAAAGGGGGCAAATGGAAAAAGGCCCTGGATGACAAATGCAAACCCCAGTTTAGTTCATGTGGGAAAAGACAGTCCTTGAGGTATTGTGTGCCTTTGCTGCCTTTCTCTACCCACTTTTCCTTTGTATTCCTTTGTGTCTTATGTCTTTTGCCTGTTTAAGCTGGCATGGCCATGTTTTTTTCACTACATGGAAGGGTTGAACATTAGATAATTTTAAATATGAATGAATCTATAATACATTTCGCCCTCCCATTTAACCTGAGCTGGACATGGGAGGTTTTCCTGCAGGTCAAGGAACTACCGTATTTTTCGCTCTATAAGACGCACCAGACCACAAGACACACCTAGTTTTTGGGAGGAAGAAAACAAGAAAAAAAATATTCTGAATCTCAGAAGCCAGAACAGCAAGAGGGATCGCTGTGCAGTGAAAGCAGCAATCCGTTTTGCTGTTCTGGCTTCTGGGATAGCTGCACAGCCTGCATTCGCTCCATAAGACGCACACACATTTCCCCTTACTTTTTAGGAGGGAAAAAGTGAGTCTTATAGAGCAAAAAATATGGTAATTCCTATTCCAGGGGTGGGGGAGACCCCCTGAAGTAGGCCACCAGAACTGTTATATTATGATTTAGTTTCACAGGCAGTGCATTCAGAGTTGCTGCCTAGCCATGGAAACTAGAGAACACTGAAGACGATAGCTGTATCTTCTGGAAATGAAGAGTATGGAAATAAGGAATTCCCAGGTCCTAATCTAAACATGTTTTTTACCTGTTTCTCCCGCCAATGTCATACTCATCTAGACTACCTTTTATGACCTTTGTGTCTCTGACCTGCAGTTTTGCTTTGCTTTTATGCTGGATGTCTTGGCTCAACCAGTTTGCTGGACACTATCCAACCAATCTAGGTCTTCTTTTTCTCATGAGATGCCCTGACTCTTCTGGGGGAATGCCACCTCCAGCAGTGTATGGCACAGACAGGCATTGCCTCTACTTTCCTCTCTTCCACACCACATACATCCCAGGAATACTGCAAAATCATTGGGTGGCTCAACTTGGGTACCTTTTGTAGATCCGTGCTAGCTTTCTGCTATATTAAAATGTATGCTGATGCATGGCTACTGGTCCTGTTTCCACACTGAACTTTGAGCCCATGATTCTGCCAAGGCATTATCTATTCTATGTTTTATGAAAAGTAATACAATAGGGACGCGGGTGGCGCTGTGGGTAAAACCTCAGCGCCTAGGACTTGCCGATCGCATGGTCGGCGGTTCGAATCCCCGCGGCGGGGTGAGCTCCCGTCGTTCAGTCCCAGCTCCTGCCCACCTAGCAGTTCGAAAGCACCCTTAAGTGCAAGTAGATAAATAGGTACCGCTTTATAGCGGGAAGGTAAACGGCGTTTGCGTGTGCTGCTCTGGTGCCGGTTCGCCAGAGCAGCTTCGTCACGCTGGCCACGTGACCCGGAAGTGTCTGCGGACAACGCTGGCTCCCGGCCTCTAGAGTGAGATGAGCGCACAACCCTAGAGTCTGTCAAGACTGGCCCGTATGGGCAGGGGTACCTTTACCTTTACCTTTTTAATACAATATTGAAATGGTTCAGTGGGTGAAGGAGTACCATTGCCATTCCTCATTTCTCTTTTCCTCCAATGTGGAGCAGAGGTGGCTGATTATTGCAGTCAGCTTCCATAATGCTGGGCGAGGCTCCTATGATATCTTGTGTCAGTGTTTATGTCATTTGAATAAGAATTTATGTACATATTTTGAAATGAAAATATTTCTTTCCATTCAGGGGTTGATATAGAGGCAGCTCGCAAAGAAGAGGAGCGAATAATGCTTAGAGATGCAAGACAGTGGCTTAACAGTGGTCATATAAATGATGTTCGGCATGCAAAATCTGGTGGCACAGCACTCCATGTAGCTGCTGCTAAAGGGTATACAGAAGTATTAAAGTAAGTTAATTTCTAATGCAGATTCACACTTTGTAGTTGCAAATTTCTGTAGTTTAGACTATTCCGCAGATCCTTGGTTTACATGTTAAAATTGTGACTTTTTAAAGTCTTTCTGTGTACAACCTTTTTAGTCAATATGGTAGTCCATGTGAGAAAATACAGTGGTACCTTAGTTCTCTAACTTAATCTGTTCTGGGAGGACTCCCAAAACTGTTCAAAAAGCAAGGTACGGCATCCAATTGGCTGCAGGAGCTTCTTGCACTCAAGCAGAAGCCATAGAAGCCGCATTGGGCGTTTGGCTTCCAAAAAATGTTTGCAAACTTACCTCCAGGTTTGCGGCGTTCGAGAGCTGATTTGTTCAACAACAAAGTTGTTTGGGAACCAAGGTACCAGTGTAATGCAATTTCTTTGCTCATTAAACCCTTCACATGGTTCAATGCTCTGAAAATGCCACCAAATCCTTCAGTTTTTAAAAATTTTATAGCACTTTATTTCAGTTGTTTTGCTGTCTTTAATTTAATTTATCAAATTTATTCAGGCTTTTAATACAGGCTGGCTATGATGTAAATATTAAAGATTATGATGGCTGGACACCACTTCATGCGGCTGCTCATTGGGGTAAAGAAGAAGCATGTCGAATACTAGTGGAAAACTTGTGCGATATGGAGACTGTCAACAAAGTGGTAGGACTTTTGCATAATCTTTGTCAAAATGTGTTGTTATTGATCTATTGATTAAAAGTAGGTTATGAATTCTGTATTTGCTATTGCTACTTAGCTGTACATCTTAGTTATCTTAGTTAGCTTGTAAATAAAAATCCTAGCATGTCTCCAAATTTAGTAGTAGCTTGCCTCTTCAGGTGATCTGATATATTCCGCTTGGAAGGACAGGCCTGGGTGAATGCAACCAATTTTTAATCCTTAATAAAATGCAAGAAATCAGTTCATTTAAGTACAGTTACTAAACACACACATTTTTACTTCATTAAGGGGAACATACTGTTCAGGAAACAACTGCATAATTCCAGAAAGTCCTTTTTGTATCTTGAGTAGTTCTAATTTTAAAATACAAAAGGACACATCTTTCCCCAATGATTTTTATGTTAAAATGTGTTAAAACAAATGTAGGAGATTGCACAGGGAAGAATATAAGGACTGAATGGCTAAAGTAAAAGATCTGTTGGCTGAAGGTTTCAAGTGGAGCTAGATTTTTGAATGAATTCTGGTGGCATGTCTTGTCTTGTTTTCATTCTTATAAGCACCATCTGGTTTCTTCTGCCTTTTGTTGAAGCTTCCCCAGCCCCTTGCCAAATCTCATATCTTGTTTTCCCACCCTATGGGCCTATTTGGAAACAAGTATTTCTGAACTGCTACTCCAGCCAAATTTACAGAGAAGAGCTGTAGCTTAAACTTTTTATGAAGATTTATTTTGAAAAGCATTACACTTGATTACAAAGTTTGCAATAAGCTTAGACACTCATATCACAGTGCTGTCATATTCAGGGGAGAGATAGGGTGGCATTTAAGTTTTGAGGAGATTTATTTGTCTATGAGCAGTCTTGACATTATTCAACTAGTAGATTTTGTTAATGGAAGTGTTTTACATCTCTAAAGGCTGGGACTCAAAGAAGCTTCTAAGGTTTGCTAAAGAGTTGCAAATCTAATTATTTTCCTTTGAACTCATGATTTGTGAGCTATATCATAAAACTGCCCTCACCCCTTGGGATACCAAGATTTTACCAATCCCCCTTGCTATTGCAATCCTTGGCATGTCCCTTCTATTATAAAATAGTTGCAAATCTTCAAGAACAGCTTTTTGGGGGGGGAATCAGCTGAGGAATTGGCAAAAATCGCTTGTCTTGCCCTTGTGTGAGTGGAAGTCTTTCTGCAGAGGCAATGCCACCATTGGATAAAACCAATCAACCATAAGCATTATGTATGAAGTAAGGCATTGAGTTGAAAGATGAGTGACAAGCTACAACAGAACATTGCTAGAGGTGTGGCATAAGAAAATTGTGTGCAAATCTGGCAGATTTCCTAGTAAGTTGCACTGTATTAGAGTATAATGTGATGTATAAAGGAGAAAACGAGAAAAATAACTTTCTTCCCAAGAAGGTTAAATAAATATGGGATAGGCAAAGAAAGTGTATTCCACTCTAGTTAAATCAGTGAGAACTATTTCCAACATACAACTTTCTATTTAAAATCTCTATCTTAAACGTATATCTAAATTCAAAGTTGCTCACTGTAACCTTTTCTCTTAAGGCTCTCACACATAAGAGAAACAAGCAGTAGCCAAAAAAACTCTTAACATGTTTGGCTTATTCCTTTACTCATTTGGAGAATTCTTTATAACTCAGTGTCTGGACATGAACAAAGTGTTTTAAGTAACTCATTTCCCCTTCTTTAACTTCCTGAATGTCTACAGGAATTTAAATAGAAATTATATTTTCTGAATCATCAGGAGTGACAGTCTACTTTATACTGGACTAATGTGGAGCTGTTACTTCCTGTGACTTGGAAACTATTGTCCAATTCACAGTCATTTGCAGGACAAACACAAAAGGAACAATTTTGACACATGCCAATAGAATGATCACCTTGAAACTGACTGTATTTGTGGCCCTTTGATTGAAACAGTCCCCATGGTTCCCATTATTTAGTAACTGTAGAAGAAGGGAATTGCTATGTAGTGCGATGGTCTACTTTAGACTGATTGTCTAAATAATAAGTCAGTCTTCACATTAAACTCTTCTTCCTTCATGCCCATTCTTTGTGTTGGGCTTAGCTTGGTGGCCTACTCCCTCCATGTATGTCAAGTTAATGGTACCATAATTTAATTTTGTTGCTTATTTCTCCTGCAGGGTCAGACAGCATTTGATGTAGCAGATGAAGACATTTTAGGATATTTAGAAGAACTTCAAAAGAAACAAAATATGGTGAGCTCTTTCAGTACTGTGAGAACAAACTAATCAGATCATTGGTTTGTCTAGCCTGGTATTGTCTACTCGTGACTACCAGAGTCTTAAGCTGGGGATATTTAATGGAAGATACCAAGATTGAATTTGGGATTATCTGCATGCAAAGCATTGTGCTCTACCACTAAGCCTATTCTTTATTTTATGTTCAGTTCATAAGTGTCTTGTTTCAGCCAAAGGCCATAATCTTTATTTTATGTGTATTTCACTTTATGGAATAGGTGCTTGGTATGTTTTTTAAAACATGAATAGTGCACTGATGTTCTTTCCCATTACACCTCTCCCACACTATGCAGATAGTTAGGTAGTAACCAGAACAGTGAGCGTGAGGATTCTCATACTAAAATTCTACAATTACTTTACATCAGAAGGGAAGCACCGCTGGAGCTGTTAATGAGCAGCTATAAAATTCCCTCTGAATAAGAAGGTTAAGTGATGGTTCTGCATGCCTAGCAATAACTGTTCCCCTCTCAGGGACTTAAAGTTTGAATGGGAAGCAGCAGTGACTGTGACATAATTTTGCTCCTGCATGTGATCCCATTCATGGAAGTGCAGATGAGTAGTTCTGAACGTCCTGGTGGTGGCCTTTTTAAAAAATAGTTGGCATATGTTCAGTGTTTGAGTCCATATTTTATCAGAAGTATGAATGAACTGAGGATGTTCCTTTGTAAACCTGGACACAGTCAATTTCTGTGTCCTTGTGCTAATTTAATTTTTATGATGAAGAAAACACAGTAAATGAGAAATCTTACTGAAAAGGAAATTTATGCAGTATATCTAGCCTTACACTGTATCAAGTGATGTGGTTACTTTGGTGTTGCAGATTTTGCTTCTGATCCTTTAATTCAGAAATGTTCAAAGATTGAAACACATTGGCCACATTTGTATATCACATGAGTCGTAGTTTAAAGAGTTCTGTCCCCCCCCCCCCCCCGTTACTGAGAGGACAATTTAGGCAGCTTCTACTTCGGGCTTTAATTATCCATTTTTAAAATTATGTCATCTGGTGTAGCAAATTGTGTTTTAACATTTACTTCAGTCATTTTCAAGAAAGCCATTTTCATTTCTGAGCCTGGCTTGTTTAAACTAACAATAATTAGAATTAATCTGAGTACAGAGTGCGGGAAACATGGTAAATGGCCAGGAAAGAAAACTGAAAGTAACAGCTTCCAAAGTCATCTTCCCCAGCCATGTGTAATGTGGAGGGGGAGACAAAGGTTAACTGCAGCTATAGTTTAGTGTGATGTGCAAATACAGCTGTTATTATTAATCGTCTTTAAAATGTGTTAGCAATGTTGAAATGTTAAAGGAGTTTATTACATAGCTATTTAATATTTGTCACTTAACATTTGTCCTGAGATCTTAATCTTGTAAATGCTTTTTTTTATGTTATACTGCTTCAGGTGACTTGAAATGTTTTTGTGTTTGCATCAGCACTTGTAGAAATCTAATTGAATCTTTTCATATCTCTTAAAGCTTCATAGTGAAAAAAAGGAGAAGAAATCACCCCTTATTGAATCTACAGCAAACATGGACAATAATCAATCTCAAAAACCGTTTAAAAAGTAAGTAGATTAGTTAAAATAAACTGTGTAGGGGGAATGTTGAAGACGGTTACATGTTTACTTGGAGAAGGTATAGGTAACTGATCTTACACTTATTTTACTGATCACAGCTTTGCATGGATAGGCGGGGAAATAAATAGAGCAGAGGAAACCCACCCTCCATTTATTTAATCCCCCCCCCCACACCTGATCACAGGCTTACCTGGCTTTGGGAAGGCAGTACAAGGGCTCTAGCAGGGTCCTAGAGCCCTCCCGCCTCCTCCCCAAAGCTGGACAAGTGCTTACTGGGCTTTGAGGAGGCAGCAGGAGGCAGAGCCTCATACCACCTTCTCGAAGCCAGATAGACAGCCCTCCACCCTGCGGTGAGGGTGTGTGTCCTGCGGATTCTTGTCTTTATTCATTTTTGCATATATACCTGGAGCCCCGGAACTGAACCCTCATGTAAGAGGCAAGTTACCTGTACTGAAGGAACATAGGAAGGAGTGGAGTTTTTATAATAACACTGAGTCCATATCTGTGCTCCTGTCACAGCCCACCCTGGTATCTTTTTTTCTGAAGCCAATAATGCAATAAATATTTCATGCTTCAAAACAATGTTGTTCCAGTAAAGAGACTTTGATCATTGAGCAAGATAAGAATGCATCAAACATTGAGTCTCTAGAGCAAGAAAAAGCTGATGAAGAGGAAGAAGGAAAGAAAGATGAGTCCAGTTGCTCTAGTGAAGAAGATGAGGAAGAAGACTCCGAATCTGAAGCAGAAACAGGTATTATAACACAACAATTTTGCTTTACAATTGCTTTTAAATTCAGTTTAGTTTAATTCACCATTGGATTCCTTCCTCATTACTTCATGCTACTTCAAGTTTGGAGGTCATTTAGGGACAAGTATAAAATTCATTAATGTGCAAACCACGAGATACGTCATTTTAAACAAAATTAACTATCTTTATGTCACTTGATTGTCCAGAAACCTTAACGTGGTAATACAGTAACTAGAAACTGTACAGAGCAAACTCACACATAGTACATCTATTAGAATTCATATATAATAAATCTATATCTTAGCTGGAAAATGTCAAGAATGTGCTAATTAGCTGTGAAAAACTGTCAGATTCTGCATCAGAAAGCTAACTAGCACTATGACAATTCAATTTCAGCCATGCAGCTGTCTAGAAACTCCCCTGTTCCTTGCCTTTTCCTCATACTCATGGTTTTGTTAAACACATTTTAAGGTTAATTTTAAAATAGTGAATCAAAAGGGATCTATTTATCACACTTAAATAACAGCTATAAGCTGGAGGAGCACATTTTAATATATATATATATGCATGTCTTCCACTAGCAGCTTAAAAGTTTCAGACTCATCACTTCAGCATTTCTTGAGTTATATGACTCTCATTACTCTGTTTTCTTTGTTGCTACTATGCAGTCTTGTGCCAGGAAAATATGACTGTGACACAAGAATTAATTTATGTAAACTTAGAGGTTTTTAAATATCAACAAGGCTTTCATCATACTTTATTTGGCATGCTAGAGAACTTAGGCTTTTCCCTGGAGCTGAATCTCTGTGTTCCAAATTTGTACCTTCTCCTTTCCCTCTTACTCATTTAAAGGTGGATTCACAATAAAATGTTTTGGAACCTGGAATATTCTAGGTGGAGTAGAGCCTGCTCTGCTGTATATTTTGTGTAGTGTGAATTTAAATTTAATATTTAAATGAAATGAGCTTTGAGTGATTTGAGAAATAAACATTGGACTGTTAAAAGGGCTTAAATTTCCCTTGTTCAAGTGGAGAAATACTAAAAAGCAAACACACCACTGCATTTTCTTGGGAAACTGTTATTAAAGTACAGTTATTTAAACACAGCTCTGTATTTTTAAACAGACACTGGGGAAGTTCCAGCCCCTCTCCACATCCATTCCCTTCCATGTGCCAAGTGTGTATTTTTTTTAATGGAAAGATGGGGTGAAAATATTTTTAATAAAACAGAAGGAGGAAGGCTCCTAAATGGTCAACATCCACCAGCCCTGGTAGTCTTCCTTCTACTGCATGCAATGTTAGGCTTGTGAGGATGTGCACAAGGTGTCAGACGGTATTGTCCCCATAATTTGTAAGCATTTTTATTGCAGGAGATTTTCTGTATTTTAAAATGATTTTATAAAACTATTTTCATTGTGGTATATATTTAGTACTGCCTTAAGTGGTGCTAATGAAATTGTATCCAGGTTCAGAGATGATGGGGTATCATGGTTCTCAGTTCTTGTATATTTCATGTGATTTTTTTATTCTCATAGCCTTACAATTTTGTCTATAGCCATAATGACTAGAAACATTTTTAAAACTAAAATAGCTGGGAATTTTTTGTTTCAAGTCCATGCTTCTCAGTGCTCTTCTATGGAGCTACTGTTCTCATAGCAGGAAAACACTGATTTATTTATTTATTTTTGGGTAGTGTTCCACAACAAATGTACAGTGGTACCTCAGGTTACATACGCTTCAGGTTACAGACTCCGCTAACCCAGAAATATTACCTCGGGTAAAGAACTTTGCTTCAGGATGAGAACAGAAATCGTGTTGTGGCAGCAGCGGGAGGCCCCATTAGCTAAAGTGGTGCTTCAGGTTAAGAACAGTTTCAGGTTAAGAACGGACCTCCGGAACGAATTAAGTACTTAACCCGAGGTACCACTGTAGTTAGATGCATAGCCTGATCATCTTCTCCAGCTACTAGTGCTCTTTAAGTATACTTTCAAATAGTTTGGAACAAAACCTGAAGTTACTTGGTGTATCTTCTGGGCAGTAAATAAATAAAATACAATAAAACAATTCATACTCTTCTATAATGTAGCAGGAATACGGTACTGAGACACTTATTCCGTAGTGGAGCAAACCCCTTACTTACTTTGTGGGATACCAGGGCCAGTGGTGTGGGCTGTTCCTCGTCATGTGATTGAAGGCAGGAGCAAAGAATTGTGAGAGGCAGGCACGCTCCCCTCAGTTTTTCAGACTCACCAAGCAGCAAAATGGCCAGCGGGAGCACCTGAAAGAAAATGAACATACCTGTCTACCCACCCCCCCCGTCCCTGCAAACTTTATTGTGCAGAATGGGCCTCTGTAATGTAAAAAGTATTAGTTATCTTTAAATGGATTTTGAATTACTTTATCCTCTAAATGATTTATTTACAGACAAGAACAAACCTACAACAAATAATTCAAATACCACCAACGTGCAAGCTGCTCCTATAGCTGTGACAACACCATCAGTTACTACTGGTCAAGTGACACCTACATCCCCCATTAAGAAGGTAAAACAGTTTGTTTCAGTTGTTTAGTTAAGAGTAAAGTGTACACATTATATCATGAACTCTTTGCACTATTAAAATGCCTTGATTGATCAACTGTTGCATAGGAAGCTGCCTTACATCGTGTCAGATCATTGACCCAACTAGCTTAGTATTGCCTACACTGACTGACGCTGGCTCTCAAGGTTTCAGATATTATGCCAAATAAGATTAGAGGTTTGTATCCAGTGGTGTTGCTGAAGGCATTTTGACCAGAGAAAGCTTTCCTCAGCGGATGGGAGGGGAGGTCATTTTTGCCAATTCCAATTCCCCCTCCATCTTTCCCCCAAATTGGCTTCAGGCGGTTGGGTAGGAACAGCATAGAAGGTGACGGAAATTGGCAAAATTGCATCATTCTCTTTGTGTGAAAGCCTCCAATCAAAGAGGGGGCCTATTGGATACAATCCATGGCATGTTCATTTGAAATGGGAGCAAGTTGTAACTCCAGATTCCAGGCTCAGATTTGATGTTCAAGAGTTCCCTGAAGAAGAGTTTTGTTTTTTTTAATGCATTGGGCTTAATAAAAACATCATATATATTTTTTGTACACCTCTTTTTGCTTGAGACTGGGGCCTTACCACCTTAGTTTACTGTAGTCTACATATAGCCGCTCATGAAGTTGGTGTGTGTGTGTGTGTGTTCAAAAGAATGTGGTTTTCATCCTTTTGGCTTCGTCAGGAAGGTTGTTTAAAATGTAGACGGCAAACTTCATGTAGCATAAACAGAGTTGGTCACTTTTAATTACTTTGTTAGCTTTCTGTATTAGAACACATAGAGATGATGTCAATTCTGCAAAAATTCTTAGTTTGCTTCATTTGAGGAACAGTCAGTAAATACCTGTGCTTGTTGTGTTATCCCAAGAGAAAGATCTAGTTTTAATACTTGTTGCCTGAGTATTTTTTTTACACACCTGTGATTTTGAGCTCTCTCTCTTTAAGACCTGCAATGCTTTCCTCCTAAGATGCACCTTCAGGTCAAGTACTAGATATGAGTTAATGCCCCCCCAAAGCCTCAAACTGATATTTTCAGGTAAATTGCAAATAAGAGACATCATTTAAAAAATTCATTCTTATTAATTTATTATTCACCTTCCATATGTGTCTCAAGATGCTGTAGAGAATGCAATATATGCAGTTAAAACAATTTTAAACAGTATTAAAAAAGGAATTAAAAGGGGGGGGAAACACCAAATAGATACCCGTGGCAGAGACCTGTTCATCCAGCTGAGAAGGCTTGTTGGAACAAAAACATCTGATTGTTTCCAGAAAGTACAGATAGTGAGTGCCTGTCGTATCTCGACAAGAATGCTGTTGCACAGAACAAGGACAGCCACACTTAAAACCCTGCTCTGAGTTACTGTTGAGTGGGTTTCTGAGATTTCTGTGTCTTGCAGGAGAAGTTCTCCCTGCAGTGACCTGCCAGGTATGTAAGGAATAAGGGAGTCTTTCAAGGAACAAATTCACACAATAGATATTTTTATGGAACACTTTGTAGAGTATCTTTCTACAGAAAGGTGTGCATAGATGATAAAAAAACAAAACATATCAAAAAGCCCTGAAAGTATATCTTCCAAAACAGCCTTGTAATTTAGTACTCAACCAGTTGCTTTCATTAAAGAAAGACTGCAGCTTTGTACATGCAGCCACCTTTTTAACACAGAGGAGACTGTATGTTTCTTTCCCTGCTGTTTTTTCTTGATTGGACAAATATCTAGGAGAATCCCACACTGATTGTGTGAGAAGGTGGTGGCAGCAGTGTGGAGCTGGTGGGATGAGGTGTCGTGATATGGATGAGTGTTGGTGCTGTAACAACTGTTTACAATATTGTTGTGAAATACCAATTCTGAAACAGTGACAGCAGTGTAGAGCTGGCAGGGAAGAGGAGGCATGGCATGAGTGACTTGTGAGGCTGTAACAGGCAGTTACAAGTTGATATGAAATACCAACTCTCTTAAGGTGAACGTGGGAAAGAATGAATCACCACCATATATGTGATTAGAGGAATGCTAGCACAATTCAATATAGCAAGTAATATTCTTACAGAAGCCAAGATTCTCATTGACCTAAATTGATAGATTTTCCTGTTTTTTCATTTTAAATGTGAAAAAATTATGTTTTTATTTCAACTATGGAATTGTAGTCAGTCCTGTCTGAGGGAAAGTCCACTTATAAAATGGGTCTTCCACCCGTCTCCTCATACTACAGTTTCTGGAACCCCTCAAAAATCTAGTTGTTTGGGGGACCCTCAGGAAAACAACTTGGATGTGGTGAGAAGGACTGCAGTAGGAAAGAGGACTTGGCCAGAATCAGATGAAGGTAGCTTATACAAGTAACTTCCTACTTGGCAACCTGCCTCTACCTAATTTTGGGCAGCTTCCACTTTCCACCACGACCCTTTCTGAAAATCTTGTGACCATCTGGAGAGGCTTTTCATGAGTAGCAAAGTCCCACTGTGAGAGCAGATTTCTACTCATAAAAAACTGAGTATAGCCCATTGGTGTTATATATATTTATCTAATCTACTACCTACCTACCTACCTACCTACCTAATGTACATGGGTACATTCTCATAAATGACCACAAATACTTATCTAGCCTGCCACCGGAAAGTCCTTTTCCTCGGTACCCTAATCTGTGTCTGGCTGAGATTTTTGAGAAAGAAAGCCTGTAAGAAAATGTATAAACTGTTGTGAGGTTACTCATGTACTGCACAGCTGATTCTGCTCTCACCCTGTCTTAAAGTAATCATGTAAAGGAGTAACAAGGAAAGAAGTCATGGAACAGAGGTGTGTCCGCCCGTTTAAGCACAAGTACTAATTTTCATGCTTTTTAAATTACAAGCATAGATAAGAGTTCTGGTGACTAAAGTATGGGTGCAAAAGAAACATACTGCCTATCTTTCAATCTATTTCCTTTCTTCATTTTCCTTCTGCTTCTCCATTCCAGTGCATATGCTTTTACCCCTCTCTTCCTTTCCAATCTCCATGCTGCTTTCTTTCACAAGAGAAAAAATACATAGGGCTAGAGCTGTATCCCTCTTGAATTTCCTGCTTCCCTGTTCAAAGGTCAAAGATAGGACCTCCTTGGAATTTTGCACATCTCTGTTCATATATGGCTATAATTCTGTGAATATGTGCTGAAAAAAGCTGACTGCTTTTACTGCAGTTCTATAAAAAGTAAATAGGGATTAAAACATGTAGACTTTTAAATTAAAGGCCAACATATTTTTTTTGTTCAATCTTTATATCTCTTTTATATGTCTTGTCCCAATTGGCTTTAGTATGACTTTCTTCCTGCTATCATGCCTGTGGTGGACTCTGTAGATCCTGCATCATGGAGGCAGGGCTTACGTAAAACTGGCATTATTCTTGTTCCCAGTAAAGGTGAAAAGTCTCTGGTGAGGGCTCTGTGTGTGGTTTCCCCCTCCAGGTTGCAAAATAACAAGTGTTAATTCAAATATTGGCACTGTAGCTGCATGATTTTAAATGGTGTGTCTCTTTTGCATCTCATTGTTAATTTGTAGTTTATAGTGTAATGTTTACAAAGCTAACCTTTGAAAAGTTGATTTACCAAGTGTTTGGAATTTATTAACTTGCCCAGGAAATTGTGTGAGGTCTTGCTTCCTTTTCCACATACATACAATATACATCTATAGGGAATTTCATTTTGAAATATACTATGAAGCATGGAATTCTGGAATTAAAAATACTGAGGTTGAGAATGTGTCTTTCTTCTGTGACCTCTGTATAGTCCCACTTTCTGCTGTGAGCAAACATAGGCCACCATGTAGAAATTCTTAGGCTTTGACAGAAGTCATTTGCTTGTACCTATTACCTTGGCAGCCATGTTTGCCCTCATCTACATGATCCGAGGTTGGGTGAATGTCTTTAACTGCCACAAAATATTGCAGCTAGCAAGCTTCGCATTGTGTTACCTTGGATGACTTGGCAGGTTCTGTTTATCTTTCTCTCAGTGCCCCCCTTCCCCTGCTATCTTATTTAACAGTTTAAATTAAATGACTTTTGGTGATACGGCAGGTTTTAAGAAGTGTATACCTTGTAGTAAAGATAATTCCTTCCCTTACCTCTATTTTGAGGAAGGCCACAATCTGGGCACTAGCAGATTTAATCAAGGATTCATGAAGGGGGCTTACTGGAACTTAGGTTTTGGGTCAGAGCACATTTCTGCAAGGAATATTAGTGACTGCTAAACAGAACACAGTGGTAAGCAGCAAGGTTCAGGGTGGATTTCTGTAGCAGCTGTGCGAAATCAAAGTTCATGTTGCTCTAAACCATGTTTCACAATGGACAACCATTGTGTTAGAGTACAAAGCTAAGTAAAAAGAGAGCTGTTCAGATGAATGGCTAGCATTCTTCCCCAATACCTAAACACTCCAAAAGTGACTTTGCATCTGAGGCAGTGTTGGAATTCAATAAGAAGGGAGTAAAGCAATGCCAAGGCCCATTACTGCTTTCCCTGAGTCTAGAGTCCATGGTGGATGAATCTGTTAGACAATGTTGCTTACTTGCTTGTCAAATGTGGGACTTCACAAAGATCACAAAGGAGATAACAGGGTTGCTTGCCTGTAATCCCTGTTCTCCAAGTGTGCTCTGTGCAGTTGCACATCCTACCCTCCTTCTCTAGCGTAGAAACTCAACTTGTCTTAAAAATTATTTGTGGTTTGCTACCCGTAGTGATCTCATGTGAACTGCCGAGAAATACATTAGTCCCGTGGTTCATGCTCACAAGGGCAAATATGTCAGCGAGAAGGGCACAGATGTACTCCATTCCTGTCAAAGTTGTGGAATTACTCATTTTGTGGCCTGTGTATGTACACTTCCAAATGTTTGACTGCACAGAGGACACTTGGAAGAACAAGACTTACAGAAAAGCAACCCTGTGTTTTACAGTTCCCAACTTCAACTAAGGTTTCTCCCAAAGAAGAAGAGAGAAAAGATGAGTCTCCTGCTTCATGGAGACTAGGTCTTCGAAAGACTGGCAGTTATGGGGCACTGGCAGAGATTACAGCTAGCAAAGAAACTCAGAAAGAAAAGGATTCGACAGGAGTTATGCGATCAGCTTCAAGCCCTAGATTGTCCTCTTCATTAGACAACAAAGACAAGGTAACATTTTTTCCAGAACACACGACGTAATTAAATTATGGATGGTGATGGTTTTTTTATTTTTTAAAAAAGAAAGACCAGTGTCTGAAGATGAATTCCTTACCAAATTCTGACTTCCACATATCATGGAATAAAGTTTCTACTCCTAAAAGCTGTGAAGACAAATCATGAACTTATGTGCCTAGTTCCTGGTGAAGTCTTAAGAGGCACTAGTAGTTGGTATGTGGTGTACCATGAAAAATTTCCGTTCATCAAAGACAGGGGTCCAGTGATCTTTGTATGTCTTTCTGCATTTTTCATCTAGTTCCTTGGGCAAAGTTTCCGGGGAGAAAGGATGTGCTTTCAAGAATGGTGTGGCATTTTTTCCATCCTTCAAATAGGAGATGCTTCCTAATGTGTGGTTACTCTGTGTACAAGGTTTAACTACTTTCTTTATTTCTTTGTAGTAGATCACTTTCAGTGTAATTCAGTGATGGGAAGGCCAGACTTTCCAGACAACTTGTGTAGGAAGCATAATTCTGTACAATTATCAGTCATGTGTGTTAGGCTCTGTGTAATTTAGTTCAGGTTTGACAACTAATTATTTGTTTTCTCAAATGCCAAAGTTTCTGTTTGACATTGTTTACAGTAAAATATGTAAAGCGTAAGTGGCAACCTCCCTTTAGAACATTTATTGCTAGATGCTTATTTTTACACATGAACTAGAACCTCTAGAAACAGTGTGCCTGTTTTAACACTTTTTCACTATTTGGCCCATAAATTGATGGGAGCAAGTTGTGCCTGTGCGTGTGTGTGTGCGTGTGTGTGTGTGTGTGTGTGTGTGTGTGTGTATGTAATTAAAATTGGGGTCATGTTGGCTACACATGCAGTTGACCTTTCAAAAATCGTAATCGTAAGTCAAACTTGTAAACTTTGTAAAAAAAATGTCTCTTGCAGGATAAAGATACAAAAGGAACTAGGCTTGCATATGTTGCTCCTACAATTCCAAGACGGCTGGCCAGTACATCTGACATTGAAGAGAAAGAAAACAGGGATACGTCAGCCAGTTTAATACGTGGTAGTGGTTCTTACACAAGAAGAAAATGGGAAGAAGATGCAAAGAAAAATATCTCAAATGAAGGATCTTCACCACTAAACACAACCTATCAAAGAAGGTAAATAGTGTATGTTTTGTAGATGTTAAAAGTATAAAGAATTCCAGGTATTTTTATAGAACTGCATAATGAATTTTATACTGTCTGCATTTTCAAATAGTAATATAAAGGACAGCTATATTCATGTTCTTAAAAGAAGGTTAGGTGTAGTTGTTTTGTGTATTATACATTAGCTATTTACCTGAAAATGGCGAGAGCTGTTTTATTATTATACCTTCATTGGATAAACACTACAAAGCTATCAGCTGAAAGAGGAAATCTGTGTTTGGGGAAATATGGTTCTGGTGCTTTCCAATCCCAAATGGATGAGGACTGCTAGTCACAGCTTCTTCAGTTACTTGCTTCCAGAAAAGCTGCACTTTTAGTTCTTAGAACAGCTTCCTTGTTGCCTCTAAATGCCAAACTGTTCATGAAGCAACTGTGGCAGCATCCTTGCCCTTCAGTGATGGTCATGCTCGGTGTGAGTAAGTGATGTCTAAGACTCAGTTTGACTCATATATTTTAGTAGATGATACTTTTAATCAGCAATTAGATTTTCTGTATGTAAGTGATGGGCTGTAATAGCAACAACTTTAAGTGTGCCATAAGACTGCAGGCAGATATATTGGTATGATGTTAAAATTGGGTATACAATCTTAGTCTTTTTATGGAAATGAGAGGGAAATTAGAGTTCTTGTAATTATGCTTACCTTTTTTACAAATATCTGGAGCTATTCAGTAGATGGAAATAGAGGGTCCATCAAACTGGTAGAAGAATGGGTGATGATTTATAACTTAATAAATACACAGTGCTTATTTTTGTAAATTCAAATGACTTTTCAGTGGTTCCTTTGGTAGAAGACAAGATGACTTGATTAGTTCTAGTATTCCAAGTATTACGTCAGTATCAACAGTTACCTCCCCCGCTGGTCTTCAGAAGAGCCTGCTTTCCAGCACAAGCACTGCTACAAAGGTTACAACGGGTTCAGCAACAGCAGGCATACAAAGCAGGTGGGACCATCAATGTCGTTTGAGTTATGTCCACTGTGTGCTTTATGTATGTGCATGCATTTTTGTGTAGAAGGTACTGGGCTCTGGATTTTTTTCATTTTTGCTATTACCTGTGGTCAGTATGTAATCTGGCTTAAAATGAAGCTTGCATTATAAAGCAATAGCTATGCATGTCTGTAAACAGGTAAAAAATAATATATAGGAATGGGGTGAAAATATAGTCAAAGCTTTACTTTTAGTAAAGCTGCCCAGGAGGTATGTAGATACTTCTGTAGCAAAACCAGTCTCAAATTTGTATGTTTTAAAAAAAAGAAAAAATCCATCCCTTTGTATCACACTGTTTTAGTAAAGTGCTTTCATTGTTTAGCTGTTTCCTTTTCTCTTTTTGTGTTGTTGCTATGATGCTATAGTACCTCAAATCGTTTATGGGCTGAGGATAGTACTGAGAGAGACAAAGACAATGTTCCTACGGCAGTGACCGTTCCTGTTGCACCATCAGTTGTAAATACTGCGACTACCACAGCCTTGACTACAACTACTTCTGGCACTGTGTCCTCAACTTCAGAGGTCAGGGAGAGACGCAGGTGTGTAAAAGTTCTGAGAATGATACTTCACTTGTGCTGTGATTCATTAGTGTGAGGTGAACAAATGCCTACTCACAAAATTAATACAATTGTAAATACGTTGATATTTTGCCCACATGTAATATATGTGATGGGAAACACGTAGACAATCCTCAGCTTCCATCATCATCATCACCACCACCATCATCATCATCAAAAATTTATTATTTATACCCCACCCGTCTGGCTGGGTTTCCCCAGCCACTCTGGGTGGCTTTCAACAAAATATCAAAAATACAATAAAACAGGGAATACAATTAAAACAATGGGAAGTCATTTTACATCTTCCCTGTTCACCCAGTTCCCATGGTTCTATGCCACTTAAAAAAACAAAAACTAAGGTAGAGAGTGGTATGCATGTTCAGTGTCTCCACATTTACAGCAGTTCTTTATCTGTAAAGAATTGAGAAAAGTTTTTCAGTTTCATGAATTGTGAGAAGAATTTATCAGCTTTTTAGATGGGAAGAACTGTTTCCAAACATAGAAGATTCTGGTCAATATGGAAACACCATATGTATTTAAACCTTGATAAATGTAAATGCAACAAGTTGTCCATGTCAGTGTCTGAGAACACCTTTTCTTCTACATTGCTGTTTTTATGTTTTCTGGATTTTCCTGTGGAAATGTGTCGTTTGGGCCCCAAATCCCTTTTGTCATCTTTCTTCCCAAGTGACTGTGTGTGTTAAGGAAAATGCTATGGTTTGAACTTGCTGTGCATTTCCCCTCTCAGAAATAAGAAAAAGCTTTGTCAAAAAAATAAAAAAGGCAAAAAGGCTGCTGTAATGCCTGTAAAGACATGTCAGTAGATGTATCAGGTACTGTAGATATAGAAAGTGGCACACAATATCTCTTTAGGAAGTGGCCTTTGATACAGAGAGCCAAGTATTCTATTTTGAGGAATGGTCAAAGCAGCCCAAAGTGTCATATTAGGGACCATTTGATCTTGCCAAACAAACAAACCTGCCTGTCCACTGACCTCACAAAATATTCTAGGGAGGGAGAGAAGAGGATGTATATTTTGGTGTGGAGAAGAAGAAACACCAGAATTTAGAATAAACCTAGGCATTTTCAAAGTATATATACACAAACCAGCTTATCTTCCTGTTTCATTCATCTGAAGATGCAGGTTGTTGTTCTGAAAGCCCATGCCCTTTAACCTATTATGTTTTTAAGGTGTGGCAATGTTCTTAGTTTGTTCTGGCATAAATGCACACAAACATGAATGCTCTGAGACTGCATTCTTAGTTCCTTTTAAAGATCAATTTAATGTGGAAGACAAATCAAGTATTGCCACAATGCACATTGTATGCTTTGAAGAAGGATCGTGTCTGGAAATAATAGGAATAAAGTTGGCGAACCAGGCAACTTTATTCATTAAAAGTTGCATAATATATGTAGGATTAAACGCAAGGTGTATGTAATGACTAAATTTTATTACAATAAGTGTGGTTTTTTTTTTTTTTTTTTAAATACTATAGTTAAAAAGCCTGAGAGGAGCTGAAAAAGCAAGGAAGTTCAAAATTCAGGCATTCAGTTTGTTTCTTCACTCTCACCAGTGTGTCAAGGTTTTGCATGTGTGTTGCACAGGATGAAATAACACATTTAGATTTCTGTTGGTGGTCTAAATTACCTTGATTTTTAAAATGTGTTGTCCAGAAGGTGCCTACCTCCTCTTTGAATTCTGTGGTTTTACATATGAAGATGTAATAACAATTAGCTGTTCCTTAGCAGGTCTTGAGATTAGGTAAATACAACCTCAAATGAACAACAACACATGATATTGCACCATGTCATTATTTATTTAACAGAAATAAAGCCAAAATGGAAAAGCCATGTGTGAAAAACTAACCATGGTGGTTCTACAAGCTATTGAATTGTAAGGTGTACTTAGTTTTCCACACATGGCTAAACATGGCACTGTGCATTATGGCCAAACATCTCCACTTTGATCTCATCCGTCCAAAAGACGTTGTTCCAGAAGTCTAGTGGTTTGTTCAGGTGCAACTTTGCAAACCAAAGCCATGTGGCCATGTTCTTTTTAGAGAGAAGAGGCTTTCTCCTGGAAACCCTTCCAAACAAACCATGCTTGTTCAATCTTTTTCTAATTGTATTGTCATGAACTTTTAACATTTAACATGCTAACTGAGGCCTGTAGAGCCTGAGATGTAACTCTTGGGGTTTTTGCAATTTCTCTGAGCATTGCGCTATCTGACCTTTGGGTGAATTTGCTGGGACGTCCACTCCTGAAATGATTGGAAACTGTATTGAATGTTTTCCACTTTTGAAAATCTTTCTCACTGTAGAATGATGGACTTAACATTGGTTGGAGATGGCCTTGGAACCCTTCACAGTTTCATGGGCAGCAGCACTTGCTTCTCTAAGAGCATGGTGTCATATTTCCTCCTTGGCACTGTTTTAAAATACACCTGAATGCTCCAGACCAACAAACTGCCCAAACCCCAGCTTTTATAGAGGTGGACACACTTGCTGATGTTGAAATAAGCAAGGGCATTTGATTAGAAGCCCCTGTCTGCTACTTAGCCTCTTAATTGCTATGGCAGCAGTAAAGGTGTACTTCGTTCTTCCACACATGATTTCTCCATCTTGACTTTATTTCTGTTAAATAAATCACGACACGTTGTAATGGGTCATGAATTGTTGTTCATACAAGGTTGTATTTACCTAATTTTAAGGCCTGGTAAAGAACAAATGGTTGCTATTATGTCCCGATATGCAAAACCACAGAATTCAAGGAGGGTGCACTTTCTTTTTCCCATGACTGTACATAGTGGCAGTTATTACATGGTCCCAAAGTAGTTCAATTTGTTCATTCAGAGTTCAGTGTTTGATTATGTGAGTTTGTTGGCTGCTTAGAATAACCTAGGATGACAGAATCGCCTACTGCTAAGAATATATTGAGGAGTATTTGTTTGTTCTTCCTATTTCCCCACTTTCTTTAAATGGTCATACTTTAAACGGTCATAGCTGAGGCATAGGTTATGAGGCATAAACATAATAGCTAACTGTAAGGTGTAATGCATTTATGTATGTATGTTAGTGCAGTATACTTAACACTTATGACACTTGGGTTTCCGGTATCTTTAAGATATCTCATCTAAAGCAGGGCAGAAAATAAATGAAAGGAAGTGGCACAGCAAAATGTTCAGAAATGTACATACCATAAGCTTTCTGGATGAGCTGAATACTTTGTTAATGTCTATCAAGATGTATTCTCCTTATGTTAGACATTAATTTGAGGTGGTATTTGGGATAATTCGAGAAATGTTTACTTTATAAATAATGAGGTCTCTTTTTACTATTTAGCTTAGTGCCCTGACAGGCTTTTCCCCATTAAATTTAAAGTCAGGAAAGGGTAGTCTGTTCCAGCAGGTTGGATTCAACAAGTCCTGACCTACAATCACAATTGGGTTGTGGTTTGTTAAGTAAGTACGTGTAGAATGAACCAGTTTCCTGAGTTTGAACATAGCTATGGTTTATTAAAAAACCCGAAGGAAGTATCAAGTTGTTTCTTATGGTTAAAGGAGAGACGAGGAGCAAGCTTGTTGCAACACATTCTTGTAATTGGGAATCATGGTATCCCATTGCATCTAAACTAGGCCATTGCCGTAGAATCCTTGCTTGATTGAGTGTTGAGAGATCTAATAGTATGAAATGATGTTTTTAAAACCAGTTTTGTAAAGCAGCAACACTTCAAGTTGGTTGTAAATAAAAACATTTGCTAGTATAGTTCATCAGCAACAATTTCACTTGGAGTACCATTTGGAGAGAATAATAAAGATTCCCAGTCAGGGCCCTCCCACACCTACATCCCATAACCAGTTACCATGAACTCATTAAAAGCACTGTTGCATCTGTATTAGAAAGTGGCAGGTAATACCTCTCAGAAGGCTCAGTTTGATCCTGGGTATTTCTGTTGCTGATCCTTAGGTTAAAGTGCTGACGATATTGTAATGTGATTGTATTATCAGAATATGAAGAGCTTGTATGTGCTCAGTGCAGAATTACACCAAAACGCAAGCAGTGATCTTGTTGCCACAAAATAACCTTGTTATTGTTTGAAACCTTCAGTTTCCTAATTTATTTGTGACTTAGCCGAGAGGCTTTGGTTGCTCCTTTTTCTATCAAATAATTTTCAAAAAAATGCAGTTACTTAATACATTGATTACTAGCTGGCAAATCTTTTAACTCCAGGTCATACCTCACTCCAGTTCGGGATGAAGAATCTGAATCCCAAAGAAAAGCTAGATCAAGGCAAGCAAGGCAGTCCAGAAGATCCACTCAGGTACAGTGATCTTTTATGTTATATTTAGGGGATATGTGTTAGTCCAGTACACTGATGGTACAATACCTATGAATTGGTTTCTGTTCATAGAGGAAGAGAGAGAATTAAAATATGAAAATGGAAGTATGTAATAATATACAGGCAACTCGCAGCTTATGCGAGGGTTTGGTTCCAGGGTTTCATGTGTAAACCCAAAATCATGTGAAGCCAGAAACCCCCAGAACTCCCCAACCCTGCATGCCTGTCTGGAACAAGCCTTTCCCTCTGCCCTACTGGGCTCTAGGTGTGTTCCGGGACCCTCACACAACTTTCCCAGAGGCAAGTATTATCATTTATTTATTTTTTAGTGCAACAGAGAAATACAGCTCCACTTCAGAAAAGCAAGTTAAATATTTGCATTCTGACTTTAATCTACATATCCACATGCACACAATTAGTTCTGGGCTAGGAAAATATATTTTCCCCAAGCATGCAACCAGGGGAAAAGTTTTTTTAAAGCATCCATTTATTTTTATCACATAAAATACCATCCCTTCCAGTTGTTTTAAAACAGCATTAAAAATACAAGGGAAAAGCTTTTAGATGCTATGAAAAATGAGGATGAAACAAACAAGAAAGAATGAACTATGAGATTAGGAAATGGGGTGTAGCCTCAGGTTTGGTTTGGGTTGTTTTTTTTTTTTTACAAAATACCATTTACCTTTAATAAGTTATTGTTTGAATGTCAGCAGAAGTCAAATTAGATACTGGACACTTGACATGTTATCCTTTTTTTGGGGTGCAATTCTTCTAAAGGGGGTAACGCTGACTGATCTTCAAGAAGCCGAAAAAACTATTGGCAGAAGTCGTGGTACACGAACCAGAGAGCAAGAAAATGAAGAAAAAGAAAAGGAGGAAAAAGAAAAACAGGACAAAGAAAAACAGGAAGAAAAGAAAGAATCTGAATCTAAAGATGATGATTATAGACAAAGATACACACGGACCATAGAGGAGGTATTTCATGTTGCTCCTATTGCACAGGCATGAATCGGCCAACTGTGCTTCGAATTCTAGGCACAGTTGGATTTTATCCCCAGTTCATGCATTAGAGTGGGAACTTCTGCACTCAGGTCCACCGACCAGGCTCCGCCCCATTGGCTGCCCATGATTGGGCGATTTGAATTTTAGTCTGGTGAGCCATCACACCCTGCAATGCAGCTGGTCCGGGAATTTACAACGGCTGGCTGTTGGGGATGTGACTCCTAACTGCCCTGGGAATGAAGGGCAGCTTGCAAGGGGCCGCAACTGCCACTCATGCGGAGCAGGGTAGGCGGCCATTCTGAAATTGTAGGAGGTAGCTTACTTGATGAAAATGATTTAATCTGCATTTCTATGCTTCCTAATATTTCAAAACTGATATGGACTTCTCCCTGTTGACTAGCCATATCATCGCTATAGAACTACTCCTTCAACTACTTCATCAACTTCTTCAATTGCCACATCTAGTTCTTCAAGCCAACTAAACAGACCAAACAGCCTTATAGGTATAACTTCTGCTTACTCCAGAAGTGGAGCAAAGGAAAATGAGAGAGGTAAGGCTTCCCTTATTTTTTTCTTTTTCTGTGTTGGTGTTATCAAATAAACCACTGCCCCCTTCAAGAAAGTTTGGTATACCTTAGATGAGTAATTGGTAAAACAGTTGGGAATCCTCCTGTAGAATCGCCACCTAAAATCAGTATTTCAGCAATTCCTCAGTAATTATACTTTTAAATTGCTTTCTGTAGATCAAATCTAAACTTGCTCATAAGTTCCCATAATTCCATGGGCTCTAAATTTTAATGTTGAATTGTTATAGGAACAACTTTTTTAAAAAAAGAAAAAGTTTGGAGTGAGGCTGAGTACTGTGTTGCCTTAATATAGATTCATTTTTCAGCCCTGAAGACTGGAGCAGTGAATTAACAAGTACCTGGATGTTTGTGATTTCTTATGTTAATTCAAGGGTAAACACATGGATAAAGTGCATGATAGCAAAGGAATGTTATATGCTTGTGCAGCCCTGCTTAATAATTCTTGTATAAGTTAATAAAAGCATTTTGGAGCTGAACAATCAGTTTGAAAGGTTAAACTTTGATCTTTCTGACATGTTACTTTAAATCTTAGTTTACAAGAAGTGGCACCTTACCATGGTCTGAAAATTGCTGGATTTCATTAAATGCATTACCATACAAAGAAAAGCAAATCTAGCTAATTTGAACACAAATCTCTCTGAAAGAGTCTGTTGCACGCTGAATTCTTGATGCTTCTGGCTAAACAAATACTTACCTGAATAAGTGTGCTCTGGTTGCTTTGATGAATATGTGTTTGTAGATGTCATAATGTATGCATATGTGTTAGGCTTTGATTCTTAAGGTTAAATCCATATAATACTACAATGAAATATTATAGTTAGAAATGATGGAACAATGTATAAAGAGAATAATGGCATGTTAAAAGTGATCTACATTTACCATATTCTCAAAAGCATTTTAGGATTTTCATAAACTTGAATCCTGAATGTCTTGCTTCAGGAATGACAACAGAAATGTAATGTGTTGCAAATTAGTATATTTACTGGACTTCATTAAAATCTCAATGCATTGCTATTTAAATAGAAACAGGGAAGAAAGAAGAAGAAAAAGAAGAAGATAAATCACAGACAAAATCAATAAGGGAAAGGCGACGGCCAAGAGAAAAACGAAGATCTACAGGAGTTTCTTTTTGGACTCAGGATGTAAGTAAAAACCCATTTAAATTGCATATAGATCTGTATTTAGAAACAGTTCAGGGAGAATTCAATGAACTGAGGCAACACAGTTGATAAAACAAGCTGTGGAAATTGGGTTTTTGTTTTCATATTGCAGATTTATGTTTCAGACATGGGTGAGATTCATGTATTTTAAAGCTATTAGCACTCTTGATCTAATGCTTAACACAGTTATCAATCTCATTTTAGAAGTGTGGTGGTTATACCCAGTTGTCAAATCTAGACGTTCAAACTGTTTCATGAATCACCAACCCATCCACAATATGTACATGATTTTTTTTATTAGTGAGACAACAGACTTCTTCATCACTGATATCACAGCTTTTTTGGACAATTAATGAATTCAGTTATTAGTCATTGCCTTAAAGTAAAATCAGTACCCAACTAAGTTCTACTTAGAATAGACATATTGAAAGTAATGGACCCAAGTTAGTCATGGCTATTAATTTCAGTGGGTCTACTCAGTGCAAGCTTTGACTATACCCCCCCCCCGTAATATGGAAAATGTGTGATATTAATTGTAATGCATACATAATTCATAATACATTGGATAAGCATGCATTTTAGTTAATTAGGGCTTGGGTGATTATGTGTGTGACTTTAAATCAGAAACAATGAGATGAATGAGATGTTGCAATGAGATGCTGTAAAGTAGTTAAGTAAAAGTTCTTGTATGTAAGTTAACTGCTTAAACATTAATATGGACTTGCCACCCATAAATTGCTGTTTGTATATTGTTGTTGTTGTTGTTTATATACCGGCTATACCCAGGGGTCTCAGTGCAGTTCACAAAATAAAATCAAGATATAGAACCACAAAATACCTAATAAAAATAAAAACAACAACCCAACAGCCCCAATAAAATCTGAAAATACAGATTCTACGTATCTGCTATTTATAGGGAAAGAGTGTCTATCATTTTATTTTAAAAAAATAAGTTGATTACAGTAAGTTGTCCCAGAATTGAAGAATTGGACAAAAATAGTTGAAATTTTGTTTTAGAAGAGTACAAAAATGAGATTATATTCCAGTATAAATGTGTGAGTGGTGGTGAGCAACTAGGATAGAATTTTGTTATTGACAAACTAGATCTGCTTGCTTGAAGCAGCTTGAAGGCTGAAAATGTTGTTTGGTGGAAGCCCTCCTTCTAAGTTGTTCTGTCCCGAGGCAGAATGTAAATATATGCTAATTTTAAATGGGTTTCCTCCCTCAGAGTGATGAAAATGAACAAGAACACCCATCTGATTCAGAAGAGGGAACAAATAAAAAAGAAACACAGGTAATTGTTCTGTTTTGTTTTCCTTGCATAAAAGACATAATCTCATGCTACGATTTTATTCAAGGTTCTGTGAAGAAAATTGTGTCTTCTGGGGTTAAAACATTAAGTTCAGAGATCATGTGATAATTTCATTTGGCCTTCATAGAAGCGTAACCTGTTGATTATAGCGCACAAAGTTGTTTTCATATTTCAGTGCTGTTCCATGTATCTTTTTCCCTGTTCTCTTTCATTTTGATTCTCATTTGAGTGCCATATTTTACAAAAGCTACACTCCCACAGGTATTGCATCCTGTTTAAATTCAGTAATAGTGCATTAACTGAGATTGCATACATTTTGCTGTGATAACGCCAACATTATCTGTTTCATGTGAACGTGTCACTTGAATAAGCTCTAAGTGGACCCTACAAAATATATTCAAACAAAAGGTTTGAATGGTGTAAAGTTTATTTTAAATCACCACATAGTGGACTGTCCACATTGAAAAATGAGAGAGCAGTTGGAATACATAGAATACTAAAAGAACAGGAAGGCTGAATCATTAACTCTCTAGAACCTTGTCATAATATGGGGTCTATATTTCTAACATTGGTGTTCTTGTGAAGATTCTGCAAATTGTTGCTAGGATCCAAACATGCAGTTACTTTCATGTGGCTATGGAGACTTTGGGCTTGTATCACTCAAACAGCAGTTCCCTAAGCTGCATTGCAAATTACTTTTGAAATCATAGAAGTCTTTGAAATGCTCTTCGGCTTGGAAGGTCTGTTATTCAAAGAAAGAAGTCCAAAATGCCTTTGCACATGCCCAATCCCTTGGTGTATTTAAGTTAGCTATTTGGATTCCAGCCTATGATTCCATGCAGCAGGGGTAGATAACTGCATACCGCCAGTGGGCCAGATCCTTCCTTCCCCTCAATCCCAAGTGTCAATTCTGACATGTGGGTGGTACTGCCCACCTGTCAATCACCTGGTGCTGTTATGACATTGGGTGACAACTTGAAAAGAACTTTCCTTTGAAGACTGTTTTGCAGATAAGTTTCAATACACACGGCTTGGAAATGGACTTCAAAGTAACAGCAGACACGCCTTTACCTGCCATATACCTGATGTCACATATGACATCAGGGATGGGGCAGCTGAGTGTGGTTTGGGGGAAATGGCCTCCCAGGGCAAAATAGAACCCCTAGCTGACCTGAATGGACCTGTAAGCTGGTGGTTCCACACCTCTGCCATACAGTATATTTTATGGTCCATTTTATTTTAATTGCTGGACTTACTTAAATTCTCATTAATTTTCTAGTATTCTAGTGAATAATTTGCTTGTTAAACATAGGTGCAGTCTTTTAAAATATTTGTTTCCTCTTCCTCCTTCAGGGTGAAAGCATTTCAAGGTACGTGCACTCTTCACGTTTAGCTCTCCTTATGATGGGAAGCATAACATTCTTAATTGTTTAATGTTGCTAATGAAATGAGAGGTTAAGCATGCTTTTATGGAAAAAGGCACTTTGCAAATGATGCGATGCTAGAAGCTGCCCACAGCTCAGTTCTCCATAGATACCAAAACTGTAGAAGATTACATCCAGTTTCAACATGTCCACAGAGTTGCTATTATGCTAGCATGTTGACCGTCAGCATGGCAGCGCCATGACATCTTGAGGATTATAAAATGTTCCAGAAGAGCCAAGCAATATGATTCATTGGTTACAAACATGATGAAGGTTGTATGCTTTGCCACACCTAAATTGAGGGGATTTTAACCATTTATCTGTAAGATTCCAGCTTTTGGGAAGTCCCCAAGTGGAGGATGTTCCCTGATAATATCATACCCTAGTTCACATTTGCTTTTGTATAAAATGGAGAGAAGTGGAAGACTGCATACACATTATTTGAATTCACACTGTATCTTTAGTTGAGTTACAATATTAATATGTCAGTGACTTAATTCAGATGTCATGTCAAATCATCATTTTCAGAGCTTAACTATCGTTCGTCACAATGATCAAATTTGACAAATCATAGTTTGAGAATGTTGAAACCATGAGGTTAATGAAATGTCCCAATTGACAAGTCATAGTTAGCATTCCACCCTCTGAGGCCATCATCTCGCATAACAGAAATCCAGAATATGAGAAAGACAAAAATAGAGCACCAACTCTGTTGTCTTCAGTCTTGCTGAATTCTACCCGAAAGCCATGATTTCTCTATTGATCTTTCTGCCCCTGCGTGTTAAACCAGTTCCCATTCAAAATAAAGGCAGGCATTTGGATTTCATGATTTTTATTTATCGAACAACTTCTATGAAAGAAACTGAATCAAATGAATAACTTTCAGGTTTTTAGCCTTCACCTGTGGTCTCCCATTTCTCCCCAAATACTGGTGTTGTAAAACTTGTTTGCATGCCACTTTGAATTGTGTTTTATAAAGAAAAGTGAGATTTTTTTTGAAATATAAACAGAGTTATGAAAAGCAAAGGTAGCAATTATCACTAGTGGCTGAAATCGAGGGAAGTTGCAATGTAGGTCATGAAAATAGCAGCCAGGAGATGTGATAAAATGGAAAGTGGTGCCAGGGAGGGGTAGCACTACCAATAATGAAATGATGTTTTCCCTTTTTGCATGGAGAGTAGCTATGGGTGCCCTTAGAGGGACTTCTTTCTTTTTGGACATTTATCTGGTTCACCCCCCCCCCCCAAAAAAAAATACTATTTCACTCCAAGAGTTATGGAAACTGCAACATTGGTGGGAACATTGCTTTGGAGTGTGGGCAGTGGTTTTGAGTGGACAAAGCCAGGAAGAAAAATGTCCCACCCCCTAGTTCTTTGCCCAACTTGGACTGTCCCCCCGCACCTGAAAAAAACAAACACTTCTTAATACAGAGACATCAGGAAGAGGGGAATGCTCCTTGGCAGAAAGCTGGCCGAGAAAGCATTGTGCTGCACAACTGAGAGCAAATAAAAAGAAGAATGTTCTCAGTTGTGTTGCCCTTTTTAGCGTTACTGATTGATGGCAACAAGGCATCATATCTGTGGTTGTGTTGCTGGAGGTACAACAAGGTGAAGTGGTTTATAATTGAATCTTGGAACCCTTTGAGGAGACAACTAAGGAAAAATAGTATAAATTGTGTTTTGCACGTAGGGCCCAGTTTTGCATGTCACAGTAAACCATCATTATTAGTTTCCCATGAACACAGAAGTCACTGCAGCTTTGCTCCTTCCATAGTGCCAGCAGGAACAGCAAACCATGATCTTTGATGTAGCATTATATCTGAATGAGGGATCAGGCTTGTTTCGTTGCCCCAATCCCCACCTTGGTAAGCTAAGAACAAATATTGGCTTCACATTCTGATTTGTTTGTAGTGAAACAAATCATGATCCCAAGCTCAGACATTACAATACACCAGGGATTGTGATTTGTCCCTCGCGCTAGGGGAGGAGCCACCTGCATGATCATGCTAAACAATTAACTTTAGACAGTTCTGATGTGCAAATGAAGCCACTGTGACTTAGTTTCTAAATTAGAGCTAGCTCAGACCATAGTTTGTTGTAATTCTGAATAGAGCTGTGAGAGATTGAACTTTTATTCTTTTTTGGAAGATATGACACAGGATCATCAGGAGATCGTTACGATTCAGTACTAGGACGGACTGGATACAGTTACTTGGAAGATCGCAAATCATATTCCAGCAAGCTAGAAAAAGAAGATACAACAGATTTTAAAAAGGTATCTGACCCCATGAGTTGTGTGTTAACAAGATGACTTTATTACAAGTTTGTGAAGTCATTCTGTATGGTTCTCTTAATTCAGTTTGACACCAAAAGCATACATACACTCTGGGGACTATAAGATGCAATTTCAAGCTCTATGGTATTGGTTTTGAGGTAAATTTTGATTGAGGCCATTGTTAAGGTACTATTTGTAAAGCAACTTCAAATGTATGGCCACTTTACCCCACCTCCTTTCTCATTTAGAACAGGGTTGGGGAACCTCAGGCCCAGGGCTGAATGTGAGCCACATGGTCACCCTGTGTCACCCATTGGACTCTCCCCAGGCTACACCCCTTTCCTAGGATGCTCCCCTCACCAGCCCTTCACCCTTCTCTAGTGCTTTCGCCTAACTGGAATTTGTCCTTGAACCAGTATAATGTCTCTTGCTTGCCTGAATGGAGAGAGGTGACTGTGGTGTATGGAGAAAGTTGATCATTGCAGGGTCCAGCTTGGTTCCTATGGGGAGAGGCAGTCTTTGAGATATTGTGATCCTGAACCGCTTAAGGCTTTATAAGTCAAAAGCAGCACTTTGAATTGGGCCTGAAAACTAATTGGCAATCAGTGCAGGATCAGTGTAATATGCTCAAGCCGTCTTGTGCTAGTGAGCAACCTGGCCACTAAATTCTGCACCAGCTGAAGTTCTTGAACTGTCTTCAGAAGTAGCATTGCGTATAAAACATTGCAGTAATCGAACCTATAGGTTTCCAGAGCATAGAGGATAGAAGTTAGGCTAAATCCTTATTTCAGACATTGTGATATATTGGAATATCTCAGTGTTTAGCTGGTGATATATCACAGTGTTGAAAACCATATATCGCTCAGCCATACACAGAACCCTGAAATCTAAACAGTTGCTCCTTGCCTACTGCCCTTCTAATCCTAGGAGTTAAATTTTATGTCTCCACAATTATCAATTTATAAATGCAGTTATGATAGAAGTTTGAAGAAGTGCCTGATTTATAAAAGTATTGCATATTTCTTAGCTTTATGAACAGATTGTAGCTGAAAATGAAAAATTGAAAGCACAATTGCATGATACCAACATGGAACTGACGGATCTCAAACTACAGTTGGAAAAAGCAACTCAGGTTTGTATTTCTAAACTCTCAATTTAATTTTATTTCTTCAAAGGATCTTCAGGCTGCCTTATATGATATCCTCTCTAGGCTGCTTACAAACATATAACAAATAAAATCACAAATTTCTCTAATACAGTTTAAAACAGATTACAAACAATAAAATGCCAAAATAACAGGCAGAGCAATAAGTACAAATTAGAGAATCCTTCAAATTTTTGCAGGCCTGAAAAATATTTTAACAGGAAATTTAGTAACAAATCTAGTAATACTCTGAAATCTAGCAGCAACCTTAATAAAATCATCATTGTTAAAAGCTAAACAGAACAGATGGGTCTCCAAAGCCATTTTGAAGGCTGGCCAATAGTCCAATGTCTAGGGAGGAAGTTCCATAAATGAGGCGCCACCACAGAAAAAGCATATGTAGGTTCAGTAAAATGTGTGTCACCAAGGATTAGCTTTGCATTTTCCAAAGAGATGGAAACACACTTTTTTAATAGTTCCTTTTAAACGTCATGCTTTAATTCTGTTTGTTATAAACCTGGCACAAAAGTTCTATTAGAAATATAAATCAATATTGAACGTTTCACATATTAGAAGGTTTCTATTGGGCTTTACCAGCGCCTCTTGGAAGTGTATGGAATCTGAGTCTCTTAGGTGGAGTTCAGGCAATAACATGCAGTGAGGTGGCAAACTAGAAAAATGAAATGTGAAGTGCAAAATTTTTATACATTTTAAAGGTTTAAGTGTCCAGAATGGTATTTCATACACAACTTGCATAGGGCTAAGTTGTAAATTGTTACTTTATATTGATGGAGGAGGAGGTGAGCGGCCTAGTCTTTAACCCTTGAACATTTCTGCTTTAATTGCTGCATAAATGACTTCAAAATTTATGTGATTATGATGGGAAGACAGTGTCCTTGATATTGATGATAAACTGTGGTTAGTGAAAACTGGAAGTGAAAACTGGAGGTGGAGGCATAGCAGGCTCATTCAACACTATACCATAGTTAATCATTATGTCCAAACAAGGCCTAGTCTTTAACCCATGAACATTTCTTCTTTAATTGCTGCATAAACGACTTCAAAATTTATGTGATTATGATGGGAAGACAGTGTCCTTGATATTGTGGAGTTGAGTTGGAAGTCTTCCCCCTGCAAACCATCTGGCCCTTCTCAATGGACAGCTAATGTTAGGTGTCAAGTTTTATCCCTAGTATTACTGCTCCATAGAAGTGAACAATAATCATTAACTTATATGGGTAAAAAGTAAGGTGGTGAGTTCATGGAGTGTAAGGAAGTTGCTGCTGATAGAGACTGATTTTAAGCTTATACCTTCAAAAGGAGCAGTGTGTTTGCCCTTGAGCAGCAACTTCTATTAATTGAAATTGATATATGATGGCAGAAACTTCCTGAGAACAAGTTTAGAAGCAGGATGGGAAATGTTAAGTGATTATTCCAGCCACCTGATTAATGACTACTAAAACAGGCAGAGAGAGGCTTGAATGTGCACATATCCTTATAAAGACCCTTTAGTGTATTCGTTCATGTTCACTCTGACATTGGAGATCTGACCTGATCTGATTAGCTATGGGCCATATTCTGTGTTACAGTGTTATTTGAAATTATTAGTAAATGTAACTCTGGCCCTGTATCTGTCCTTCATTGATCTCCATTGCAAGAAATCTATATTAAATTTGTGTATAGATCATCAGTAGCCATTTATTAAAGGATGGCTTGTGATGGTGAATACCATTAACTATGTTTCTGGCGCCTACCTCATAGTTTTCTGTATCTTCTATTCCCCCCCCCCGAAAAGTATGGTTTCCTGTTGAGATTATATTCAGCAAACCTATGAATCTGAGAGTGCCCATGAATTTCAGGCACTCATAGAATCATAGAGTTGGAATAGATCACAAGGGCCATCGAGTCCAACCCCCTGCCAAGCAGGAAACACTCTTTACGTTACAGAAAAAAATGAATAAATATTGGGTTGGATTCAGACACAGCGGACATTAATTCCCTTAGAAATGAGTTGGTTCTGTCGTTTTCACTGTCTAATTTAGTCTGGATTCTACCCACCACTGGTAATGCAACAGTGCTTTTCTAAATTGCATTTTCCCCACGTCCATTTATCTCCTTTATTTTTCTTGTGAGTAACATTGCGTGTGATCACTTATCTATTTCAGAGGCAGGAAAGATTTGCTGATAGGTCTCTGCTAGAAATGGAAAAAAGGGTAAGTTTTTTCCTGGGCTTTTGGTCCTCTAGGTTTATATAATATTCTTATAAAATAATAATCTGAATTGGGAAGCAGTATGCGAAACAGAACAAACTGCAACAATTTAGTTAGGCAATTAGATTTCTGGACAGTCTGTGTGTGCACAAGGGATGCACTTTATGTATTGATATAAGAGCAATAATAATCAAATAGTTAAATTTAAAATTCCGCGCTGGATTTGGTCTGGCAACTTTTAAAAAACATACGATTGGTGGAAATGGCTTAAATCGGTTAACTCACTGTTACTTAACTGAGCACTGCTAAGTAAACAAGTTTTTTTTTAAATGAAACTTGGTTCTTATCACAGAGAGTTAAATGAATGACAGACTGACAAAAATGAATTATGACTGTACTAAGCTCTTGAAATTAATTGCTAAAACTGGGTAAAATATGTTTAGGAGCTCACTTAACTATGATTAAACTAAATTCAAATGGTTTGTATCTGAAAGGTGACCGACAAGAGTCAGTATCCTCGCAGCGGTATGATCTAACCAAAGTTTTACACACCTCAGCTGATGCTGCTTGTTTTGCATAACACTGTTGAATGTATACTTTGTAGCATTTGCTTTTGTCTTTCACACTTTGAAAATGTTTGAATGTCAGATACTGGATACAGCAGCTGCTTTTTAATGAGACTCACCGCATTGTCTTAACACAAAGCAATACTTTAGCTTTAAGACCTGTTGTCCAATGAATGATGACAGAATATGCACTAGGACACACACACACGATTAGTATTACTTGGGTGTAGTACAGAATGCAAACTAACATTTGCCTGTCTGTGGAACGTAATGCTTTGTGCTTCCTTTTCCTTAAGGCAGTTGGTCTCTTTTCTGCATTTCTTGTATGCTAAACTACCACAAAATACAGTTAAAGGAGTAATACCCAACTGATGTTACAAAAACTATTGGCTGATCAATTTTATATAAAGAATGTATTTAACTGGTAGAATTTGACCGAAATTAGTTCTGTTGTCTTGATTTTAAATTTGTAGTATTTTTTTACACATCACTGGCCTCGCAAGTTTCTTGTCCTCACTGTGCTTATGGTTGTTTAATCTTGAAAATCTGAGATTGCTCTACAGAGATGATGCTTAAAATATATATCCAAATTGTGTTATTAATGCAAATGGTTTTCTGTAGGAAAGAAGAGCTCTAGAAAGGCGGATATCTGAAATGGAAGAGGAACTCAAAGTAAGCGTGCTTCAACTATTTTCATTTAGGGCAGTAGCATTGTTTATAGGCTACAGTGTGCACATTCTTATTTTTATGTATTGATTAGGAGTGCATCAAATTACAGAATAACATTCTTCCGATTTTCAATGGCTTTTTACTACATGGTCAGCCATGTAATCACAGCTCATGCCAAAGCTGTCTAATAGAATGCAGCTTTTGTAAAGGATAGAATATTGTGCCATACAGTTTTGTTTACAGTAGTAGAGGACTTTTACCTGAGATTGTCTGAGTTGGTTCAGATACTATTGAGACATATGGTTCTACTAAAAAACAAAAGCCTATATTGGTTGAATATGGCTATACTTCCCCCAAATGTGTGTGTGTGTTTAAAGTATAGGCAAAACATTTTAAAATTTAATAATGAAGTACGTTTGATTTGTGAAAATACAGGTTCCTCTGCTATCAGACAGTCTTCGCATCAAGGGTAGTATTTCCTTTAGGCTACAGTCAGAGTGAAGATAAGGTCACAAAAATTTCTAAACCTATCACTTGGTTTTTTTCTCCAACCTTTAATTCACAGGGACCTAATGAAGAAATAAGCTGTCTGTCCGTCTCTCTCTCTCTCTCTCTCTCTCTCACACACACACACACACACACTCTCACACACCACATATGTACATACAAATTAGAGATGGGCATGATTGATTCCTGAGGCACAATATGACTTTCTTCCTACACCCCATTGGAAAGACGCTGATTGGCTTAATAAAAAAGGAAGCCTCAGTATAACAAGGCAGATAGGCTCTCCTTCCCTCCCCACTCCTGGACAGGGAAGAACAAGACTGAGAAAACAGATAGTTGTCTTAGTTTCTGCGTCTTTTCAGCAGCCTTGAAACGGCACCCATCAGCAATTATAGCATATAGATGTCCAGATACCAATATAGGTATAATTTCAAAAAGCATTCTCTGAGCTCTCTCTTGTTTCCTGCCTTTTTAAAAAAATCCTCAGTCGTCTGAGGATTTTAGTACAGTGGAACCTCAGTTTTTGAATGTGATCCATTCCAGAAGACGGTTTGACTTCCAAAACGTTCGAAAACTGAGGCGCAATGAGTAGTCAGCAAAATCCATTGAGAATCAACCATCAGGGAGAAAAGATTAACGTTATAAATGTCTATGCACCAAATATGAATAAAGCTGAATTCTTTAAAAAATTGGAACAAATGTTAACAGAACTGGAGGATCATAAGATGATTTTACTTGGAGATTTGAATGCCGTGCCAACACCTGAATTAGATAGAAGCGTGAAAAGAAGAAAACTTAAGCAGGGGAAATTACCAAGAACATTTAATAATCTGGTGGAAAATCTAGATCTGATAGACATCTGGAGACATAAAAATCCAACAACAAAACAATATACTCACCTGTCAGAACCACACCAAAGTTGGGCCAGGATCAAATATGGGTCTCAAGAGAATTAACATTAAGAGCACTTAAATGTGAAATCTAACCCAGAACTCTTTCAGATCATAGCTCAGTAACGTTGGAGATAAAAAGCAGATTATAAGGAACATACAGATGGAGAATGAACGATTATCTTTTTGAAAATGAGGAAATAATTGAGAAGGCCAAAAGAACGTTAAAAGAATATTTTGAGATGAATTTAAATAAAGAGACTAATATAAAGATGCCAGTTTGGGATGCCAGTAAGGCAGTGTTAAGAGGATTTTTAATTAATCAGAACAGCTATAGGAAAAAGTTAAGAGAAAGAGGAGGTTTTGCGGTACCGAATTTGAAACTGTATTACGAGGCCTCATGCCTCTGTTGGATTAAAGAATGGATTGTAATAAAAAACACTGACCTACTAGATTTAGAAGGCTTTAACACCAGATTTGGTTGGCACGCATATTTGTGGCATAATAAAGCAAAAGTGCATAAAGAATTCTCCAGTCACATCATTAGGGGACCTCTGCTAGAGGTTTGGGAAAGAAATAAAAATCTTCTTAAAAAGAAAACTCCCTGGTGGTTGTCACCAATAGATATTTTAACAATTAAAAAAAACAAACATAGAAGGTAAGAGATGGACATATGAAGATTTATTGGTGAGAACAGAAAAAGGTTGGCAGATCAAAACGTATGAAGAACTAGGAGATAAATTAATGAGTTGGTTACAATTCCATCAAATTAATGCACTGTGGACAGAAGATAAAAAGATTGGGATAAACAAAAAAAATCAAGATTCCAGATAGAAATACTGGAAGGAAATTCAAAACTCTTATCAAAAATGTATAATCAACTGTTAGAATGGAATACTAAGGACGAGGAAATAAAAGAAGTTATGGTGAAATGGGCGATAGATCTGGGATATAATTTAGAATACGATAGTTGGCTTAAGCTCTGGAATAAAGATATGAAGTTCACTGCTTGTGTTGCCTTAAGAGAAAACATGGAAAAAAATGATGTACAGATGGTACATCACCCCTGTAAAATTAGGAAAAATCTATAAGAATGGAGATAAAATGTGCTGGAGGTGTAAAAACAAGGAAGGTAGTTTTTACCACATGTGGTGGACTTGTGAAAAATCAAGAACTTCTGGGAGCTCATTTATAATGAACTAAAAAAATGTTTAAATATACTTTTGTTAAAAACCTGAAAATTTTCTTCTGGGAATGATTGGCAATGAAATTAAGAAAGAGGACCAGACCTTATTCCAGTACGCAACAACAGCTGCTAGAATTTTAATCGCCCAAAATTGGAAATCAATCAATATCCCAACAGTAAGAGATTGGCAAAGTAAATTATTTGAATATTCAGAATTGGCAAAATTAACACAAAAAATCAGAGTCCAGAAAGAAACAAAGTTTATTAAAGAATGGAATAAATTCATAACCTATATTGAAGTAGATTTAAAAAATCCAAAGATCACAGTAGGCTTAATATAACCCTTCGACATACAAAAGTTTTAAAGATAAACTGCGGGAAAAATGTATTACATAACCCAAAACTGAGGTGGAGGGAAGTCAATAACTTAAATGTTTGTCTTTGTTTTGTTTTTTCCTTATAATTAAGTTATGTTGTTTTTATTATTGTTTTTTTTCCATGAAGAATTTATTTTCTGTACATATGTGTGTATATGTGTGTATGAAAATTAATAAAGAGAAATTAAAAAAAGAGAAGATTTGAAAACACGTTCGACTTCTGAGGCACATATGAAAACAGAAGCAATTACTTCCAGGTTTTTGGCGTTAGAAAACCGAAACGTTTGGCTTTTGAGACACTCAAAACAGAGGTTCCACTTTAGTCATATAGCGACAGAGGGATTTGGGCCCAGATTGTTTAATGCTTGAAATGCTACCAGCAGCACCTCCAGGGGTGAAGTCAAATCACAGCACTTCCTGCGTTGTTTTTGCTGCACCAAAGTGACGTCTCCAGGGCGCAAGCCTGGGCAGTGTGTATGGAGGTCCTGGGCTGCCTAGACGACAACCCCCCACTCTCAGCCCACTGATGTGGTCTAAAAGAAAGCAGAGCAACACATTTGGCACCAGCCTTTCCACAGTCACCAATTCCCTATATATGGTTAGGTAGTTTCTTAGTTTCACACAGAACACTCTGCTGCTAAAGAAAGGATTATCTTTACATCTCTTTCTTTTTTCTTTTAGTTGTCTTCACCTGTGATACCTTTTCAACATGCCACAATTGCATTTCTCTCATTGGCTCCTGTTTCTTTGATTCCTGCAGAATACATTTCAAGTAAAGCATGTTCAGGCTTTGAGGCATTTAAATGAGCGACTGCTGACTGAGAATAGGGCCTTGACCAGAGTGGTTACCAAGCTGTCAGGTGCCTGCAGGCATCGACATTCTGTGGACTTGTAATTTCCCCTTTTCTTTTTTCTGTAGCTGGGCAGGTGTTGACTTTCAGTGAGTGTTATGGCCTGCATCTCTCACTATTAATGCTTGTGTGTCTGAAGACTGGCTTATTGCTTGACTATAAGTTCAGCTTAAATACACAGTTTCCAGTATTCCAATTTTACCCTATTACTAACAGATATATTGATGTTGTTGTTTAGTTGCAAAGGAGTTCAGAAACTTTCACTTCCTCTTTTGAATAGCCACAGCTTTCCATGTTGTCTGGACCAAGAACTGATTAATCCTAACTATGGCAAGTGTTAGATAAACCAGCTTTAGAAACTATGATTTGAAGCTGGCTTGTTTGAAACTAGCTGTAGTTGCTATTAACCACAGTTTATCAGGGCATATGACATGGCCAACTGTAGTGAAGCAAAAAGCTTCCAAACACTTCCTCCCAGTCACACGGCAGGAGGAGAGGATAGGGATGGAATGCTTGAGCGTGAGGCTTATTGCGATACATTCATTTATCACGCTGTGCTGTGGTTTAGCATGGCATATGTATATGGTGAATGCATCCGTGTTGGCAGATTACTTTGATGTTAATCTGCGGGCCTTACTACCTACCACAGTTCAGAGATGCTCCGTTCCTTGGATATGTATAAGAATATTGAGGAGCTGAAAAACTAAACCCTAATCTGAATAGTTGAATTGATACTTCACTGGAAGCTAAGTACTACATCTGAATATAAACTTACTGAAAAACATAAGACTCATCTGTGCTAATTGGAAACCTCTGGTAGCAGCATACTACTTAAAGTGGAAATGTCACAGGGTTGTGTTATTTTTCCCAAATTGTCACTGTAAACTTTTTTTAAAAAAAATATTAACATTGTTGTATACTCGGGGTCCATCAGAGTAGACCCATTGAAGTTGATGAGCATGACTAATTTAGTTCCATTAATTTTAATGGGTTTGCTCTGAGTAAAACTTAATTGAATAAAACCATCAGTACCAAGTTCTAGTTAGTGGTTTCAAAGCAATGTGTCAGATGAAATAATAATAATAATAATAATAATAATAATAATAATACAGAAGAAATGATCAGTTGCAAAATTTTGCATTAACTGTTTGAGGTAGCTCGTAAATACAGCAGAATTAATTTTTTTATATGAGCCTAGATTTAACATGTGCCATGCCAATGCCATAGAGGAGGCATGAGCTTTTATAGCTGAAAGTTGTCTCATTACTGTGAAACTGAAAAATTACCTTTGCAATTAACAGTAGCTAAAAAGAAATAAAACATGTATTTTCTACATGTCTGAATAGGCTTGCCTAAAGAGAAACACTTTAAGCAGGTGTCAAAATGACTGTTGTGAATGTACCTTATTAGAGATACCTCATGCATTCTAGAATATGATCATATACATATCAAAACCCAATCCAAACAGATCACACATGTATAATAATTTATTTTAAATGCAGTTTTGATTTTTCAAAGAATATGTTTATTAACTCTTGTCATTTGGTGCTTTGCAAAAAAAAATTAATACAAAGTATTTTGATATTATGCATGGTGTAACCTTGCTTATTTGAGCAACTCGCAAGAACTCTTTTTCCTTTGTTTATTTATTTTGCCATTTATATCCTCCTTTCAATACAAAAAATCTCAAACTTACGGCATTTACAAATAAGAAATGAAGCACAACAAAATCCAGAACCACCCTAAGAATAACAATGGGCTTTAAAAAGCATCATGAAAATCATTCAACAGCCAAACTGAAAAGTATTAAGTGTAAACAAGAACCCATTTAATAGCATGTTAAGGTGGAGCCAGTTCAATGTCTTTTGGGAAATTGTTCCATAGTCAGGGTACCACAGCTGAAAATATCCCCTTCCTTTTTTATTTGCCAATAGAAATGCAATAAGGACTCAGAAAGGGAGTGCAGAATTCATGTGAGGCGACAATTCCTGAGCTGCCTTGGCTATTCAGGTTTTAGATGTCACAGTGATCACTGTCAATTTTGCCTGGAAGCCAATGACATTGAGAAAACTGACCTGATGTGGTCTGTCCTGCCCAAACAAATGTCTGCCCTCAGCATCCTGAGCCAATTGAAGCTTCTAAGGGTAGCCTCACATAAAGTACATTACAGTAAACCAACCTGGATGTAAGTCCTATTTAAGTCAGTGGGACTTGCTCCCAGATAAGTGAGGGTTAGAATTGCAGCCACTGGCATCAATGTTTTGGACCATGTTTGATTTCTTCAGGAAAACAATGCTTCTGGTGAACCTGAGTACCAGTATTGCCTGCCTATAGTACCTCCATCTTGTCTGGGTTTACATTCATCCTCTTCTACTTCCACACAGTGTCTTTGTAGTTCAACAACATCTCTTTTGTTCAAGATGGTGGGTCTGATTGTCAGGCTTCCAATTTCTGAGGGCACATGTCAAAAGTGCTTGGTTAAGCAAAGACAATTTCCCATCTTTGGGTGTGTGTTCTTTTCTGGCCAGATGATTGTTCGTGCCCTGAACTTAACAGTTAATCTTGTGGCATCACATCAGTGCCAGTCATTCTCATCCATCCGCTCCCCACCTTGTGCCTTTTCTAGTTCTGTAAAAAATATTGGGGGAACTATGGTGCAAAATAGAAGAAAATAGTAATTAAGCTCTTGTATTCTTTCTCCATACTCAAAACCCAGGCTCTCTTTGTTCTTCACTCTTACAATTGTACCTACCTCATTAGGAATTGGACTTGATATTGAAGCTTTCCCTTACCTTCAAGAGTTTAGTAAGAGCAGCAATAGTACCAAGTGCCTCTTATCCCATTTTAAATCCAACATACCAGTATTTTTCAAAGTAATATAGTGGGTTCCACAGGAAGATGTTGAGCCTATTTTTTCTGGTTTCTAAGGGGAAATTTAAAAGACAAGTTTTTCAGCTCCCGAGTGGAGTGGCAGTAAAATGTTCTATAAGGATGACTTTTTAAAAACTTGGCTGATAATTTATCTGACGACTAGATGCATATTGAAACTTCATAAACTTATAGCAGGTGTGGTAAGAGCATTATCATACCACTTGGAACAAAGCAGTGCCTATATAATGGGAATAGAAATAAAAGGCATGATGAGGCTCAGCAGATTGTCAGTTAAGTGAGCATTTAATACCTATTTATTTCAATAACATTGCCAGGTTTGCACAAATGCCACATATAGGCATATCTTATAACTTATTTGCCTTATCTTCTTTACAAAAACAAAACACACAATTTTGTGTCTCTGCTGGATTTTGAAATAGTGGACATGTCAGTTTCTAAGATATGCTCAGAGCTCAAGCCTGTCTGGAAGTGAAGTCCTGTGGTATAACTGTCACTTCTCTCAACACTCTCCCACCCTTACTCCCAGATGTTTGGAGACAAAGGTGTAGTTGTGAAGAATGCTCTCTACACATTCTCTGAATCACTTTTCTTTGTTACAACTCTGAAACCTGAGGCAGGACATCCAAAATGGGTTCCAGTGCCCAGGTCTGGTGAATCTTGCTTCAGTTAATGCACACCCAGGGCTGTGTGAACTGTACCCCACAAAAAGCTAATTACAAATTAAGTAAATATATGCATGCTTATTTTACCTAGAGGAGCACCTATAAAAAACCCTTTTCTTCCATTACCCCATGTGAGTGGCTTACTATGTGTTTTGAGTGGTCTTGACTTGACTAAATATGGTTTGGTTTGTTTTATATTTCACTTCTCAGTGATTATAAAATAATAAGTTGCTGCTACGGATGGACCTTGAGTTCTAAACAGCCACATATTCAAGTCACCAGCCTGCTTAGCAATATTTTAATATCAATTGGTTTATAAATGGTATTAAATAAACAAACCATTTGGCGTTTGCAGGAAAGGAGGACTATTTGTCTTTGAAGAGACTTTGTATTTAATATATTGCTATTTGTCAAGCGTTGCACACTTTACTCTCTGTTTTTCTCTGATAGATGCTACCAGACCTGAAGGCCGATAACCAGAGGCTAAAAGATGAAAATGGGGCCTTGATCAGAGTTATCAGCAAGCTTTCCAAATAAAATTGTTTACTCCAGCTGCAAATCATGGGATTGCACATAATTAGTATCTCCAGTGGACCATAGCATGGAAGTCACTGGAAGTCTGGGAAGATTTCTTGGAGACTGTCATTTTCAGATATTCTGCCAAATGCCCTCTTACCTGGGTGTGTGTTTTTTTTAACCAAGATCATTGTTTCATGTGTTAAAGCAGCTGCTGAGAAGACATAATGACTGAGAAATCTTGTTTACAGCTACTGCATATAAGGAAAGTGTTCAAGGCCAGATAAGCCTCAGATATTTAACCAGTAAGCCTTAGTTGTACATAAACACATGCATCAAAAAAAGCTTTCTGCTACCACAGACAGTTACTTTTATTTTGTTGTGTCACGGTTCCTGGTTTTTTTCCCCTATCCTGCAGTTTTTCTCTCTTACATCTTAAGTTTGGATTTGTGTGTGTTTCCTTCTAATTATTCATATACCAGATTTTTTTTGTTGTACAGTATTTTCACAGCTTTACATTTACACACCCCTTTAAAAATGCAACATGTAGCTAACTAAGCCTGTATTGTCCAGCCAGCCACCTCAAAACAGAGAGGTTTTGTGGAACCTTTGCTTTCACTGTTGTGCAATATGCATTATTTCCTATAAAAGATGCTTTAAAAGTCAGTTGCAAGTAGATTGGTTATTTTAAAACTCCTGTCTTCTGCCTTTATTGGTCACTTTTTAAAAGAAAATAAAAAGGTTTGTAGTGCAAGTTGTTAGATCCTGTAACCATCACATTCATTTTAGCCAGGTACTAAGTGATGCTGTATATATTAATGTATATTGTTTGGAGTTTTCAGACCACCACTTGACATGCTTGAATATATTTCCCTATTGCAATTGTGTGTTAAAACAAAATAGGCTGCTCCACAGTAGTGTTAAACAAAGTCCATTTGGTTTAAATTTACAAATTCTACTTTGTATGGAGTCAGTCTTTACAAAAAATTGAAACGAAAAACAATATTTTATCCCCTTCCATTTTTTATTTGAGTGATCACCCATAATAAAACTTAAGTATAACTTCTTCACTACATTTCACATATCTGTGTTTGAGTGCTGTCTGAAACTGTTGTGCTAGCCAAAGTAATCTTTAAGTCATTTGAAAGCCCTAACCTATTCATTTACGTGCACTGCTAATGCCATGTGAAGAGGCATCTAAGTTGATACCACCACGTTCAGACCATTTTATACATTTCAGTGGCCTTTTAAAAAGTACTCCAGTGAAGATAGCTTTTGTTAGAAAACAAACAGCTTTTATATTTTCACTAAAACCTACTAAATATAACCATCTTCTGGCCTACAGACTATTGCCTAAAAACCACTGAACAGCTCAGCCATTAAAATAAATTGTATATTGTAAAGCTTGTAGTAGCTATTGTATTATTGATTATATTGTATACTATATTAAATGTGAATTTGTACCCCTTCATTTTAAAAGGTCATTGTGTTCTACTTCCTACTTCTTGGGGATGGGACTCACTTCATTTTGGGGTGGGCAAAAGAGAACAACTGTTTGGGGCAAGGAGGACGTGAGTCCCCTTCATAGGGTTGGGTGATTTGGGGAGGGGGGGAGGGAGGTTTTTTGAAGATGTAAGGTTTTGCTCTTACTACCAAGCTCAGGATTCTTGATTTTAAAGGTACAAGGATAGTTCTGGGATATCTTGTTACAGTAGGTCTGTATGAGTCATAAGTTTGAAGGTGGACATATTTCATGGTCTTAAGCTAATACAAACCAAGCAGAGAAAATATCCATCTGAATGGCTGCAACACGCTGCATAGTGTTGTTGAATTGTTAGGCATACTGTGGATTATATTTGGTCAAGTTTTGGATGCCTGTGAATGATTAAATGTGTATCTAATATTTTAGTGTTTTATATATAGGTTATTTATTCTTTAAAAACCGAATGGCTACTGTGTTACGTTGATTTTATTGGTAGTATTGAGCAGACCTTGCATCTGCATGAAACTACTTGCAAAACCCACTATTTTGCAAAAAAAAATGTATTTTGACATATACAAATAAAATGAATAAAACTATTTTAAATGTGTGGATTTTACTGAGAAGACATTTTAAACGTGAATTTGGTATTTAAATTCTTTGTGGGCATTTTTTTATTGCTTCACTGGGATGCAAAGTACTTTTCAGAGATTGTAATCAAATTGTGTTTGCACAGCTGTAAATGCAACAGTAAAAATGCCATATTTATGCAATCTGTAACAAAATTGAAAAATGTTTATATATTTTACATAAACCTGTCTGCATGGAGAAACTACATGGAAACCAGTTTTTTTATGTGTTGTGCCATGGTAAGAATGCATGATCTTAGAATGTTGCTTAACTCACTAGAATATTTTGTAGCTGAACATACCAGAGGCTTGATAGAAATTCATTTAGCTACACTAGCAACTGCTCCTCTATCCCAGCACATGTTTTAATGTTAAGTTCAGATTTTCATTTAGTTCCCTGCTGGAAATAAGCTTGTGGTGTTTGGATACTGGACTATGAAAGAAGTGCTGAATCATCAGAGAAATGTCACTTGTTTGTTTGAGGACGCTAATTGCGGAACATGCAGTCAGTTTATCCCATGTTGGAGTGCATTTACTGTTCTGGAGTTCAAGCAGTAATGAACATAGCTGAGATGTTAACTACATTGTTTTGGCTGCACATTAAAATAATGGCAAGATTGAAACAGGACTTGAGGCAAAATGGGTTGAAGGAAGAATTGTGTTTCATAATCTGTCTTAACCTATGGGAAACCGAGAAATTGAATGTTGCCCCTGTCCTTGTTTTATGCACCTGCAACACTTCCTGAGGTAACGTCATTCTTCAATACCATATAAGATTCCTTTCTTCCTGTTTGTTTCCTCCTTATTTTCCTTGGCTTTTAAATGTTAGTTTTCCTATTTTCTTATATAATTTTAGAATAACTGAATATTTTATTTTTCCTGCTTGTACAACCTGGAGAAAAGAAGCCCCCCCCCCTTCACAGCCCCCTTTGTGGGTTTCTGCTGTGTGTGTGTGTGCATGCAAACGTGTGCTCAAGTCACAAAGGACATGGAAAAGCAAGAAGGACAGAAGATAGATAGGTAGGTCTCCTTTCTCTGAGGGGAAAGGACCAGGAAGAGTTGAAAGAAATAAGATAAAAGACTAATATTATTTGTTGTTATCAATAAACAGAGAAAAAGAGAAAGGTAAGCGAGGGAAGCAGTTATCGGCATAAGTGAATGTAAAAGGACCAGGAAGGAGGGATGGATAAAACTGGTAAGGTTCTTTTGCTGGGAGTCAGAGTGGGGAAGTAAGGTACAAGTTGAATGTGAAAGGAGAAGAAGAAATTTCAGGAGATGGGTAAAAATACTTTGAGAGGCATTTAGAGTTTGAAATGGAAAACCCCTTTAAGCAAATTCTGCACCACCATTTTGTGACCGCTGTGCCTCTAGTTTTCAGCCCTCTCAAGTGGGCCTTGCAGGGTACAACCCTTGGCGTACACCAAATGCAGTAGGGGTTACTTCTGAGTAGACTTCCCACTATTGGGAGTTCTAATCTGAGACACCTATGGTGAATATTGAAACAGCCCAGTCTTGATTCTGGATTAGTTAATCCAATATGCTTTATTACACTTGTACCCACCATTAACATGCAACACCCCACCCACCGACTCTGGAAGCAGAGTAAAGAGTTGTAAACTGCTTCTTACATAAGTACTGTGTGCTCCCATGTGTAATACGTGTCTGACATTCTCAAAGAAAACTTTTGGGGGGGGGGATGATAACTTTTTAGGGTTGCCATATGCCCTCTCTTTTTCCCAGGACACATCCTCTTTTTTTATAGGTATGTAAAATTCATAAGAGTGATCCATAGTTAAAAGTAGAAATCGGCAAATGTGTCCTCTTTTTTGCTCTTCAAAATATGGCAACTCAGCTTGATAGCCACGGAACTGCTTATAGTTATGTTGGCTGTACTGAGAGGATCTTATCAGAATGAATAAAGTGTCCTTGTCTTGTTTTGATGACTTCTAGGTTTGGAATTTGGGCATAAAAGTGTCTACTCTACTGGAGCATATTTTAATCTACATCTGAATGTTTATTTGCCCTTTCACATTTCAAAAGGAAGTAACATTTTAATCTCTTAGACTGAAAAAGTGTTTGATACACCTCTTGTAGAACATGCTTCTGTGGGAATGGGAGATAACAAGTGACCAGCCCAGTAACCAATTCCTATGCGGATTTACTTTGGAGTGAATTGCATTCAGTTTGCTCTTGTCTGTGGTCCCATTGTCCATATCCTGCTGCTGCTTCACCCTTGTGTCACCCACGTCAAATAACTGTAGAATTATAGAGTTGGAAGGGACCCATTCGTTGACTTTTCCCCAATCACACAAATTTCCACAATTTATTCCAGTTGCAGAATGTGGGTGATGGAGCAAAAACTGACATTTTCAGAATAAAACAGAGCACATAATCTAGTTTCACTGTGTACATTAAGAAGACTGAAAATCTCATGGCGGGGAATCTTACCTGCATTTTCCAAAGAAATTAAACCAGCTGGATTGCACCTGTGCATTATGCACAGCAATGCATTCCAGAGCAGAGTAACTGCTCATTTCCTAAGCAAATTGAACCATAATTCCCCACACAGGGAAGAGATGTTAGGTATATTATTATTATTATTATCATCATCATCATCATTATTATTATTATTATTATACCAACTAAAGGGATTACAGTATTCCAGTGGAGCGGAAGTGGACAAGAAGTCTCACACACACTGCTGTGTGATGTGGGAATGTTATGCTGGGCAGTATGCCTGCTGATAAATGAGATGCTCAGAACATAAGGTCATAAACTTTTCTGTGGAGGGAAGTTCTTGCCTTATGTAGAGAAAAACAGTTAATAGGCATGAATGTTCCATGATTTAAAACCAGTCTAGCAACCCTTGAGTGATGTCAGATAAACAAATAGTGCTTCTAAAAGCACCACACCAGAGCTACAGCAAGAAGGAAAGACCATTCTTATCACTCTTAAGTGAAACTTTATATTTTGCTGTTTTTAAAATTATTAACTGTAAGAAAAACTTGGTCTTTAAATAACTACTATCCATTGTATATTATATTGCTGCATAAAATGCTCATAAACAAGGCTAATGTGAAGTTCATATTGCCTTGGGAGGACAAGCACATTTGTACTTAAAATGTGATGCATGGAAATACGTTGAACCCAGAACACAAATTTTATTGCATGATTTATTTATTTTTAATCCACAGTGCTTTTGCTTTTTATGGTTTTCAAAGGCAGCTATGCTGGTCCATAAGCAGGAGGGAATTCAACAGTCCATTTTGGTGTTAAGACCATCTAATATAAATAGTATATATCCAATCAAATGTGGTGTCTTGAAATCAGATATGTTGCATTTAGTAACCCGGATGCTGCAGCAAACTGTCCCACTTCTTTTAAATCTTCAGTTGTACTCTCAGTATATTAATAGTGAAGAGCTTGCTATAGGGACCAGTTAAGAGCACAAGGAATCTCCAAACCATTAACCAGGAGGCCATTTAAACTCCCCCTGGCACTACAACTAGTGACACTCTGGGAAGTGAGTGCTGAAGAAATACCTCACTTATGCCATAGTCTGGTGGTCTTTCTATTGGACTGCAGCCACTATGGACTGAGTAGCCACATGGCATAGAATTTTAATTCCATCTTCTACCACAAAATGTGAAACTTACACGGAAATTGAATTTTAATAAATGGTCCTAGTTGGGCAAGACCAGTATGTGATTAATGTTTTCTTGGATTATTCTTGGTTTTAGGCTTAAATTGGAGCAGGAGCTGTAGTTTTGCACACCTGACTAAAAATTCATAGAATCGTAGACCAAATGACCCAACCCCCTGCAATGTAGGAATATGCAGCTTTCCCATATGGGGATCAAACTTGCAACCTTGACATTGTCAGCACTATGCTCTAACCAACTGAGCTACAGAGAACACACAACTTTCTAAAATGTATTGTAGATGTGATGTCCTGCCTAGTCACATGGTATGGAGTACCTTTTCTGTTCCAGCTTGCCAGTTACATTTTAAAAAAGAAACACTTTTCTAAGTCAGCACTGCTATGGTCACTGCAGGAATGTTGTGTGGTTTTGAAAACGAGCTGTTTCCTATTAAATCTCTCTGGATTAATATGTTATGTATGCTGTGAAGGAGTCTGAGAAACCTGACATTATGTTTGTCTTCTGGTATACATCCTGCTCCTGTCTGTTTTTAACAGTGGATGAAATCTTAACTGCTGCTGGTAGGGTTTGGTTTGTTTGTTTTTAAGTGAAAGTGCTTATTTGGCTTGAAATTGTAGCAGGGCTGAAATAGTCATGTTACAGCAAGGCATTCTCGCTAGGACACGTATTAATTCCTGTAAGATTTGGGAAGTACTTTTAAATTCAGACAGCAGGTGGCACCCATGAGCCTTTCCAAGTCATAGTTTCACAGCAAGGGCCTTTTCTAAGCAAAACCTTACACTGTGTTTGCATATCTAATAACAAAATAGTTTATCTCAATAACAGCTTTTAATTAATATAGCTCTCCAGGTTGAATGTATTGAAATTAATGGATCATTAACAGGTTACTGAGCTTTCAAAGTAGTTGCAATGAAATATAATATACCCTCTAGCAAACATAAGACGCAGAATCAATATAGTGCCACTATCCCACTCCTTGATGATCCTCTTCTGAAAATATTTTTATAAAGTCTCACTGGAAAGTTACTTGATATATGCTGCAATATTTCAGCCTAAGTTTATATGCCTGCTGTCATACATATGATGAAGCAGGCTTAGAAATGTCATAACATTTTTTGCTGTTAAAAGAATAATAGTGTTGTTTCATATCCTTATGTTCACATATCTCTGAGCCCCATTTCAACTACAAGAGTTTATTTCAGCACAATCCTGCATCAACACTAAGCTGTTTTGGAGACTGCACTACACAGGGAGTACAGAGGCATGGACTTGCTTCATAGATACATTGGCAGCAGTTACTCTCTTCATCATTACAGAGACCTGTAATATCAGAATATTGGTCTCTCAAGACATTCCTTTGCCAAAAAGACAGCTGGTTGTTTTTTGTTTTTTAATGTGCCATGTTGCTTTTGAGATTTCCCGCAATGGACCATGGGTTGGGCTAGCTGATGAGAAAAGCAAGCAGAGAGAGACAGATGCACAAAGGTAGGAGAAAAATAGTAGCACCTTGAGATATTTGGACAGTAAGCAGTCTATAAATGCAAATAGTAAAAAAGAAGAATAAGCTTTGTAGCAGTTCAGTCTACCTTGGGTAACCTGACCTACATATTAAACTTTTCTCAAGCTCTAAATTGTTGTCAGGTTGTTGCGCAGCATATTGATTTTTATGCTTTTTACTGGTGTTTGAAACAGGTTGCCTGCTGGCTGAGTTGTTCATGTGTTGTGTTGTTTCCTCCATCTGATAAAGCTAGCCACCTCAGAGAAGCCCCTGAAGGAAAAGAGATGCACCTACTTTCCCCTATACAATGCAGCTAGTACAATCCAGCTTTCTAGAGGATATGGTTATAATGGAACAGTTCTGGTTACAACGGCAATGTTGTGGTTTCACTTCCATGCCGAGTCATTGAAAGAATTTTGAGTGCTTGTGCCAGCCATTGGGTGCAACCTGGATACTTCCCTTCTATCAGAGTGGTGGTCATGTTCCTTCCATTGCTTTAATGTAAAGAAGTGGTACACCAGTCACTGTAACTGAGTATCTTCACTTACTATTTTTTCTCTTTCCTTCTTTCTTTTGACAACATTGCTCACATTCCAGGTTCCCTAATGGAGCCACTACTTCATTGTATGCTCCATTACTAAAACCAATGTCCTTTTAATTTCAGAGGCTCCAAACTATATAAAAATGAAGGAGCTGTCTTTAGTTTTATTTCATCCAGTGCTTTTTTTCTTTAAAAAATGTTTAGGGGTACGGTACTCTCATTTTCCTACTCATATTGAAATACTGCCCCTCAATGAGGCAAGACTTAGATTCACAAAATGTTTAGGAGTATGCGTAACCCTGCGTCCCCCCAGAAAAAAAGCACTGATTTCATCCAAAGGCATTTGTAGGAGCGAAGAAGACTTTGCCACTGCTTAAAAGATGTAGATGCTTCTGCCAAAGTGGGAAAAGAGGAAGTTGCCTACAAAGTTGGTCCATCGAGGTCAGTATTGTTTACACCAAGTAATAATGACTCTCCAAGGCTTCAGATGGGTCTTTCCCAACCCTGAAGATGCCAGGAATTGAACCTGGGACTTTTGCATGCAAAGCAGAGGTCAGTTGCATCCTTTGAAGAAACATTCCCAAACTTAATTGGAAAAAAATCCTTGGCAAAGCAATAATTAGCCAAGTCATAAAGCAGAATCCAAGACTGTATTAAAGAATGGCACTGTAATTTTGGAGTGTCTATTCAGCTCTAAAAGAAGTGTGCGTGTTCTGCAGTATAGCGTGCTTCTGTAATGGAATTACTTGGCCACACCAAGGCACAGTTTTCAGGAGGGGAAACACAGGTAGAGATGTACTAGGTGGGACTGCGGCCATGCAATCACTTTACCGTTTCCCATGTAGTATTTTTAATCTATAAGCTCCAGCTACACAAGTATTGCACTTCCCACTTTGCTACAAATGATTAGTTCATTGTGTGGGCTAGAGTCAACAAAACCTAGTTCCCTCTCTGATTAGAATTGCTATGAGGGCCTTTTCAAAAATAAAAAAGCTGAAAGAAAAGACTATGCAGCAAGTACCGGTAATCACCTTCCAAGCCTGGAGAATCTTTCTATGAGACTGATGCATGGAATATAATAGGGTATTTCTGAAGCTTTTTGCACAGACCATCAAGTTGCTAAAATTATGTTTTTAGAAGTTTAACCAAAACTGGTTTCATTTTTTAGCCAGTTCTTGCTTAGGGGTGCTAGGTATTATTCTAGTGAGCATTACAATGTCTGAATGATAGTTGATTAAGCTTTAACAGATAGCCAAGATCAAATGAACTGTTAGGAGCATAATACAAAACAGGGTCTCAGCAATCTTCTTCCAAGATCAAGATGAATACAGAACAGTGAAGTATGAAAACATTCAGAGCGGTTAATTGGGAGGGATGGGGGTGGGAAGAGAAGGAAGGCTGGGTTTCTAGTAACTAGTAAAAACATGATTCAGATTGAAACAGACAATAAGACAGTAACTGCTAGATTGGATATTAATATCTTGGGTATGTTCCCCTTTGAAGCTGTAAGGTGGCAACAGCTGGAATGCTGTGTTTAAGATTGAGCCAATTAAACAAGTTAGAACACAGATAAATAATGTCTCGCATGCCTGGTAGAGATGAAAATGAATTCCTCTTCAAGGCACTGTCTCTTAACAAGAACATTAAATTATACAGCTGTTCAATTCTGATGGAATTGTTGGAATAGAATTGGGCATTCAGCAATACGGACAAGCAACCTGATAAAAGGAAATTAAAGTGCTTGTCTTCCATAACTCAAAACAAAATTATTATTTGTGCCAGATTAGAGATATGTATCTCTGAGGAAGAGAGAAATGATCCCTTATATAAGGGACCCATGGATAAGTAGCAATTCCCTCATTCCAAGGATAACCCCCCCTAAAAAGTATGTGCACGTATCTAGATCAGGAGTAGTCAATCTTTTTATACCTACCGCCCACTAATGCATCTTTCCTTACCGCCCACCAGTGCTCAATGGATGGAGGATTCAGCTTGTGCCAAAGAATGCCCTACCACCCACCTAGAATCCTGAAATGCCCGCTAGCGGGCGGTAGGAACCAGGTTGACAACCCCTGATCTAGATTGTCTGGTAGATAATGCTGGGGAGGGGTCAGAACTGAATGTTGGCACCAATGACAAGCAAAAATGTAGTCGAGAGGTCCTGGAAGCAAAATGTAGATTGCTAGATAGAATGTTGAAAGCCCCCCAGAATCATCTTCTTTTTTTTAATAGTAAATAAGGCATTGGGAGTGCACAGGCACAGGATAGCAACTCAGAGAGATCAAAGCATGGCTGGCTAAAGACACTCAAAGAGAGACACAGTGTATAAACGTCTATATGCTAATGTTAGAAGCCTACGAGCCAAGGGGGAGAAACTGGAGTGCTTTGTCTTGGAGGACAGAATTGATATAGTGACCGTAACAGAAATCTAGTGGAATGGAGAGGACCAGTGGATATAAACTCTATAGGAAAGAAAGGGAAACACAGTAAACCCACAACTTAGGCTGCTTTTACTTACATGGTTTCAGCTTTGCATGGGTGGGTGGGACAAATAAATAAACGGAGAGCGGGAAGAAACCCACCCAATGGCTTTTCCTCATTTACCAGGCATTGAGCAGGTAACGCAAGGGCTCTGGAAGCACCCCACAGTCCTTGTGCCACCTTCCCAAAGCATGGTGGCACTTTTCTTACCAGCCTCTAGGAAGTAAGCAAGAGGGCTCTGGAAGCATCCCAGGTCTGTAAGGAAGGCACCAACCTCACTGACCAGGGTCACAGGGGAGCACCTCCCCATGACGTTTCCAGACCCTGATAAGCAGCTCTCCACTTTGGGGGGCTTTGCCTTTGCATGATTTGCCTTTATGATTGTCTCTAGGCACTTCAGTCGTCTGCAAGGGATTCCCCACATGGTGGGGAGATGTTGCCAGCCTTCATGTCATGTTTGCAGACATCTTTGTAATGCGGAGTTGGTCTGCCAATGGGCCTGGTGCCTGACACCAGCTCCCAGCAGAGCATGTCCTTCTTGAGGATCCTGCCACCTTCCATTCTGTGGACATGACCAAGCCAGCGTAGACGTCACTGAGACAGGAATGCAAACATGCTGGGAATGTGGGCTTGTGAGAGCACATCTTTGTTTGAGAGACTGCCTGCCATATGTTGCCCACAATCTTCCTGATGCAGCACATGTGCAAGGCGTTGAGACATTCAGCTCAGGGTACATACTCAAGTCCCAACAAACCTCTGTCTCAAAACAAGATCTTTACTTGCTTAAATAGTACAGAGCAATTTTAAACAGTGGGCTTATCAGCACACTTGCTTTCTCCTAGGGATGTGTGAATATGTCAATTTCAGTTTCTCTGGTTTAGACATTTTCCCCACCCTTAAGTTCAGTTTTCCACATTTTAGGTCAAATGTCTCCTTGTATTTTTGCACAGCATTTCCACCTAACATAATGCATTTTGTATGCTATTTTCACCAATATATTTACACATACTACCCTAGTATATGCATTCTTGAACACATTATTTGGCTGTAGAACTGCATTGCAAAATTCACAAGTAATGGTTTTTGTATGCTAAATTGCAAGTTATCCTAGATTTCCTTTTCCAAAAGTGGCCTATACTGAGATTATGGTAATCTTAGCAGCACAATGCAAACTCTGCTGTCCTTCTGCCAGCAGGTGATGATTTTCCTGTTCCAACAAGCTTTTGGGAACTGTCTGTTTCTAAGGAAAGGGCTGGTGTCGTGATGCTTTTATTGTAATGATCTGTATGTCTATACACAGAGAGAGAAACATTGTTTTAATTCTCTTACATTCAGTTGGCTGTTGATTATGGGTCGTATCCCCCCCCTGTGTTTTTACTTGTTCCCATTTTATCTGTAAGCAGTCTTGAGTCCCTATCAGGGAAAAAGGTGAGATATAAAGAAATAGAAATACAACAACAACAACAACAACAACAACAACAACAACAACAACAACAGTTGCTTTGAATACTTTAATTTTCTTCTGCAGGCAAGGGGAGGGACATAGTGTTATGAACAGCAATATCCTGATCACTCTACATCCTATTCTGCTACATGCACTTACACTATGTTTGTGATATTTCAGCAAGATTGCATGACCCTTTCAAGCTATTTGCCCACAATTGCTTATTTAGAACTAAGTCCACTTTGTTCAGTGTGGCTTCCTTGCAGGTAAGCATGCAAATAGTTGCAGCCACAGTCTCTTTCTAAACTGTAGAAAGACAAATTACTTTCCCAAGAGGAGTTATAAATTAGGGGCTTTCCATGCTGCTAGGTCAGCACTGAACCACACATATGGGAAGCAGAATCTGAACTAATGAGGTAGAACATTGCAGAGTTTGTGCAGTGTGCCCTGTATGAACAGTGCCACCTGCACTAATCCTACAAATCCTACAGTCTGATGTACTGAATAATATAAATTGGTGTATCTCAACTTAGATGCAGCAACCCTTCAAGCTTGGAAAGAGGCACTCTCCATATTCGATATATATTTATTATGCCCTAACTATATTGTGAAACATTACTTCCAAATATATGCCTTCAGGACTACGAAAGCAGATTTAAGACATTTTTTCTTCTTCTTCCTGCACAAAGAATCCCTCTTTATAGTTAACCTGTCATCTGTGAAGTGCCCATAAGTAATGGCAACACAAGTGTTCCTAGCATTTTTTAAAACAAAACAAAACCCAAAAACCCCCTACTTCTGCTTAAATGTTTAGAGAGTTAAATAACTAAGACGGGCTGATGGAAAAAATCCAGTGCTATTATGTTCCAAGATGTGGGTGAAGAAAATATGCAAAATGATACTTACATTTATTTAGGACTTTATCCCCGAAAGCTCTCAGTAAGTGCTACCGCTATTAAGATGCAAACATCTCATGTCAGCATTTTTGCACTGGGCACTTAAACCAACCTCACCACAGCATAACTTGAGTTAATCAATAACAGACTATAGGGGTCACTGAGCATTTTTGGAATTTAAAAAATAACTTTTCAAGGGTTGGGAAATAAAAGGTACCACTGCCCGTACGGGCCAGTCTTGACAGACTCTAGGGTTGTGCGCTCATCTCACTCTAGAGGCCAGGAGCCAGCACTGTCCGCAGACACTTCCGGGTCACGTGGCCAGCGTGACGAAGCTGCTCTGGCGAACCGGCACCAGAGCAGCACACGGAAACGCCGTTTACCTTCCCGCTATAAAGCGGTACCTATTTATCTACTTGCACTTAAGGGTGCTTTCGAACTGCTAGGTGGGCAGGAGCTGGGACCGAATGATGGGAGCTCACCCCGCCGCGGGGATTCGAACCGCCAACCATGCGATCGGCAAGTCCTAGGCGCTGAGGTTTTACCCATAGTGCCACCCGCGTCCCCTAACAACAACATATGGAGCTATTAGTTCAAAAGCAGTAGAAGATCACTGTTCCTGTTTACTGATAAGAAAGTGAGTGTGCACAGGATTGCCCTCTTAAACACATCTTACTTTTTGAAATATTTTTCTGTGACTATTGCTTTCTTTTAGTTCAAGAGAGAGGAAAGAACCACTAGATTTTAGATTAAGATATGTGATTTTTAAAATGTCATAAAAAATCAGTTACATAGCCTTAAAAATGTTTTAGGCTGCAATCCTATAACAACTTACCTCAGCGTAAGTTCCACTGAAGACAATGAGACTTATTTATGAGTAGACATGCATAGGATTGTACTGTTAAAGTGAAATCTGACCTACATTAAAAAACCTATACATAACCATCTTAAAACTGAATAAATGAACCTCTTTCAAATGCTTGAGTTAAAGGCTGGCATGGCTCTATCTATGAGAAAATATTGACAGAGGTAAAGCATTTAAAATTACACATTGACATATCATAGGTGATATTGTAGTAAACTCTGAATATTTATTACTAATCAGCCAAACAGTCTAGTCATATGAGCACATCTTTTAGTCTTACTAAACTCACTTTGACTGGGTTATGCCCTAACATTTCAACCTGTTATCAAACTATTTTTTGCCCTGGTGTCTATTTTTAGAAAGTTCTGGACATTTAGTTATTACAAAGAGCCAAACAAAAATTGCCCTGTTTCACAATTGTCTGTTTGTCTTGCTTCCAAGCATGTAGTTCTATAGTGTAAAAAGTATGTGGATTATATGTCCAAAGTTTTTGGATTATACTTAGGTTGTATAAAAACTCTATTCAGTGGCAAGCAAATTACCTGCTACAGCAACCAATTAGCATACATGATTTGCTTAGGAAATGTAAGATTTATACAATAGATTTTCCCCCTTACTCATTTAAATCAGTCCACCCTAATCTCAGCAGTGGAACTAAGTAACTAGCCAGTCCATAATTTTATTTATTTATTTATTTAGAAAATTTATCAGCCACTTGATCACAACAAAATTATTCAAGTGGTGTACAAATAAAATTACAAATTAAGCATAACTAAAACCCACCAACCATTTCAAATCAAATATACATAAAACCATCATTAAAAAACCAAAGATAAAATTAATAAAACTTTAAAAACAGATACAACTAACATAATGTCTGGATAAGCTTGTTGAAACAAAACACTTTCAGCAAACTTCTAAAAAGTATAGTGAGGGTCTGTGTAGTGTCAATAGGCAGGGTGTCCTAGTGCACAGGTGGTGCCACATTAAAGGGTCACATTGAAAGCACATAGGATTGTTCCAATACTATTACTATCTTAAACACAACTCACTAAAAGAAACCTTCTGAAAAATAATGCTCCCTTTACAGCCAGGAAAACCCACTAATCATGAATCTGTGTTGAATAATGACACTAGTGTATGGTTACTTATATTTCCAATGGAGGGGGCCTATGTAAATAAAAGCTCTAGGGAGCCTGAGAAAACCCCATGAGGGGGAGTCACATTCTTTCTTTTCAGCTAGCCTGATGGTACATTTTCACATTAATAACTTTAGATTATCCTAACATGATACCCTATGGTTATGTTACAGTACATTTGTCCCTTCTATTAAAATGACGCAAGGCTCCTTCATCACCTGGATTGCTACTTCATGTAGCGGCTACAATGAGGCAGCTGTCTGATCTAGAATTAATTTCAACAGGGAGCGCTGATGCACACACGCAAAGGAATGTGCACACAGGTAAATTCCTTCAGCTGAAATGTATAAGAAACCTGAATCTCTCTGTGGCATCGGAGCTCTTGCACCTGGAACAGGCCACTATCAATGACTACATTTTTTAATGAATGCATCATGCTAATTATGTTACTTGCACATAAATGAGAATTGTCACTTAGCTCTGTCAGCTTATTTTACATTAACAATTGTATTGTTGATTAATCATCTGCCTATTAACCAACAAACTGCTTTAATCTCTTCAAGTTTCCACACAATTCCTTAACATAAACATATGTTTGCAATAGTGGAGGAAGTGTAGGAGAGCACACAACTTTTTCAGCAAAAGCTACTGTTCACTAAGTATGCTCATAACTTACAAGCTCAAACCAAATAATATTTGCTCACTGATGAATCTACTACAGCTTTACTTTCTGATATTCAGATGCTGCTTCTCAGTGCTGAGGAAGTCAATTCTGCAGAGTCCATTACTTTTATATCCCATCCATGGGCATAGCCAAGGGGGGGCACCTGCCCCCCCGATCATGTAAAACAATAGAAATACTTAACTAGCTGACCAATCACCTCGGTTCTGCCCCCCCCCCCAAAGTCCTGGTTACACCCATGATCCCATCTTTCCTCCAATGAGCTCAAGATGGGGTAAATGGTTCTCCTTGCCCCTTTCATTCTCGCAACCCCTGTGCAGTAGGTTAGGCTGAGAGATGCAACTGGTCCCAAATCACCCAACAAGCTCTGTGGCTGAGTAAGGATTTAAACCTGGATTTCCCAGTCCTAGTTCAGAACAGTAATTGCCACACCAAAAAATTCTGCCACCTGGCTCTACTCAACCTATCTCTATTATCAATTAAGATGTACAAGTGGGGCATGCTGTGTCGAGTCTGCCTGTTAAGTCATGCTCTCATCCAGGATATACAGTTCTCTTCCCTTCCTTCCAAAAGTCAGCCAGCGTTTTGTGGCTGTTCATTATTCACTGGGTTCTTTCCCCATGCCACACCCAGAGTCGTCGTTCCTGAAACTTTTTTGTGCTTCTGCAAAAGTACAGAAATTCTCCTAAGCCTGCTGTTACCTCCCTTTTGTGCATGGCTGGCAGCATTTTGGCTACATAAGGCGCCACAGTGAAATCATTGCTATTAGTGCACATAAAGGATATGCAAAACTCTGACATCCCACCCCTAATATAAGTACTTGTGTCAAATACTGATTGGGAGTCAGGTACCACAGAGTTGGAAGGGACTGTGAGGGTCACCTAGTCCAAATCCCTGCAATGCAGTAATATTTTTCCCAATGTGGGGCTCAAACCCATGAACCTGAGATTAAGAGTCTCATGCTCCACTGTGCTATCACAACTGTGACTGATCGGAAGTCAGGTAGCATTTCACTTGTGTGTTTAATACAGCCGTAGTCCCAGCAAACTTCTACCAGTTTTAATGGATTATTTGTTTCATAGGTATTAAAAGGCCAGGCTTTTTGAATGTGTCATCTGTCACATTGCTGCTGATTAGCTTAATAAAAGTTAGAATTGGAGCAGTAGGATGAGGCAGACCCTGCCAGTTCCTTAGAAGACACATTGCACCTGCATAACATAATATTTCAGCCTGGCAGCCACAGTGGTGCATCAACCGCTCTGCTGGCGAGAGCCATGTTTTTGCAAGCCTCATGTATATTCCCACTGGAATGGCCTTTTTGTCTGTGCTTACTTCGGGAGAAAGGAATTAAGTTCTCCTACAGGGGATCAGGTATTGGCGAGCTTCCTGTCACCTGGGCGAGGGAGGCAACGCCGGCGCGGTGAGCAGGAGCAGGAGCTGGAGGCGCGATCAGCTTACAGCGGAGAACTCGGATGAGCTCCTTCACACAGGCACCAAGGGCGAGGGAGGATCCTCCACGCCCCTTCACCCATTGTCAGGGCCACCTCGGCAGTTTCCGCTCGCGCTTCGGCTCCTTTCGGCCGGCCACCCTCCGCCCTGTGGGAGAAAGTCGGGGAGCTTCGGCAGCGCCGCCGCCGAGCCTTCCGGGACTCGCTCGAGAGTTCAGTGCACCAACCGCACCACTCACCTGGGAGAAGCGGCGATCTCCGGCTCCGCCGCCGGCTCCTTCCTGGAAAGAAGCATCAACCACCTGATTGAACTCCTCGCGGGTCAGTATAGAAACTCTGCTCGGAGTTGAAGCCAAAGCAGGCGGACGAGCCGTGCAGACTGAGCGGTGGGGTCGGGGGAGAAAAGAGATAAGGAGAACTTGCTGCTCATTAAAAGGCAAGAGACTTGCGCGCGCCGGGGAGGTGGGGGAAGGAAACTAGATATATATTTTGCCTGGGTGTTTTTTTTTGTACTTTTGCAATCGGGATGGGAAAGCAGTAGATCTGCTAACTCCGGCAACTCTGCACCCAGTAAACAGGGGGTGAGTGAGAGAGTGATATCTGAAAATATCGGCAAACTTATGGGGCAGGCGGGGGGGGTGTTAACCATAGGAATCCCTGGATGCATCTGTCCAGGAAGCTCGATGGAACGTTAGAAGCTGAAAGATTCCCGAGTGGCGGATAAACGGGGGGGGGGGGCGGGGAGGGAGGGAGAGAAGAGCAGAAAGTAAACTCCCGGCGGGGTGGGGGTGGCGGCTGGGTGTTTGACGGGAGGGGCACTCGCTAAAAAGGAGGGGGGTCTACAGAGTGCAGCTGAGGATGCCGCCTCACTCGCTCCCGCTTTTGTCTCCCGCAGGCTGCGAGTGTGTGTGTTTGGGCGCGCGCGGTGTGTCCTGCTCACCCCCCGCCGGCGCCTCCTCTCTTCAGCCGCCAGCCTACCGGCTTCTGGAAGCTTGTCCGCGCCCGGGAGCGAAGTTAAAGGGGGCGCGAAGTTTCCCGCAACTTTCTCTCACCCCACCCCGCGCCGGGAATATGGCCACCGGGGGCTACCGGGCCAGCGGCGTCAGCACCACCACAGACTTCCTGGAGGAGTGGAAAGCCAAGCGGGAGAAGATGCGGGCGAAGCAGGCGCCGACTACAACGGCCGCGGCCTCAGGGGACTGCAAAGCCCCAGGGGCCGCCGCCGCCGCCAACACTACTACTACTACTACAACTACTGCTGCTGCTGCTAACGCCGCCACCGCCGAGGTCAACAACAACGGCAGCGGCGCCGGCACGAACTGCGTCCCTTTGGGCAGGAGCGCGCCCAAGGAGCCCCCGCCGAGCACCCCGGCGGCCGGAGCCCGAGCAGGAGTGGCGGAGCCGCCGCCGGGGCCCAAAGGCGTCGTGGCGCCGGGCTCCCCTGAGGAGGAGAAAGTGGCGGCCAAGGGCAAGGGCTCGTCCGGCCCCAGCGCCCGGAAAGGGAAAGGGCAGATCGAGAAGAGGAAGCTGAGGGAGAAGAGGCGCTCGACAGGTGTGGTGAACATCCCCACCGCTGAGGTGAGAGGGCGCCGCGCGCCGAACTGCGGCGGGGGCGGGGGCGCGCGTGACTGGCTCTTTTGAAACGCAGCCCAACGGACAGCCCAACGGCTCCCGGTGCTGCTGCTGCTGCACCTGATGAAGAGCCGGGCGGCTTCCTGGGCGACGGTGGCTCCTCCTCCCCGCTCCCTCCGAGGAGCTCGCCAGGGTTGGTTCGACAAGTCGAAAGGGAGGAGGCTGTTTACCTACAGGCTGCTGCTGCTCCCGGGAGGGGATGGGACTACTTCAGGTTGCAAAACCCGCAAAGTGACCTGTTCCGGAAGAGTCAGACAAGAGAGGTCTGTTGTGCTGCTCCCGAGATGGCAGCCTAAGCTATGCAAATTGGATCTGGGTGGATTTAAATGTGTAGGAGCAGCAGAAGCCCTTCAGGTGGTTTCTGTGTGGTTTTACCCTTGGGAGAGAGAGAGAATGGCTAAAGCCTCATTTTGATGTGAACGGAGGTCATGACCATGAAAGAGTTCTTATGACATTTGTGTGTGTGTGTGGGTATGTCTATATATAAAAGGGTAAAAAAATATACATATGCATATGTTTGTGTATATACATGTATTCTTTTTTGGTGATCACTCATAGCCGAGTAGGATTGTCTTCCATGAACATGGTTTTAACAATGAGTCCGTAAGTGACTGTGGAGGCCAGTTCTGGACCCACACGTCCTTCCACAGTGGGGACATTGGTTTCCTGGCGGGAGTTGATCACGGTGTGGATTTGCCAAGCGTGCCTTCCTCTTAGCACGTTTCTCGCTTGCGTCCTGCATTCAAGTGTCTTCAAAGCCCATAACGCCTTTGGTAAAGGCTGTTCTCCAATTGGAACGCTCGCAGGCAAGCGTTTCCCAGTTGTTGGTGTTTATACTACATTTTAAAAAATTTGCCTTGAGACAGTCTTTAAACCTCTTTTGTTGATGCCCAGCATTACGCTTTCTATTTTTAAGTTTGGAATAGAGTAGTTGCCTTGGAAGACGATATTCAGATATACATACTGTATATACGTGTGTGTATATGTGTGTGTGTGTGTGTGTGTGTGTGTGTATACACACAGACATATATGTACATATGTACATGTTTGTGTGTACACACACACACACACACACATATATATGGTTGGGGGTTGTCACCCTTCAGATGCTGTGGGACTAAACCTCAGATCATTGGTCATGCTGACTGGGGCTGATGGGAGTTGGAGTCTTAACAGTATATTGAAGGCCACAAATTCCCCACCACTAATCTACTGGAATAATATGCTTATAAGGGTTTTAAATAGTAAGATGTGGTACCCACTCTCCTGCATATTTTGGTATTGGTAAGTAAAGCGACTGTAGCTCCTGACAGAAACTGATTTTTCTATCCTGACATGCAGAGGTAAGTTCCAGAGAAATGAAGGGACTTTGGGTAAGCTTAGGAACATAGGAAGCTGCCTTGGTACCAGGTCTGAACAACAGTCCATCCTGGTTCAGTTTTAGCTACACTGACAGGTAGCCATTTATCCAGGGGTTCCATCAGGGAATCTTTCCCAGACCTACCCGGAGATGCTGAGGATTGAACCTGGGACCTTCTGTATGCAAAGCAGATGCTGCAGGCCTTTCCTTCACAGTTACAAAGCATGAATGTAATTGTGGTCTGTAACACATATGGGTTTCCTTTTTCTGTATGGTTTGCCTGCAACAAGAGAGGTCTAAGAGAGCATTGGTGAAAATAGTATAACTCTACAGTTTATTTACACTCAAATAAAAACAGGCAGGGTTCTTGTGGGACCTTAAAGACTAACACTCTCGTTACGGAATATACTTCTCCCTGTCCATGAAGTGCTTCTGAATTGCAGGAATATAATCCCATTTTCTTTTGGGGGGAAAGAGATAGCAAACATAATGTCAGAAGGAAAGGAAATGCACAGATGGTGATAGTTACATTAACAGTAACAGTACATTAACACACACAAAAGAAGAGTTGATAACATAGACATTTTGCCATTGGAAAGCTAATTAAGACGTGTAGTATGGATTTTTTAAAAAAATCCTTTGATATTGAAACAGTTATCAAGCAACACTTTCAAAGCAGGACATAAAGATTCATACACACTGAATTTTTCCGCCCTTTTACAGTTCCCCCTTGTGTGTTAGAGACACTTCCTATAACAATTTTTTTAAAAGTTTTATCAGAGCCAAAACAGCAAAGAAAGGAAATTGAGGTATCTGTTCAGGTGAAAATGTAATGTAGTTCTGAATCCAAAGCAATTTCTTTCACTGGAAAAAATGCAGTGGTTTGAAGAAAGGAGAAAAATATATTTTCGTTAGCCAATGTAGCTGTCTTCTGTGGGTTTCTACTAGTATAAAAATCTGGCATTAATTTAAAAATGCTCTTAAAGGAATGCAAAAGCATGATAATAATATCTTCAGTGTTTTCAAGCTACGAGGAAGAAGATTTAGGGAAAAATCTAGTACATGTCTTCACAAGTTTCTTCTCAAGATCCCCAAAGGAAACAATAAATGTAGCTACCTTAACCATTTTATTTTCTTGGGTTTGTAAACTGCAGACACACCTTTCATCACCAGAAATCACTCTTTTTCTTGATCGTTATTTTGCAGCTACCATTCTGTAATGTCAGGATCCTGCTCAAGTGAGGAGCACAAGAAGCTGCTAGCCTGGTATAGTCTTCTCTGACAGACAACACTTCTCCACATTAACTGACCTGATTCTTTAAACTGGAGTGAGTCATGGACTTTCTTTATGCAAAAGAAATGGGAAAAAGAAACAACAGTGATGACCACTGGAAAGCAAAATAGTTGTAGCAATTATTAATAACGTACCATTGGTGCTAACACCAACATCCTGGCATTCGTAAACTGATCAACACACAGTGGTTAACTGTAATCTTGATTAAATCTACAAGTAACAGATTTGAGTTGCCTGGTGCAGCAGTATGCTTGCCACTTGAAGGCAAAGGAAAAACTCATGGGAACAAACTTAGCTTGCTGGGAAGGCAGCAGGTGTAGAAACTTGCTACTTAAAAGTAACTGTGCAAACAGTGCTTGTGTAAACCCTCAGTGAATATGCACTGTTTCAATAGAGTTTATCTTCTCTTGAAATGTTCTTTAAAAACACTTTTAAGTGAAGTATAAAAACATAGTGCAAAAGAAAATCAATCCTCTGTAAGTGAAAATTAATATATTGATATATTTGGCATCAGATGCTTTTCTTACAGTATAAGGCAGCTTGCAAGACATTTAAAATACAACAACATGGAAAAACGTTATTGGGGTATGGTGGTTGGCAAAGTTGTGTACATTACTGCCCCATTCCTAAGGACCTCTTTAGATGCTACTGGAACAAAAATATTAGTCTTTAAAAAGTCAGAACATCTGAAGACTCGGAGGAACACGAACATATTTATTGCCTCATTTCTTGCATCTGCCACCAGGATCCAGAATCTGTGAGAGGCAACAGCCACCTAGATGCAGGTGTCCTGCCATATGAAGGACTACCATCTGGCATCTTCAGTAGCCATTTCTAGGTCAGGATAATTTCTTCTGATATCTGCTGCAGCCCAGAGATTCAATATCAGAATATTCAGATGTTCTGACTTTTTAAAGCCTGATATTTTTGTGATTCTACTTTGGATCTTTAGGCATTTAGAGGACACAGGGAGGCTGAGGAAAATTATTTGTGCTTCCTCTTTAAAATATGCTGAGTAACTTACAAGCTCCCCTGATCTCAGTCTTTTTCTCTTTTATATGCACTCTGGAACATCAGCTGGGGCTTTTTATTTATGCTTCCTCTGTTACAAAGGCACCAGCATGGCAACTAGAAGACAGCTGTGCTGTATCTCTCCCTTCCCCCACTCCTTACCTCCAAAACATCATTCAGTTGAACTCAATGATACTGGCAAAACTTTCTCTTACCTTTACTGAACAGGTTTTTCCAGCCTTTCAGTGGAACTGTTCTTCCTTTTTCAGCATATCTTAGTGCTGTTTGTAAAGAAGAAATCAGTTGTGTTCACTATCTCACCATTAAAGTAATTCTGTCTCCAATAATGATGATTTTTTTCCCCCTAGCAGTTTTAAAAGTTGCTCTGAAGCCTTTGTAGTTAAAATATTGTGGGCCATATAGAGACGTCTGGACTCTTGAGGGCCAAATTCAGCCCTAGGGCTGTTATGGTGAATTTGATATATAAATAGGAATTATTATAAGCAGGGAGAAATAAGAGTAGCACATGAAGAGGCTGAAATAAACCCATTACACTTTTCTTTGGTGATGGAGACCATGAAGGCTGGAGCAGTTAAGGGTTTCACACACAGACGGTAGACTTGGAGGAAGGTTTTTAAAAGGAGGGAGGAAAGAGGTGGCACTATGTCGCTATTCCAGGAGTTGCGCATTGGGGAGCAAAAGTGTGAAATAGACCTTTAAAGAGAGCAGGCTATGATGAGGTCAAAATAAAAAGTTATACATAAAATATGTTGGGGCAGGTAGACTGAGGAGGTACTTGAACTTAAAGATCTGGAATTTGTCATGGATGTAGAAGTTTGTTAGAAGACTAGGCAGGGATTTGAGGATTTGTGTTCTGAATGATGGACAAAGTGAATGATGTTGGCTCAACGTTCTTACTAGATAAGGGCTGATGAGCAGGCTGGACTATTTAATGTGTAGATGAAATAACAGTAGCAAGTTGTTATTTTGTCTGTTGATGCCATCCTCTTAAGATACTATATAATATGCTATATTTCATATTAGGGCCCAATACATGTGCTCTGTTTCAATTTGGAATTAGTATAAATTACAAACCTGTATCAACAGAGTTCATCTGTATACATTAGGTATGCAGAAACTGGCCTTCCAGATACTGCTGAACTACAGCAGCCATCATCTCAAACCTTTGACCATGCTTACTGGGGCTTCTGGGAGTTGTAATTCAGCAACATCTGGAGGGCCAAAGGTTCCCCACAAGTGATCTATCTACATAGTTGGAATTGTATTCCACACTTTCCCCGAAGAACTGAGATCAACATTATATGTTCTCAGTAATAAAGGTAAATGGCAAGACAGTTGCTACATCAGGGCAAACTGTGGTATGGTTTCACATGACATACATGGATTGAAATTAGCCTGAGCAAGTCTCAGCCTGAACTTATTTTGGAAGCATTTACTTTCAGTTCCTTTTCAAGTCAGCTTGTTGTTTTATCCAATCCTTGGATTGTGGTTTATGGTATCATGTTAAACCATGGTTTAGCATGATCTACAAATGTAGCTAGTGACTTAACCTGAAGCTAGTTCGCCATTGAATTTAACAACTGAGCAAGGATTCATGCCCAACCCTCCCAAGCTTGCCACTGTTTATTTGAAAATGAATCTTGCGATGAAACATTATAAGATTACTGCTTGAGTATTCACAACAAAGTTAGAACAAGTATGACTTGGTAGATTGCTTTGGAACTTGTATCTAAAATTTGGTGTCAGATACCAAGTATACTTTGTGGTAGATTTTAAGATCTGTGGTATACAAGCACATGCATCTTGTGTTGCTCATAATTCTAAATTAAGTTTGTAACCCCAATCCATATAACCCTTTCCCCACAATATTCGCCTGCTTGTATCTATCATGGTAATGAATTCTGGTTTGTGGCCATACGTATTTTCATGAGCAATATTAAGTATTCTTATGAATTCAAAATTTCCTGTATTCACTGCAGAACTGAACTAAGCTTGCAATGAGTAGTGTTCAGTCCAGCTTTTCAAAAATTCAAATCAAAGCCTAGGCTTACCGTACCATCCTACACCTGTTTACTTAGATTCAGATTTATTTCAGTGTTTAATCAGAAGTGGTATGATAGAGGTATCTTATTTAAGTCATACTTGGAGCAGAGCCACTGAACTCACTAGTCTTAAATTAGTCAATTGATTTTTAGTGTTTCTGCTCTGAGTAGTTGGCTGCAACTACAAAGCTGAAAGGGAACCATCAAACTACCTGCCAATGTGGGAAATATACTACAGCACCCCTAATAGGATGGGAGCTACCTTTGCTTTAAAACCTCTAACAAATTAGGCCCTACATTCTTGTGAGGCAGTATGTTTCACTATCAAACATGGTTCAGCTTAGTTTTTTGCAAGGTAAAATTTTATAGTATTGCAACCCCAGACTAATCTGTTAATCTGCCATTAAAAGATTAGAAATTGTAATTGCCTTTGGGATGCCATTTCTAAACACATAATGTTGTATACGTTGTATTAGATTGCAAATCAGATTACAGCATTTTGGAAGTGGTGTATCTTAATTTTAGACATGGGACAACACGATGACTCAACAAGTAGAGGAATGGAATAAGGAAGTACAAGGGTTCCTTGGTTGCTTAACTTATTGTTATCAATAGGTGTGTCTATAATTGTGGTTTCTTAATTATTATAAGTTAAATTAGCTCAAATACATTCTAAAACTGAACTACATGCTGAAGTAAGTGTGTTGGAAGCCACATGAACAATTCCTGTATCCCAGTGATGTTGAGTAGAAAAATTTCCATTTCAAAAGTTCTTTGTTTTTATTGCTAGTTATTTTTAAGGAGCTTATTTTTCTTTTTCGTACATTGCTGTGATATTTCTAATATAAAGTGATTCAGCAAATAATAAACAAATTATCCATATAGTGCATTGCCTCTTAATCTATGTGTTTCAATTAGTGTTGGAGGCAAAACCAATTACTAGATTAATACTTTCAAAAATGTGGGAACAACCATGATTGCTTCTTTGCACCTATAACTCCTGGTTCAACCTGCCATCTTCCTTGTAACTGATGAACTTAATCAGCTATTTCCAACAAGTGAGGTAAAAAGGCAATAGCTTTCCTATCTTTTGTCCCCAGCACACAGAGGTACATTTATGTGGTACATGGAAGTTCCATTTAGATATCATGCCTGTTGACCGACCCAGGTTGTCCAGTGTATTTGTACAAAGTACTATATGATTTCCATTGTAATTGATCCAAGGTGGGTCACAACAGGAGTACTACCACCAGGCAAATATACGGTAAAGGATTAAGAAATGGTCCCCAGAAGCAAATTTGAGTTAAAAGTGGGTCCTAACATGTTATAAAAACTCACATACAAGTCAAATTATTAATTAGAAACCTATTTAAACTTGAGAGACCAACTTCAAACTGCACAACTAAATAAATTCAACCATACCTAGGTGCCTTAACTCCCATGAAATAAAAAATGAGAAGAAAAGGGGATCACCACTAAACTACCAACCACTTTATATATTAAGGGAATATAAAATTTCTATACAGTGGAAGCTGGTTTATTCATATGTTATATAACATTGATATTGCACCCAATTTTGACAACCTTTTGTGCATTATTTGTTTTCTACATTGTTCGGGTTCCACCCTCCTTTCTTCTTCATTAGTGCTGTTGCTTGACTAATAGTGCAATCCCATGCATATTTTTTCAGAAGTAAGTCCTTATTGTGTTCATTGGCACTTACTTTTAGGGAGCTGGATAAGGGATTGTAGTGTAACTCTTGTATAGCTTATAAACTTGTGGCAATAATTCCTGGAGGAATTCCCCTAATACTTTTGCATGATTGTGGGATCTTATGCTGAAACTGGATGAACTACAAAACTGTCTCATTTTAAAATAACTAGGTTAATGGCTGCTTGCAAATAGGCCAATTTAGCTTTTGAGCTGCTTATACCACTCCCTCAGGTGTGACTGCAACAATAATCCTAAATTATTAGTTTCTTTCAAAGAGATTATAGAACTGCTTAAAGTGAAATCCTTCTTTTTTTCTGGCAACTATTTTGGTAAAGCAGCAATGGTTGGTCTCCAAGACTTGGAACTTTACACTTTAACCCTATGAACACGTATACTTAAAATTGCATTAAAATGGCTAATCCGTGGAACTTTTTATAGCACACCATCTTGCCTTTTGCAAAATGCAGCTTTGCAATAAGGAAAACAAGAAATAATAACTTTTGCTAGGATTTTATCTCTGAATACTGAATGATTCTCAGAATAGAGAGCAGAGCCCCAACTATTAAACTAGTCAACATGCCTAGGAAAGCATAACAAAACCACAATATAACCTTAAAACAGAATTTATACTCTTGAAAGTTTCTTGTAGGCATCCACTGTAGATCCACTGGTCAGAGACTACAGAGCAGGTCATCCAAAGGTCTCTGCTGAGTGAATATAATCATGTGTGAAAAAGTGGTACTTAACATATTCTGTCTCTAGACCATTTTGTTCTTTATTTTGAATTGGGTCTGGAAGCCAACTGAGAAGCAGTGATGGTGATACAAAATTGGATAAGCATCAGTAAAAGTGCTTTTTTACTTACCAAGTAACTATAAGAGGAGTTAGTATTCAAACTCCATTCAAAAGCTGTTTTCCATGCAGTCCAGCTTCTGTAGCAAGTGCAAATAGCTATTTAGCATTCATGGCACCCCTTTCTCTATGACTCAGCCTCAGGGTAAGAAAAAAGTAAATAAAATGAGCTAAGCATTTATCCAGAGATGACCATACTTAAAGAATATTGAAAATCCACTGACACTTGAGCGTGTTAATTTACTAGATCTTGATGAGAAGACAAATAATAGAGAGTTCTTTGCATAACAAAGACTACTCCTGGCACAAATAACTAGCTTAACATTATTATTAGGTTAGTTTGATGTTGGAAATTGTGCTGCAAATCAGATCACTATCTTACAGCAACATATTAATGGTGGATCTGGCCACAAATAGCCTATTAAGCTTTCTAAATGGAAATCAGTTTAATTGCAAATAACCCTGGGTATGGTCCTTAGTCCTAAGCCAACTTGCTTTGTAAATAATTTTTATTAAAACTTGGCCTTTCAATGTGTTTGTAGGACTGAGATGCCAGAAAATCATGGTTAGCTGTGACTGATATGCCTCCTTCTGAATTCTAAATCTAGGGCCTCCTTCATCTTTTGAGTGAATGAAAATTTAACTAGCTGTAGCACGTGTGTTGCTCTGTGATATTCTAGTGATCCTAATAAAGTTATTGACCTAATATGGATATTGGGAACACACCTGCCTTTTATTTTTTGTGTCATCATCTGCCTGTAATTTAAGTAGCACCAACCTTTTAATGACCAAGTTATTGTCAGCACCTTTTAAGGCCCACATGGATGGGAAAGTGGGGTGAAAAAACAATTTATTAAAAGTTGATAGGAAAGTAGAACAACTTTGGAATCTACTTGGGTGTAGCGAAACAGTGAATTGAAAATAATTGCAGCAAAGTATTACCACATGAGAAATTCCATCTACCAAGTATAGAGTATATCTTGCAATCCTATGTACACTTATTAAGGAATAAATCCCATTAGAATTGGCAGGACTTGTTTTTGAGTAAACATGTATTTATTACTGTAATTTTCAACCTTTCTTCCAAGAAGTTCAAAGTAATGTACATGGCTCTCAGTGTTTGAAACTCCCATTGTTCTAGGCACATTTTGCAACAGGGAATTTAATTAGCACAAGCTGTTTCTGAGCTCTGGGGTATTTTTTAACTGTGCCTAAAATTTCAGATTAAAACTGCAGAGTGGAAGAAAAGGAGGACCTTTTTCTGCCTCCCCACTTCCAGCTACTCTCTGAAGACTGTAGAAGAGACCCTCTTAAGAATATTAAAAGGTAAAGGTATCCCTGCCCGTACGGGCCAGTCGTGTCCGACTCTGGGGTTGCGCGCCCATCTCGCTTAAGAGGCCGGGGGCCAGCGCTGTCCGGAGACACTTCCGGGTCACGTGGCCAGCGTGACGAAGCTGCTCTGGCGAGCCGGCACCAGCGCAGCACATGGAAATGCCGTTTACCTTCCCACTATAAAGCGGTACCTATTTATCTACTTGCACTTAAGGGTGCTTTCGAACTGCTAGGTGGGCAGGAGCTGGGACCGAACGACGGGAGCTCACCTCGCCGCAGGGATTCGAACCGCCGACCTTCTGATTGGCAGGCCCCAGGCTCTGTGATTTAGACCACAGCGCCACCCGTGCCACATAGGGAAAGGAGTAGACCACGTTAAAAATGAACAGAAGACTTTAGCTGCAGTTCATTCATTTTTAGCTTTGTACAGTGGTACCTGGGGTTACAGACACTTCCGGTTACATATTTTCGGGTTGCACACCGCACCGAACCCAGAAGTACTGGAACGGGTTCCTTCTGGGTTTCAGCGCTCACGCATGTGCAGAAACACTAAATCGCACTATGCACAGAAGCACCGAATCGCGACTCACGTGTGCGCAGACGCAGTGCTGCGGGTTGCGAACGCTGCGGGTTTGAATGTGCCTCCCACACGGATCACTTTCGCAACCCGAGTTTCCACTGTATTCTTGTTATTTAAAAAGTGTACCTAGACATTCTGTTGTTGCATCCATAACCTAGGTTTAAGGTGCTATTTAGCTCCTAGCTTTCATATCTCAGTTTCTAACACAAATTGCTCTCCCACTTCCTGTATTATCCTTACAAGAACTCTGCAAGGTAGATTAGGCTGAAAGTCATTCTGGTTCAAGATTACCTAATGTGCTTCATAGCAGAATAGGGATTGAAATTCTGGTCTTCGAGAAGACCAACATTCCGAGTCCAACATGCTGACCAATAACTCTGGCTCCGTCATAGGATCATATTATAAAATACTATAAAATACCCTGTTGTCCTTGTGTTGCAGAGATGTCTACTCCTTGCTTTATTTGGTTACAAGCTTCTGGTTCTTGCCTTCCTATCTCAGATAAAACAACACAAAATAAATAAAAGATATAAAAATAATGTTATGGGCTCCTTTACTGCTCCTCATAATGAAGCAATGGATGTTCCTTCTAAAGCAAAAGGCCTTAAAAAGAGAAAAGAAGGAAACATAAGAGGGGTTGGAAGGGAAATTGAGTAGTTCTACTCAAGCCAAAGAGCTTATCACCAAAGTTGACTGTTGCTTTTCATCTAAATGCTGCTTATTTAAATAGCAATGTACTAAAACTTACATTTTAAAGTAAACTTGAAAGACAGAGTGTAGCAGTGAAGTGGCACTTCCCTTTAGATATGTTTTTCTTTCAAGGATGAAACAAAAAAAAAGTGCTTTAAAGGGTACTTAGAAGTTATTATTACAGTAGGGGCTGTTTATTTAAACAAAAGCATGTTCTCCCTGCAGTCACTTGTAAAGAATGTTAAGGCCAAGTTACTTTGTATGATGGCTTTTTACACAGGCGGAGTGTAATGACATTTTTGGGGCCTTTATGTTCAACTTTGTGGAGGACTGTCTCCTCTTTCCTGCATTGAAGACTTAATTGAACAAACAGCATTGTATTAAACAGAAAATATTTAAGTGAAAAGTAGAGCAGGCATCATATGCTTCACTTATTTCAGGTTGGAAGAGGCAAGTCTGGGGACACTATGCACTATATGGGATTTCTAGCTACCGAAGCAGGGAGGGGAACAGAGAACCAAATATGACCCTCTGGGTCTTTTTATTTGCCCCTCAGAACCTGTTCCAGGCCACACTCCCTGACCCAGGCCACAATATTTAAGTGAATTGCACTGCATAAATGATAGCAGCAGCAGCAGCATCTAATTTTTTACCCACCCTTCACCATGAGGTCCCAGGGTGGGCTATAACAGTTTAAAAATACATCATTGCAAAAATTTGAAAAACATTACATTCAAGATGATTCATCTCAAATGTCGAAGACCAGGGTAAAGAGGTGCATCTTCAGCATCTGTCAAAAGCTACATAATGAAGGTGCTAGAGCACTTCTTTGGGGCTACTGCATAGAATGCCCTCTCCCAGGGGAGCCCCCATATTTATAAGGGTGGTGGAACTACCAAGGGGGTTCCCTCTGCTGATCCTAACACCTATGAGGGTCTGTAAGGAAGGAGATGATCCTTTACATATTTGGGCTTAAACCATTCAGGGTGTGACTGTTTCTTAGCATGTTACCGTTAATTCCATTTCTTACAAAATGTATTTTTATTCCATCAATATGAAAAATCTTTCAAGAAATCTCAGTTTTAAAGCTGGTTCTGCGCCAGATAAAAATTATACTTAGAAGTCTGAGGATATCTTGTTTTAAGACAATTTTTGCTGGTGATGAACATATTGTAAAGTTTGGGTGTGTCTGTCATTTGGCCCCCTGCAAGAAGTAAACTAATGTGGGAACATATAGATGGGAGTTCTCTGCCCATTGGGGGACTGAAAGAAGTTCATTGATATGACAGGAGGAGAAGCATTAGCATACTGTCTTTAAAGCTTTCATTCTAGGGAAGAAGTGATCAGGAGTCGGTGCCCTGATTGTTTTTGTTGTTGTTGGCATCTCTCTGTCTCGGGAGACAAGGAGTGCACCTTTGGGGTTGAAGTCAAGCAGCTGAAGTTACAGCGCCAGCTGTGGCTGAGGATACCGATATGGGAGAGACATGCTTTATTGCAGCTGTGGGAGGATGAAGGAGTCCTGTTGTGTTGCTGCAGAACGTTTCCTTTCCTTACAGGCCTCTTGGGTAATTTATTCTTTGTTCTTTCCTCATGGTGGGTTTCTGTAATCTGGATGGGCTGTTACTGACATCTAGGTTAGGACAATGAAATAAGTTAACATCTTGGGGTTAAAGTTAACAACTTAAACCCTTTTTTAAAAAAGAAAAGGCCATTCTGAAATACCTATGAGATGTTCTGCTGATGTCCAGTATAAAATAGAATCCAAGTTCATTGTGATGATGGGCATTCCACCTTATCAAAATGGAATGGCATAAGTATAACTGGGAACTTCTTGAATCTCCCTTAGCTGCTTACACCTCCTCGAGGGAGCCCCATCTGCCTGCCAAGAATCCTGGAGAAAGAGGCTGTGTAGGTATCACACAAAAGTTATTGTTAAATAACAGAGTAATCATTAAAATTTCCTGCCAACCTAGCAGTTGAAAGGACGTCAAAGTGCAAGTAGATAAATAGGTACCGCTCCAGTGGGAAGGTAAACGGCGTTTCCGTGCGCTGCTCTGGTTAGCCAGAAGCGGCTTAGTCACACTGGCCACATGACCCGGAAGCTGTATGCTGGCTCCCTCAGCCAATAGAGCAAGATGAGCGCCGCAACCCCAGAGTCATCCGCAACTGGACCTAACAGTCAGGGGTCCCTTTACCTTTACCTTAATCATTAAAATTATTCATACAATCTTGTAAGCTGCTGATAACAGCCCCTTTCTCCCTTCTTTGTGGCTGTTGATGTGGAAAAATGCTTACTGACCTTTAAAAAAAATAAGCACAACTTGGAAAGCATCAGGTTCCTCTCATCAGTTTTACTGTGGTTGCAACATTGTCTGAGACGTGGCATTGCACTAATGCAAATATAGGTTAGAGGTTTTGAGCAGAGAGGGTTCTCTTACCTGATAAAGATTTGGCTTTCGTTTTAGCTTCTGGCTCAAATAACCTGCCGTACCAAAATGGTTCTCAGGCAAGTGTTCCTTTTTACATGGAATTGTGTTGCAATTGTTTGAATATTTTTAGTTTATTGGAATCAGATTGAGTTTTGTCACTGTGCTTCTTTTTAAACTTTAGTTATCTGCTTCTAGGCTGAAATGTCTAGGCTGAGGACCAACCTCCTGTGTGCCAGAAACTCAGCATCTGCTACTCACACTGTGTGTTATCTGCCTGCACATGGCCCCCTCTGTGCACCCCACCAGTGGCTAGATAGTAGTAGCAGCTTCAGTGGCCACAGTATGAGCAGTCACAGAAACTGACCCCAAGCTAGGACTTGTGTTAATTGTAGAAACACTTGACCCAAATATGCTCAGTTAAGCTGCATGTGGAATTTAGTTTTGTTTAAATTTAGCTTTCCTTGTCAAATCATACTGTCATATTTTTCAGGAAAACTGCATTCTGTTCAGGATGCCTTTATCAAGTTTCAAATGCTGGAGGGATGTTACCTGAATGTTGTTTATCTTGCATTAATGGTCTTACCTTGGGGTGGGGGTGGCTTTAAACAGCTCTATGCATTACTTTTGTTGTGAAGCACAAAATTAACATTCCCCACCCACCCCATTTCAGGCTGTGCAAATACTTCCACATTCCTAATACAATAGACTAAATCCATTTTTTAAAAAAAAAAATCCCAAAACACTGAATATGAAAGGTTTCACTTTTTAAACTCAAACATAGCACTATCATGACTACAGGAATAAATTGGAGTTTGCTTCTGCTGCCTAGGTGCTAAACATATTTACACAAAACCAATCTGTGTGTGGAGGAAATGCATGGATCCACCCCCCTTCCACATTTAGGAGATCACGAAGTGTTACATTTGCACCAGGCCAAAGGACCAATCACAATAAGTGGGATTTTATGATCAGTAAAGGAAGCATCGTGTTTCTTCCGACTTGCAGAGAGTCCATACCAGGCAAGGTTAGGGAGACAGCTGGGTACGCTTGTGCTGGGCCTCAGAGGGCTAACCTAGCTGGAGACCCCAGCCAGGGACCAGGTGGTTTTTTGTTTGAGTTTATAACTTCTGTATTCTAACAAGACTTTTGTCCCAGGCCTCAGAAAAGCTCTGCACAGGCCTGGTCCACACTGTTGCTTTTTCCTAAGATGGTAAGGTAGCTGCAATGGGCCAGGAAAAGCTTCAGTAATTTTTCAACATGGTCTCTTAGGCAGTATAGTGTAATGGTTATGTTGTTGGACTAGGACTGTTTCTCAGCCCAACCTACCTCACTGAGTTGTTTGGAGAATGAAATGTATGCCACCTTAAGCTCCTTGGAGGAAAAGTGGGATATAAATGTAATAAATAAATACATACCTGGGACCCTTAGGCACAAGAAAACATCTGCAGTCTCACCACCGTCACATGGAGGAAGGGCAAACGAATGAGCCTGGAGAGGCAAGTCTCTTCAAAGTGAGAAATGCTATTAGCTCTTTAACCAGCACCATGCAGATTATTTTACAACATGAAATTTTATTTTATAAATTTAATTTAATATTAGCTGTATGCTGTCTTCACACCAGTGCAGATGGCATAGGTGATTTAAGTGGTTTAGGGTTAACAATTGCCATCAGTGAATCTGAATATTAATGACAAACCAATACAGAAAGCACAAAGGTGTTGATACTTGAATTTCTACGCAATTTTACTTAGGCTGCTCCTCTTCCCAGGGGGGTGGGGTTGCAAGCTCTCCCTGTGAACACCGGGGGCGTGGAGTGGGAAAGCCACTTGAGTTTGCGTCACTGGGAGTCCTGGCCACATCACGCCCCCCGGCCAACCAGTCAGGTCGACTGGGGGGCGTGGCTTACCCTTTTTAAACTGCCGTGCGGCCGGGGGCCTCCTTCTCCTTACCTCCTCCTTCATCGGATCTCCCGCCCTCCTGTTCTATTTTCATGCGTTTGCCATCTTGGCCTTGCTATGGACCACAGTTGGTCACCTGTTGAGGGGGCCAGGTAGGAATTTTTCCACTTAGCAAATTGGCACCAGCCATATGGTTTTCGCCTGCCTCATAGCAATCGTCACAACTTTGTAAGGTTTGGTGGTTAGGCATTGGTAAAACCTGGTTATTGGAGGGGAGGTTGTGGCCTTCACCTGCCCCTCCTCTTTAAGGGTATTTCGTTAAAAGGATCCGGGTGTGTGGATCCAGTCCGAAGCCCGGGTATGGGCTAGGGCCGTGCCATGACCCCATCGGGGACCCTGGGGGAACTCGCAGTTGATGTACATCAGGCTTCCTCAACCTCGGCCATCCAGATGTTTTGAGACTACAATTCCCATCATCCCTGACCACAGGTCCTGCTAGCTAGGGATCATGGGAGTTGTAGGCCAAAAACATCTGGAGGGCCAAGGTTGAGGAAGCCTGATGTACATCAACAGGGCTCTCCCTACTGGTGGTTGACCCTTATGAGACTGCCTGCACGGCAGGCAGGAGTCAGATATAGTTGGTTCAGTTCCAGTGCCTAAGCCAATACTGCTCACATCTGTAACCAATAAAGTTGTGGCCTTAATTATCCCATGAAACCAATATATTGGTGTCCGTGTGTTTTATTATCCAAGAAATGGGGGTGGGCTCGGGGCCTTGCCATGCAAGTGTCTCTCTCTCTCTCTCTCTCTCTCTCTCTCTCACACACACACACACACACACACACACACACACATTTTACAGATCTTTCACATTCTTTGTCAGGCTCTATCTACAACCCTAACACATTTGCTTTCAGGGAATTGGTCTCTAACTGCTTTAAAAATAATAGATAATGCAGAGAGACATTGTATTCTCTGAAATTGTGTGTGTTGTTTTTTTTAAAAAAAATCCAGCTATATCTGCACTTTTACTTAAAAAGGTTTCTCAAATGAATGCGTTTGAAACAAAGCAGGCAACAGTGAACTGTCATGCTGAAATAAACCAGTAATAAAGATCTAGAAAAGAGACAAAACAAAAGTGAGTGGTGCACAGTAGTTGATGTAAAACGGTGTATCTTGTAAACTCTTGTGTTAACTGTGACCATATTCCAGACCTATGTTTTACTGAAAACACGATCGTTGAGGCATGCCCTTGGTTGACTCAAAGTTCAGGCAAATATTTATAATCTATGTTTATACTTGGGTTTATGTTTATATTGAAGTATTCTATAGAGAAACAAACTGCCTGGACAAACAGGGGGACTTGGTTACTTCCACTGATTTTATTTATTTATTCCTTCAACCAAGGAGAAACCCAAAGACTGTATCTCTCAGGCATATACTGAGCTACCTTAAGCCTTGGAATCTGCAGAGAAGTTGACAGTTTGAAAATGTAGCTTTTTAAAAGGCAACTGCTGGCTGGGTGGGTGTATTTAAAAAGGCCCTTAAATCAGAAGTGGGTGGGAAGGCTACCAATGACCAGAGTGTATTTTATTTATTTTTTTGTGATCCAAATAGCTCATCTTTCCACTCCCCTGGCAACTTAGACTAGGTTTGGATGTACATTCGTACCATGGAAGTCGAACGGAATCAGTTCTGGAAGTCTGTTCGACTTACAAAGCGCGGCTTCTGATTGGCTGCAAGAAGCCGTGGAAGCCCTGTCGGACGTTCAGGTTCCAAAGAATGTTTGCAAACCAGAACACTCACTTCTGGTTTTGCGGCGTTCGGGAGCCAAATGTCCGAGTACCAAGGTGTTTGTGATCCAAGGTACGACTGTAATGGGAAACCATGGATTCCTGCTGTGTAGATGAACCTGCCTGAGTGCAGCACTCATATACTTCCCCCTCTTTCACAACCAGGTGGAGGAGCTTGGAAGCTTTTGCTTCAAGTTTTAAACCAATTGCATGTCCATGACAGTTCAACTAGGCAACCTCAATAGTTTGGTAACTTACTGTTATCCTGTCTTCATTTGCTTTCTCATAGAATTTCATAAGTGGAATTGTGTTTGGATTATCCAAATCCATACTTCCAGGATTTGATTTTTTAGTTGTTGTTTTTTAAAAGATTGCTTTTATTATTATTATTAACAAACCTGCAAAGGAGAAATGTTTATAATTATTACCTCTAGCTGCTTTGCCTGTCAACCCAATTGGGATTTGTCCTGTGCCTGATATATGTTAACTAATATCTGATCATTGTTGAAATAAAGTAACTGCAAATGATCAGGTGGCATTTCACAACTGTTGGAGGGGGAGAGGACAGTGGTTTTTAAAAAAAGAATAAGATTTTGTAGTTAAGATCAGAGATCTGCTATGCAAATGTTAGACAAAATAAAACATTTCCATTAGCTACAGACTGTACTTAAAAACCATTTATCAAAATTGCATGTTTAGTCTTACCCTGGTTGTATTGAGGAAAATTACAAGTACAAATCACAAAGGAACTATAGTTAGCCAGAGAACAAAGCCTGTGAGACCACTGAACCTTTTGTGTGCATGCCTTGTCTCTTCAAATGCTATTCCCCTTCTTGTTCGAAAATCTGGCAGTGCACAATCCTGGCAAATCCCTTGTGCACATAATGAAGAAAGACTAAAGGGCCAAATTATCCTAGTAAGGTCATTTAAGGTAATGACATATTATATTCAGCTCCTATTGAAATACAAGAAACTTGATGTATAATAAATCTTATTACAAAGTGTGAGACATCCAGCAAGAAAACAATACGCATGCAATTGTAACACAGTTGTTGCACACATAACATCTTTTTGGATATTGAATTATTTCTAATTCTTAGAATTTAGAACTAAGGCTTGGAGTCTGAGTAGACACTGAAATTGACGGGGCTTTGATTGATTTCACTGTATCTATCCTAAGTCTTGATCCATCTAACCTTATGTGTTGAACAAAATATATGTGGATGCAGCCTAAAATTGTTAATGGGTTGTTTTAAAGACATCAACCATTATTTGTTATATCACATACTTCCTCAGTTGTGAATTTAGACTTCATTTGAAGAAGATGTCTTATGCAATCCTTTTGTCTTTCACATTTGGAACAAATTGCAATAGTCAGTTGATACGTTTAGAAGCTTTTAACATTTGTCAGGTGGTTTTTTTTTAATGCAAACCTAAATAACGTTGCAAAATTTGCTGGTAATCTGAAATATAATCTGAAATTGGAATATAAATCTTGCAAGTGTGGATCTTGTAAATATAAATCTTGCAGCCCTGTTGTTAGACTTTTTTATTCAGTGTTGTAAAATAGAACAGGGGTAGCCAATATGTTGTTGGACTACAACTCCTGTCATCCCTCCTATTGGTTTTGCTGATTGAGGCTTATGGGAGTCCAACAATGTCTTGAGGGTGCCTCATTCTAATGTTAAGTACCATCTGCATTGGGCTGTAATGCCAAATTATGTTTTAGTGTTATGTGCGCAAGTGTTAGGCTTACCAGCTGTCCCATTCCCTTTCACCTTCTGTCATGGCTGTGAGAAGGCAATCAGAAGTTTTCATTTCTGTCCACAGTTTAGCATGTACAATATAGCTAAACCCAGGCGACCTGTGAGTAGTATTAACTGGTTTACAGAAACAACTTCAATCAGGGGTTTATGAAGCTAGCTTGTTTCAATAAACCATAGGCAAGATTCACCACTATAGCTTCTAGTATCTTTCACAGCTATGCCAGAATAGAGGAAGCAGGCAGTACATGAGCCCCAACACTGGTTCATGTTACGCTAAGTTACATTTTAGTACATTCAAATGCAGCAACTTTTTAGAAGACGGTCTTACTATTAAGTTCATTTTATGCATTGAATGGGGTGCAACAAAACTCTGCAGTTCTTAATTCATGAACAAGCTTCCATGTGCTTCCACTCCGCATTCCACCCCTTGCAAACATTCCATGGTCACGGAGCATGCTCAGTTCTCATTGGGCTGCACTTTTAGTATTTTTTATTTTATTTGTGCAGACCTTGAGCTCCCCAGACTTACTGATACCTCCCTCTTGTGTGTAGATAGTGCCCTTTTTTGCTACGAAAGGACTGGCACTTAGAGAATGGGTTCATTATTAGTATACAGTGTAAGGCTTTCTGTCAGGAAACAATTGAAGAGAATACCATTGTTTAATATTCTGACTGCCAGCATTTCATGCACCGCTACCCATCCCAGGTACAGATGAGGAAAAGGTCAAATGCTAGCCCTCTTCATGTTACACAAGCAGATAACGAAGACATGACTCTCAGGAATTTGCAGCCGCGGATTTAATGAGGGCAGTGGTGTCAAACCATTCATTGAAAATGTGAGGAGAATGAGGCTTTCGGCAGCTGGTGTGCAGGAGAGCTACAATTGTCTGTATTGATAACCTGAATGTTGTTATGGCAAGTTGCACTAGGCATGGATAAGGAATCCTCGAGTGCTGCTGGCTGTAAATTAAAGTGCCAACCTTGTCACAGCTTATTAACAGGTTACCTTCAATCAAGTTTAAAGGAGCAAGCCTGCTCTTAAATGGCTATTATTTGAAAGGGACACATTTAGTGGAATTTCACCCCCACTACCACCGTCCATTACTTTAAAAAAATCTTGATTGTGTACAGGCATTCATTAAATAATGATAATAAAATAGTAAAGTTGTCACATGAGAAACATATAGTATAGTAAAGTATACATGAGAAACAATTTTAGTAAGCACTGAAAAAACATCAGTGTTGGCACTCAGAGAGGAGTTGGTTCTGTAAGATGGGTGCCACCATAGAAAAGGTCCTCCCCCTGATTTCTGCTAACCAGAGATAATTGGGACCAAAACTATATAGTGGTTTACTGGTAAGGACAAGCACTTTGAACTGGGACAGGAAACAAATAAGTTCCAAAGCAGGTGATAACATGTATGAAAATATGAGATCACCAAACCATGGATAACACTGGAAAGGTCTCTCCCAGCAACAGGGGCTGCCAGTGAATCAGTCAAAACTGATAACAGACAGTCATGCTGCAGCCACAAGCAGGGAATCCAAGAGCATGCCCCCATATGACCTCTGTCAGTTCTTTCATGGGTAACATTAAATACAATACTCAGTCATAAGGAATTCAATGGGATAACTGCTCCAAGATAGCTGGAATCTGCCCTTATGAGAAAAATGTGATAATTACTATGCTAACAAGCCTTCACCAGCTAGGATGGGCAAAGGTCTAGAATGCAAGTTAAGTCTCAACCCATGCTGTGACTTTTCTGAATCCTCTGGCAGAATCAACTGAAACTCCTCTGAGCAAATCTGACACATAGGTGCTAAGGGGCTTTCCAGTAAATTCCCTATAAGAAAAGCGGAAATAACTTAGCAAAGGAAGAATGCTACTAAATATTTAACCACATGCTAAAGGTTAATCTGTTTCAAGAGGCTTGTTTGCCAGAGAATTTTGGGAAGAAATGTAGGTGGGGAAAGCATTTCTATTTTTGGAATATACGTTTGATATACCCTGCTCTAACATGAGGCCGCAAGGGGTCTCCTTTTCAGCTTACTGAACAGATCAACACCTGAAACATCTTAACCAGGTGATGCTCTTGGCCCACCTGCTGCATTTAATTTACAGTGCAGATATTTAAATACTAAGGCTATTTTAGTGTACATGAAATCTGGGAATCTTTGGAACTGTCCAATTTCTTGCTTGTGAAGCACAATCACTTGCTCAGAAGTAAATTCTACTTTGTTTAGTGGAGCTTACTTTGACGTAAATATGTTGCAGAACGTAGCCTAAGTGTGCTTTCTCCGCTAGTGGAATTTATGAACTAAGCCTAATGAAGAAACCTTACCCCCCCTTTTTTTTTGTACAGCATAATTCTACACTTGAATTTTCTGTGCAGGAGCTATAAACTCAAGTGTATCCAAGTCTGTTGTCTCCATTTCTGGAAAACGGAAACTGAATATTAAGGTGTAACCCTCCTTCAAGAACACCCAAATTGTAGGGGGGTTTTTTGCTTTGCAAGCGGCAAAGATTATTAATATGGGGAGCAACAACCACTGCCCATTGGCCACCTCCCCTACATTTATACTTTAAATTGATCTCTGTTTTGTAGGGGAGTCTTGGAGACTCTTGTGCAAGATTAAATGGAGTGAAAAGTGGTGATAGTCTTCTTTAGGAAGCAAAGATAAACAATACACTCACTTGTATTGCATAATTTAGCTAGGTGTCCAACTGGAGCGCAGAAGGAATCTGTTTCCTGATTCCAGAGTTTTCATCCAGTTTGGATAGTGAGTGTTTTTGATCCAATTGTTTTGTGGCAACAGCTGTTCACCAGCTGCTGTCAGAGGTAAACGAGATACCAGTTTATTTTTAAACTTTAGTTTGCTAAATGAAAATTTCCTTCAGAAGCCTCACCTCAGCACCAAAATATCTTCTTAAATTCCTAGAATTGCTGGTGTACCATGTGAATTTTGACTGCTCTTCTGTATGCTGAAAACCAACCCAAAAGTAAAATGGAAGGTTATGTTAGCTGGAAAGAAGCTGCTGCTGTTTTACATGTTTATAACAAAAATGCAAAGAACAGGAAGGAGGAAGAAGTTTCAGTGTAGGATATGGGGGAAATAGAATGTTAGGAAAAGTCCCACCATGAAACAAACTGGAGGAGGAAAACCAGGTACGCAGGTGAAATTGGATACTGAGAAAACCATCCAACAGTGCTTCAGAAATTTTATGTACCCTTTATATAAGAAAACTGGGAATTTTGTGGAAGAAGAAGAAGAAGAAGAAGAAGAAGAAGAAGAGGAGTTTGGATTTGATATCCCTCCTTTCACTCCCCTTCAGGAGTCTCAAAGCGGCTAACATTCTCCTTTCCCCTTCTCCCCCACAACAAACACTCTGTGAGGTGAGTGGGGCTGAGAGACTTCAGAGAAGTGTGACTGGCCCAAGGTCACCCAGCAGCTGCATGCAGAGGAGCAGAGACGCGAACCCGGTTCCCCAGATTATGAATCTACCGCTCTTAACCACTACACCACACTGGCTCTCTACTGGATAGTAGGACAGGATATATTGATTAAATATTATCTTTCCTAACTCATGCTAATGAGTCACACATATATAGCAGAGTTCATTCCCCGTTATACACAGCAAGAAGCTAGTTGCAGATTCGTTTGAATCACTTTAGTTAAGCAATCCAATCTGGCATTCCCAGATTGATGTGTATTCCTGGTAAGACCCCTTTGATTCCCTCCTAAAAGAATAAAGACACAAGAGTCTTCCTTAAAAGTAATAAGTTTACTTGCATTCAGTTCAGAGTATGATCCCTGAAGGCAGGCTTTAGCTTGTAGTTACAGATAAGAGTGTGGCTTAAACATATTTTATGAGGATGGGCCCATGTGCTGCTGGCTGGGAGCCAGCAGTGCAGTCCAAGAGAAGAAATGGCATCAAAAGAGAGAAATGGTTGCGTGACTGGACCTTTTGTGGGATCTGCAAGGGTCATGCCCACCTACTGGTCACCTGCAGGGGGAGGCTCTCCAGAGTAGGTGTAACAGGAAGTTCAACTGGCTGGATCAACATCCCCTGTCTATGTCCTCTCTAGGCAAACAAGGAATGTTGTACTTGACTGCTCCAGTGGATTACATCCACAAAACTAGTGGAAATTACCCAATATTGCTCATGAGAATTCTAAGAAACCAAAACTGAGGTTCATAAATGGATAATGTAATGTGTTAATTTATAGGTCTATGCATGCCTTCCCCCAACCCAACTTGGGGAAGACTCAACCAGAATCTTGCCCCAAATAATAATGTTTAATTATGGCTTTTGAAAACCTCTATTATTGGGAGGGTGAAGGGGGAAGGAAATGATGGTCCTGGGTTAGGTGTCCTCTTCCTGCCCTGGGACACTTTAAAAAAATCTTTTGGGGGCTTGCTTCCACAGTGTGTTCCCTGTGTACAACATGCTGGTTAAACAGTTTACTGCAGCCAGCAGGAATGCATCCTTCCTGCACCAGCTGGTGAGCGGAGGCTTCAATCTTGCTCAATTTCAGTGGTCTTCTTTAGCTATAGTGTCTTAGATTTTGCTGCTGTTTTTATTTCAATTGGTTGTGAATTTTGCTGTTCTTTCACTTTGAACACCAGTGTAATGTAAATCATTAATTTTGTGTAAACCAAAAGAAGTATTTGCTGGCAAATGTAAATGTACCTTCGAATCTAATGCACACCTTAATTTTCACAATATAATTTGGCCAAAAAAGGTGAGCATTAGATTCAAGTAAATACGGTATGTATAATGGGGATGCAGGACTTGAAAGAAGGCTGACTGAATTGTACATAACCCATTACATTAACCACTTTTACAGAATTGGAACTTAATTAATGGCTGTCGTATAGTGGTGGAATGCTAGAGAAATAACATTAGATATTTTGAAAGTCAGTAAGAGTGCAATCCTGTACATCTCTACTCAGAAGTAATCCCACTGGCTGATATCCAGCACTGTGTTAGTGAAAAATGATTTTCAGACAAAGAATCTTTCTCTTGCCTCCTCACCCTGGAAGTCCCAGAACCACCCAAAGATGGGGAGGAAAAAGAGAACTGAGGTCTTCATGAGAGGGAAAGGTTAATTGTTTGAGCTTGCATCCGCTCACACATCATTGAGTATCACCCATTGAATTCAATGACATTTACATCCAGGTGAGTAGGTATAGGTTGCAGCTGCAAATTATAATTGAGAAGTCTGTTGTGCTGTTTGAGCCTGTGTTGGAAAGTATATTCTATTCAGTGGTATCTAGAACTGCAAGTCTGTTGCCTGCATAAACTAATACGGATTGAATCCAATGTAGCATCATTAGCACAAGAATTTACCACTAATGGAACAAGGTGCATTGGATGCCATTGTCAGTTTATTATTTCAGCCAGTTTTTGGAAATCAAGAAATAATTTAACAACTTTTTACACCTTAATTGTAGAAAATTAAATGAACGAATGAATCATGAAAAATTTGTATTAAACTAGCAAAGATCTAGTACTGTATACTTGCATGATGTGTGACGTTATAGGGATATTTAAACAGCAACAACATTATTTTTCACTTAATGTTTACTTTTATAAGCTTTAGTTGACCCATTCTTCTTTATTCCTTCAGGGTAATTTAATTTTCAGAACCTTTGGTTTTTTAAGTAGTGTTAGGAATTCCTAAACGTATATGTCAATAAGTATTTAGACACTCAGGATTTCAGGCAGCAAAGGCAACGATCATAAAGGTAATGATCACAAACAGTGAGCATATTGATAACAAAACTGAACGCACTGTGGGTATAATAGGGGACAGGGGCTACGTTGCAAGACACGACATCTATTACCACCCTTTGTATTCTTTTAGCCTTTTGTTAGTGGTTTGTAGCATGACTAGATTTCTGGGTCATTGGGCATTTTTCTCCTCCCTCCCAATTTTAGAAGAAGCTTCTTTAGTGGAATGTTGAGAATGAAGCCATGCTTTTCTTTTCTTTTCGTTTCTTATTGTACCAATCATTAACTCTTGCTGGGAGAACATTGTGCTTGTAAACAACTGCTTCACTACAGGAAGAAAAGGTTGGAGGCGGGGCAGCAGGGGAAGAATGAATAAATACTCACTTGTTCCAAATGCCTTATATAGTATTGATGCCTGGATTTTGGCAAATTGATATCTTGTCTTCAGAACCTCTGCTCATCCAGTCTAGTAGTTAGCTGCCAGGTAATGTTCTGTTTCCTCTCTTGGAACTTCAAAATGAAAACATTATTATGGCAATTTCAGTTTCTGCAAAAATGGAGGAGGGACATAGCAGTGATATAGCTTATTTCCACCATTAAATTGGTCCACACAACGATGTGTTCACCATACCAAGATTAGTTCAATAAATGAAAACCTTACAATAGAAGGATGTGTGCAGTCTTGAAAGGGTATCAGTTTTACTTATACCGTAATTCTAGGCCCAGAAAGTGTTGAATTGAGCTATTGGGAAAAATTAATCGAAGGAATAATAAGCCAGATGTTGTTAACTGTCTACAGGCTCACCACCCCCATCCTTCTCCCTCATGTCTAAACACTGCCAAATGGTGGTTCATCTTCAAATCATAGGGCAGATCCATACCATGCATTTAAAACACATTCAATTCTCATTTAAAGCTCATAACCTCCCCCAAAGAATCCTGGGAGCTGTAGTTTATTAAAGGTGTTGGGAACTGTAGTTCTGTGGGGGGGGGGGAATCACACTTAACAGGATTCTTTGGGGCAAATTACGTGTGTATTTGATGTGTTTTAAATATATGGTATGGATCTGCCCAGAGCTTATGAAGCTGACTTGTTTTTAACTAGCCGTAATTAAGGTTCTCCACAGTTTAGGGTTTGGATGACAAGCTAAACTCTGCCCAATTTAAAATGGAATCAGAAGCTTCTGATGTCCTCCTCATGGCCACACTGGAGGGGCCCACACAACATTGTGGGGCCCACACTATGAACCTGTGTGTGTGTTAGACTTGCTCTCTCAACCTTTTAAAGCAGAGGTTGCCAACATGGTACTTTCCAGATGTTTTGGACTGCACCACCCACCAGCCCTAGCCAGTATGTCTGACAGTCAGAGATAAAGGGTGTTATAGTCTGAAATAACCAGAAGGTGATATGTTGACTACCCGTGTGCTAATCCATGTTTAGCATTATATCAGAACATACCCTAAATCAAGAACATGCAAGTTTATCATATGCCAATGCCGTTCACTTAATGTCCCTATAAATTGCAGTCTACTATTTATGAAAGCTGCAGTCAAAAAAGAGAGAAGGCAGTGCAATTGCCCCAATCATCTTAAGATCATTTTCCAGACTATCAGAAAAGTTTGTTTTAATTTACTGCTTTTTCCAAAATAAAAATGCATTTAAAAGGTCTATAAAATTTCTAAATCACTTAATATCAACATGCCAGAACTATTTCTAAATTATTATTTCTACATTTGTACAGACTAGATTGGAAATACGATTATCCCAGAATTATGTCTAATTTTAAAATACAATTGGACTTTGAGGAGAGGGAGATAAGGAAGAAAACTCTTTATACTGGGTTTACCATATTTAAATGTTCACGCCTCCCTAATAAATATTGTAACACTCCTAATATCAGCTGATAAAAGTATGAGCCTAGTTTGAGGTGAATTTTTTAAATCTAAAATTGTTCTTACTTTTCAGTTGCTTTCTGTAGAAATTTGACATAGGAGATTTTGAGAGATCTAAAGTATATAACAAGAAATGAATTTAAAAGTAATTGTTTGTGCTGAAGTGTTCAGCTTTTGTGTCTTCTAGCTGAAGGTGTTGCAAAGGTTAATAGCTAGGCAGTCACATCTATTGCAGCAAAAAGCACTTCAGCTAAATCAGTGTTAGCTTCCATTTAAGGAAGAATGTCTGCTACAACCATTGGTATTTACTAACTGTGCCTATGAAAACATTCCTTTTCACCCTCAGATGCTCATTCAGCTGTCTGTTGTCTAAGGGACATTATTACAGGCTTTACCATGCAGTTGGAAAAATTAATTGCACATTTTAATACTGTGAACAGTAGCATCTGACTTCCACCTCTGTAGAATTTAGTTACTGCAATGCTGCTGTTGTGATGGTTCTAAAAACTTTTTGCATAAACCACAATTTTTTGCAGATTGTGGGTGCTGCAAATGCTTTAAAAACAAAATAGTCTTCATGTTAAATCAGACTCAGCAGTTGAATTCATCCTGCCTTGTCTAGAAATAGGTTAACCCCTTGAAATTCCCACAACAGTCAATGATAGTTTGTTGGATGGAGGATATTACTTTTGAATGTGACCAATGAGTTGGTTTTTCTTAGTTGTTTAAAGGTACAATAGATGCCATCTTGCAAGCTGTAAAAAGACATGTTTTAAACTGCTCTTGGAAAGAAACCATAGCTCTCCCACTCCTTATTTTACAATCATTCCTAATAGCACTTTTGTTTTGGATTTAGATCAAACATAATTGTTCTTGCATCATTGCACCAGAAAATCAAATACAGTGGTGCCTCGCAAGACGAAATTAATTCGTTCCGCGAGTTTTGTCGTCTTGCGATTTTTTTCGTCTTGCGAAGCATGGTGTCGGGAAAGTTTTGGAAAAGCTTCAAAAATCACCAAAGTCTTTAAAAACCTCAAAAAGGCTACCACACCGCGTTCTATGAGTTGCTCCTCGAAGTCAAGTCACAACTGTATTAACGGTGTTAAGAAAAAGGAAACAAACTTGCAAGACGTTTCCGTCTTGCGAAGCAAGCCCATAGGGAAAATTGTCTTGCGAAGCAACTCAAAAAACAAAAAACCCTTTCGTCTAGCGAGTTTTTTGTCTTGCGAGGCATTCGTCTTGCGAGGTACCACTGTAGGTGAAAGTTATTCCATTTTCAAACAGTATTCACAAATACAAAAAATGCAATAAAACTCTTATTCATTAAAAATGTGTGTCATGTCTGTACAAGGTTAGAAAGAAGGAAGGAAGGAAATAAATATTGATCTAAACATGTAAGATTCCCTGTGGGCCAAACATTTTCTAGCCTGTTATGTTCCCTATTCCTCCACTAAAATGAGACATCTCCCTACCCCCAATTTTAAATGTGTGTTCTGTGTACTACTTGAAGCATGAGTCAAAGGTTATTGTCAAATTTCCCAAGAATATCTAACATAGTAACTAATTTTACAAATTCTGATGCTTTTTGTTTTTCGGTGGCAGCATGGAGACTCAGGGTTGAGGTTGCCTTGAGTGATGGCAGATTCTCCTCTCCCATTCTTACCACTTTCTGAAGTTTTATACAGTAAGTCCCCCTGTATTGATCACCTTTTAAGCTAATAGGCAAGCCTGTGTGAGTTCCATGGTGCTCTCTCTGCCCAGGAAAAAGTGCAGTGCAGTTCACTACTTTATTTCCTTCCAGATGGTGGGAGTGGGCTTTTCAGGTGAAGATGGAATGGGGGGGGGGACTGAGCAGTGGAAAAGTGGTGAAAAGGGGAAGTTACAGGGGGAGAGCTAAGTAAGCAAATGGGCAGCCAGCCATTTATTGCAAGGCTGTGTTGGTATGTCGGAAGTAAAACAGCTGTGGAGGAATGTAAGTAATGTGAGGAATGCTTGCATTGGGAAAGTGGCTAATTATCCGTTGAAAGGTTGCAAGGTTTTTGAACATCTTTCTCTCCCAAGTCACTTTGCATAGCCATTGTTCAGCTTGTTCGTTTATAACCCAGTGGCAAAGCATTTAATAAGATGGAATAGAAAGGTCCCCAAAGACTATACTGATGAAACTGCTCAGGCTTGAATAAGTCTACAGAAGGAAGTTCAGAGGACTAAAATTCATCAGAGAGGGGTTTTGTTAAACAAAGAATCAAACAGGTCTCTGTATTAAGGGTCAGGTGGATCAGGCTCAAAAACTGCAAATGCTAATAGAGGTGGGTGGATTTTTTGAAAGAAGTACCATTCTATCCCCTGGGGAGATACTGAAATTCAAAATGGGTTGTATAATAGATTGGAATATATTTTTATCAATAAAAGACATTCTGCTCTTGTATTTTTACCTTCAGTTTATCCCAAGGGATAGGTGTAGTCAGTTTTGAATGGCACTGGCAATATATGGTTTCAAAGTCTGGTTGAGAATTGTGTTCTTTGAGCCATGTGTTTTAATCATTCTTGATTTAGGCATCTGCTTTTTTGTTGTTGCTGCTCTTGTTTCCACAACTTGATGTTTAGAAGGAAGTATAATTACTGTAATCTCAAGTGTTTATTTCAGTGCTAAGGAATTTACCGTATTTTTCGCCCTATAGGACGCACCGTCCCATAAGGCGCACCTAGTTTTTTGGGGGGGAAATAAAGGGGAAAAAATTATTTCCCCCCCAGGCGCGGGGCTGGGGCGGGGGAAGCCCGAGCTTCCCCCGACCCCAGCCCCCAAACAGGCAGCTCTCTGCAAGCCATGGGATCCCAGCGCTGGCTCCTGCTGCTTCCTGAGAGGTCCGCGAAGCCTGGACGCGCTGAGCTCAGCGCGCGCAGGCTTCAGCGTGCAGGCAACTCTCCGCAAAGCCTGGAGAGCGAGAGGGGTTGGTGCGCACCGACCCCTCTCGCTCTGCAGGCTTCAGCGAAAGCCTGCAATCGCCCCATAGGACGCACACACATTTCCCCTTCATTTTTGGAGGGGAAAAAGTGCGTCCTATAGGGCGAAAAATACGGTAATCAATTCTCTATATTAAGCTCAGATGTGTAACTGTGTAAGTATCCTTTTAAATAAATGGTTGTATCAGAGTCAGCATATTTGGAATTGTTGTTAATAGGCTATTGAATTTAAAAAATACAAAATCACAGGAAGATTATTTGAGCAGTGTGTGTGTGCACGCACACATACTCTCTTCTCTCTCTCTCTCTCTCTCTCTCACACACACACACACACACACACATGCATGCTTGTGTGTTTATATAAATACCGGTATATATGTATCTCCACACACATAATAAACACACACAAACATACCTTGCTGATAGAGGAGCAATGTATAGAAGCTGAGAAAATAGTGAAAAAAATTCTAAGTGTAATTTACCCCTTAAATCTTGGATACTCTGAAACATTTAAAGATGGTAAAACCCTGAAATTCTATTTGATTAGTTCAGCCATAATAGAAAACTATGGTTGTCCAGTATGAGAACAAGGTGTGGCCAGCCTTGTGCTTCCACATTTCCCCCTTCTACCTCTTATTTCATGTAGCACAGAATATCAACATCCCTCCAGATTTCCTTGAACTGCAACTTCTATCATCCCTGGGCATTGGCTGTGTTGGGTGGGGCTGATGGGAGCTGGAGTTCAACAACCTTTGGAGAACACAATGTTAATTACCATTGGCTTAAGCTATGCTGAATACTGCTGAATTGTCTCCAACCATAGTTTAACAAAACAGTTCCCAAAGTTCAGGAAATCATGGGAAACTGGTTGGTATAGAAGCAAAAGCTGCTCCTCACAGACGTGAGAAAAGGGGGCACTCACAAACTTGAAGCTGTTCTGCAGTGAGTGCTGACTTCAGCAGAGACAAACCAAGATCACCCTGGACAGCTCCATGCAGGGCTCAGGAGTTCATGAGAACAAAACTCAGATATTGCTTCAGCAGCAGTCATCCTCCAAATGAGCTTTACATGACTCAGTAGCTACCTCCACGTTTGCTGAGAGAAGCCTCTTATTTAAAGGACCCCAGCTTGATGTATCAGTTATTGACTGTGGCAGAGTAGAGGAGACTGTAGTTGTACTAGAACTTCTGAGTTGGAGTTGTCACAGGAGGGCCACACAAAATTGTCATGCTGGATGGATACTGGCACCATGGGCTCTTCTGGACGAAGTTGGTTAGGTGCTTCTGGGACTGGCACTGAGGGCAATTCCCTGTCCCACTCTGAATCTGCAACCTCCTCTCCTGATGAAAAAGAGCTTGGCACCAGGGGCATAACCAGGTTTCTCATTATATCTGCATTGTGCCCATGTGACTCAAAGCATCTGATATGGAATGCAGGGGCTTTCATGAGGTCTGTTTTGTAAAATGAGTTACTGGTGCTAATAGTAATGGGCCACAGCTCTCCTGAACAAAGCATCTATGCTAGAATGTGCACAGGGCTGACTGAGCATAATTATCTCGACTGCTTCATTTTCTGCGTCTCACCAAGCAACAGAACAGTTTTCCTAGAGGTTTCTCAATATGCAAGTGGCTCAGAGGATCTAACATGGATGGCACTTCTTAGTTTTCCAGTAGCTACTTTAGGATGCTGCCTCCATGATGCTTCTCTTTAGTGATATAGCCTTGGGGAGCAACATGTGTGTGGCATGGTGTTTCCCACCAACCCATCCTTTTTAGGTCTCTAGGTTCCAGGGATGCTTGATAGCTGAAGTCATCGGTGACCAGAATGTCATCAGTTCTCAGAAACAGATTTAAGTGTCATTGCCATTTTTGTGACCATGGTGTTGGTGTACAAGGAACAATAATTGTCGTGTAGAATCTGTGGGGATGGCCCTTGATCTTAGAACAGCTTTGTTATCACAGGCTAGAACATGAGAACTCATACCAATGCAGGCAGCTTGTTAATCATTCTGTAACTGTGAGATGTGGTTTAGCAAACAGTCATTGAAGGCACCTGACTGCTTGTGTGTTATTTAAAAACACTGTCACAAAGAAATGTGTGGACAGAGGTCATTGGAAACATTTGGGTTGGGGCAGAAGCAGCCACAAAGGTGTGGTCTGCTCATATAGTCTGCTCAAACTGCTTCTGTTTACCATGGATGATCTCTCTCGGTGAGATTTTTTGGGATGTCTTTTAAAAATTAACTTATTTTAAAAACTAACTTCCTTTTCCTACATTCACATTCTCCGACACACTCAGGTGAGTGGTAACCAGCAAGTACATATAAGTGAGTTTCTTTGCCGAAAGAAGGTGTGTTCTATGGTTTGGCACAATTTGGTATGGCTGCTGCTCTGCCTTTATCAATATTTCTTCTTCCCCTGACTCCTGTGTCCTTATTTTTTAAAACACCTTGATTCCTCTGAAGGCCAAGTTTGTTCAGTGTGACCCCAAATCATAGACCTCTTGCATTTCTCAGGCTTTTGCCTTCTGTTTTCTGCCAACATAGCTTTATCTTCAGGTGGCTTCACAATCTGAACACTTCTTGCCTATGAAGCTTTTCGGAGGTTTTATTCTGTGATTATTTAAAATGATATGTTAATAATCAGTTTTAAGGTCTAGTCTCAATGTTTTCATTTTCCCAGTGCATTAACATACATTCCTTGCATTAATCTTTGCTTACTTCAGAAGTCTAATGTGTGGTTAGTGGTTCTTGTGAAGAAATCTGGCTTTTAAAGACCAGGAGACTATTTCTAAATTTTGAACTGCATTCCTAATTCTGGAAAGTCTCTTTGTTCATCAAGCTTCTGTGACAGCACAGAAATCCAGACAATACCTAGAGAAAATAATAGGTTTGCAGCAATCCAAAGGTTATGTGTTTTTCTTTCAAGTTACCTTGAGCTAGTTTTGGAAAATTTGGAAAACATGCATACGTTATACTTTTCACTTTCTTAAACTACTCTGAAATTTTGCAACTGTGTATGATTAGCACCAACACCAGAGTTCTACAGACAGCAGTGCAATATCGCAGATAAGTCACTTGCAACATAATGGTGTTTTGTGTTTTAGCATCATAAACCACTCTGATATTTTATGATATGGTGGTATAGAAATATTTTAATAAATAAATGAACTACTGTTTGTTTTAAAGAAGGTTATGCAGCATACCCGTTGATTTTCCTTATTTAAAGCCATAAAATCTACAGAATCCAGATGCTTATTTAAAAAGAAAAACCTCTCTTCATCTCACTTGAGTTTATATAATGTAAATTGAAGTTAGATGGGACGTCCTTTCTAAATCTTCAGATTGTACACAAAGTTGTCTGACTAATATAAAGGGACAAAAAACAAAGTTGCTTCTCATTTTCCATGTCTGTCGCCACTTGCTCCATCAACATACTTTATTGCAATTTTAAGATCTGTATATTCATTTTCATAATCAAAGCCAGCTTTCCATAGTCAAAGGAGGCACTTACTCTGGGTGAAGGCTGTTGAGTCAGACCTTGCTAAGAAGCTTTCTGACTTTTTAGAAATATATTTGCTGAAAAATACATTTGGGGAAGAAAAATGGCCACAGGGTGAAAAATCTCCCTTACAACTATGACCTGCCAGGACTAGTGATGGCTTCATTTGGCTTCAGATGTGCCCTGAAGCACTTCTGAATTTTAAGTGTAGTCTGACCATTTTCTCATCTGGCCCAGGATTTTCTAGCCCTGCTACCAGAAGATGCTAGTAATTGAGCCTAGAGCCCGTTATGCATGCTAAGCCATTGGTACTCTGGGAATGGAAGCAATCCAAAAGCCTTAGAATGATGGAAAGAACTTTGGCATATGGGGTGGGAGGAAGGAGTGTTCCTAGAAATGAGATGAGTAAACTGGAAAATAGTATGAAGGACCTGAGTCCAGGTTGAGTTAGGGAAGGGTAGCACCTCTGACGGGTGGTAGTTGTGGACGTATTTGCTTTGGCTTGGAAGGTTTCAAGTGAAATTACTTGCTAGATCAGGGGTAGGCAACCTAAGGCTCATGGGCCACAAGTGGCCCACGGGGGTCTTTTAACTGGTCCACAAGCCGCCCCCAAACAAAGCCACCTGCTCAGCAAATCCCTGCCCGCTGCGCTAAACCAGCACGGTGCGAGGACTCTCTTCCATGGCGCCGAAAATCGCATCTGCACATGCACAGACACCGAAAATCATGTCTGCACAGAAGCCGGAAATCGTAGGCGCGTGTGTGAGCGGGCGCACACAATCTGGCCCACGGAGGAATCTCCACTGGAGTGAACCGGCCCAGGCAAGGTAAACCTTGCTGACCCCTGTGCTAGATTGTGAGCAAGTGGAGTGAATGTGCAAGGTTGCAGTTTAAAGGGAATGAGAGTGGAGAAGGGTGTTGCAGTTCTGCTTTTTGTTCCTTCAAAAATGTCTTGGTGCCTGCACTCTTTCTGCTCCCTGCCAGTCATTCTCTTCTCTCCATTTATCTGGGAGAGGGAACACAGTTGCTCCTTTGCCAACCCACACTTCCTTCCAGTTGTGCCTCATTCTTTATGTTGTGGGAGGAAGAGTTGTTTACAGGCAGATTGTGAGGCAATCAGCAGGGAAATTATTTCTCCACTCCTGTGTTGAGGTTTGTATAGCTCTGTTGAGATTGCTCTCCCCATTCACCTCTTTTCCTACAGCTGCTGGGGAAAGCAGACATGCTTTTGTATCCAATGAACTTGTTCCATTAGCCCAAAGACTTCCATGTGTGCAAAGGGAGTTTCTCTACCTCTCCTCTCCCCACATACCCCATCAACTCTGCTGCAGAAGGTTGGGGGGAAACCCAAAATAGATTTGGGAGGGGCACAGTGAGAGGAGTTGGAGAGGAAGTCACATTGTGCAAGTGTAAGTCCTTGTCCTAATGGGATGACATTGATGGATACATCCCACTGTGTGCGAGAGAGATAATAAGCATTAAAATAATCCTATTGTTTATCTCCACTTACGAAAGTGTACTATTATGAGTCAGTCCTGCAAGTGACTCAAACATGTGGATACAGTACTGTTGTCTGGTTGTATCTGGCAGTAACTTTTTCACAGTGAGGAAGGCGCTTGCCTTACCAAATGATTCTTCTCTTTCTTTCCTCCAGCCTCCTGACAATTATAGAATTTGCCCAATGATAATTTACTTTGCTTTTTCTTTGTAATTTACTTTTTTATCTTAAGTAGCACTAGTGGTGTTCTGCATCTTGAAGCACATCATGAGAAGTTTTGTTTACCAGAGGGAAGGTTAGCCTCCGACCATTTGAAGGCTAGATTTGGACCACAAGCCACTATCATTTCTTCACACAAATCTTCACACCCCTGCCAAAATTTCAGTATGAAGGCTAAATTATCTATCTGAGCTTTCAGCTGTCCCTCTGAATTTTCCATCTGTTTTGCTTCATTTTATACTTGCAGACTTAAAAGAAATGCTGATGAAAAATATGAGAGTTCTAATAGCAAAGTTCTATGGCCTCCTCGCTTGAACAATTGCTTTTTGTTTTATAACTTGTATCCTTTGAAGAACATATGAAGCTGCCTCATGTAGAGTCTTTATTATTATTCTGTCTAGCCAGATGTAATATAGCCCACTGCATCTGACACTTAACCCAGGAGTGGGTACCTTGTGGTCTTCCATATGTTGTTGAGCTGCAGCTCCCATCACCCCAGACCAGTAGCCATGGTTGACTGGAGGAAATGGGACTTGGAGTCCAACAACATCTGGAAAGGGTCAAAGGTTTCCTATTCCTCTCTGATTTAACTTAACGAAGAAGAACATAAGAAGAGCCTGCAATGGCCTATCTAGTCCAGCATCCTGTTCTCACAGTGGCCATCAGATACCTGTGGGAAACCCATAAGCAGGATTTGCGCACAAGAGCACTCTACCCTCCTGTAGCTTCCAGCAACTGGTATTTAGAAACATCACTTCCTCCAACTGTGGAAGCAGAGCATAAGCATTGAGGCTAGTAGCCTTTGATCTTGACCAATAAATTCATGCTTTGTATATACTACTTTGAATGGTCATGCAGCAGCAACAACAACCACCAAACCGTAACCACTAATGTGTTTTGTTTGTAGAGCTTGGACGAATATGATGATGATGAAGCAGGACAAAAGGAGCGTAAAAGGGAAGATGCAATCACACAACAGAACACAGCGCAGAATGAATCAGCCAGTGCAGACCCAAGTGCCTCATACATATTACAGGTGAGGAGTTTCAACACTGTTTTCTTTGAACTTCAAGAGATTCAGCACACCACTACTTCTGCCTCTGTAAGAGTTGGGTAAATGTGTTTGCCAAACTTGGTACCTCAGCTTTGTGAAATAAGTAACTTCCAGTACCTAACTTTATTTTAATGTTCAGTTTAATGCTTATTGGGAACACACACTGGTTCTTCTGACTAAACATCTATACCAAGCGTCAGCAATGTAGATCTGTCCACAGGGGCCTTCCCTGGTACCCACAAGGTCTGCTCTGCCACCCCCCACTGAAATTAGGCTTGAATGCAGCCAGTAGTATAGGTTGTGGTGTTCACTTAGTTTCAGTGTGGGTTTGTGGTGCCCACAAGAGGCCCCCAAAGGTTAAAAACCCTCATCTATATGATAGGCATTGTCACCATTACATTGTTTGACTGTCAGACCAATAAGGATATGTATTATTACAATTGGAAGTTTTAATTGGCAAGGGCAAGTATTCAATACATCAGTCCTAATGCTAACTGGCAAGGGCAAATTTTAAAAGACGGGGCTGAAAGTTAAGTGGTTGTTTTGTTTCTTGAGGCTCTAGCGTGTCTGCTGTAATATGCAGTGATATGGTCTTTCTTTCAACACAAGGAAGGTGAAAATGTTTCCTTAAAACAGAATTGATCTCATACTTCTTTCAGCATCCCAGTTAACAAATTGTTTCTTGGTCATGGATACTTAAGTTGAGATTTCTGCATTGCAGGGGGTTGGACTAGATGACCCTTGAGGTCCCTTCCAACTCTACAATTCTAGGATTCCAGTGACATTTATGGAAAGAAAATGTACTGTCCTCTGCAGCCACGTGCAACCCTGCTGCACAATGAACAATGTTGGATAGGCTGCTGGGGAGAATGGCTTGAAATTAGGTGGAGGCTCACCTGATTTTGGTCAGTTCCACCACGTCGCATATTGTTTAGGAGGACCCCTCAACTATCCAGAGGCTTTTCAGTGGCTATGGATAACTGCAAGGGAAAGGAAGAGTCAGGAAATTTTCCATGCAATTTTTCCATTCATTTATCTGCACAAAAGTAGATTTAGTTTATTAAGCAATATGCAGAATAGTTCTGCATTTTTTAAATAGTTAATTTGTCTCAGCCTTTCAAAATACATACCATAAAGCATTTTCATTTGGATACTTGAAATTGCATTGTGTTCTACTCTTGCAATTCTTTCAATGTTTTTAGTGCTTTTTGAAAAAAGAATTGATTAGACTTTCAGATGTCATACATCTATAGCCATTTTCCATTTGGGGCTCTCTTGTTGACATTAGCATAATGGCATTTTAAAAACAGGCGTATGGTTGTGCTTACTGCATTCCTAAATCATTTCCTGTGGGTGGTAGCTCTGCCAGCCAGTAGCACCACAATGAAACACAGAAGGGGGGTGCAGCAGTGATGTTTGTGTCTTTGCAGTTGTGCATTTCTGTCACTATCATAGTTGCTGTAGTAGTTTCTGGACACCTCCTTTATTCAGGGAGTCAGTTTGAATACTGGAATGAACCTTACTCATTAGCACTGACTTTCAAATAATATTTCAGTCTGAAAATTATTTTTTAAAAACAGGCTATAAATTAAGGGCTGAAACAACAAAACCCTGGTATGGTGGCATGTTGACTCCCTCCTATCCACAATGAATCATTAACATAAATGTTCATCTTTGGGAGGACTTTTATGTATTTGGAGTTTGCAAAAGATTCTATATGCTGTCTTCAAGATCTGGAAAGCAGCAGGCAGGTTAGAGAACTACCACTTTGAAGTCTGCTGTCAATTTCAGAATGGTCTGTAGACAAATAGTTGAAGAGGTGGCAGCGTTTTTTGTGAAACACACCCTTGCAGTGTCTTTAGCTTTTAAATTAATTTATTCCTATTTGTGCTCTGCTACATGGCTCCATAGAGCCCTCAGGGTGACTTACAAGTAAAGCAAAACAAGCAAACAGGCCTACAGTGATGAAACAGGAAAAAACCAACCGAGCTAACCAACTATACAATAAATGAAACAGCCTAAAAGCAGCACTAAAATATTTCTTTTTTCCATCCCTGCTCTTCTGTGTCTGGTAGATAATTAATAATAAACATCAAGTCATGTTCCCAAAAAGTTAATTTTTTTTAATAAATATAAAATGGAGCTGGCTTGCCCCTGAACAGCTGAGACAATAAACTAGTATTTTTCTTTTGATAAAGGATGGCAAACAGATCCTGGAGCACCTCCATTGTCACCAGCCTAATTTTGGTCTTGCTTCCAGAAATAAGTAATTTTCATTTCAGAGTTGTCATTTCGCCTGTAGATTAAAATGACTTCATCTTTTCAGCACTAATCCCTTTTAGACAATTGTTAAAGTTTGGGTAAGACTGCTGCAAGAATCTTTAATGAGCTTACAAGGAAAGACCTCTTGAGCAATTTAAAGGTGTTCTTGCTCCACTGTCAGAGGCAGAATGCCTCTGAGTAACAGTTGTTGGGAATCACAAGTAAGGAGACGTCCTGCTTGCTGGTGTCTCCTAGACATCTGGTTGGCCACTGTGAATAGGATATTGGGCTAGATCAGGCATAGGCAAACTCAGCCCTCCAGGTGTTTTGGAACTACAATTCCCATCATCCCTGACCGCTGGTCCTGTTAACTAGGGATCATGGGAGTTGTAGTCCAGAAACAGCTGGAGCGCCAAGTTTGCCTATGCCTGGGCTAGATTGACTTTTGGCCTTGTGAAACAGGACTTCCCCTCTGTTCTTGTGTTCTTATTATGGTCCCTCTAGCTCAGTATTTCCTATAGTGACTGATAAGTGGGGGAGCCCCTGTTGATGGTGCAGGGTGAATCTTGATAGGGCATTCTCAGTTGTAGTTCCCTGTTTGTGGAATGCCCTCCCTGGTGAGGTGTGTCTGTCTCCCTAAGCACTAACTTTTCAGGACAAAAAGCTTGAAAACGTTCCTGTTTACCCATACATTTGATGGCTGAAAGATACTGACTGGAATCCAGTGTCACATTGCAGTTTGACAGACAGGATGACCCTGCCTCTCCTCCCCCATGTCCTGTTCTGGAGGTTCTCTCCCCCAAGGCCATTTCAGGGGGCACCTGCGGGTGTGGGGGAAGGAAAGGGCGGTGAAAGCAAGTGCATAGGGCTTGCACTGACGGGATTCATTAGGTGAATCCTGCCCAGTGTTTCTGCTATACTTGAATGATTTCTGACTGTTTCTAAATGCTTCCAGGGGCTTGTAATTGTTTATAAGTGTTTTAAATCTGTTTCTATTTTTGCTTTTGTTTTTACTGTTTTACTATTTTGGTGTTTACAACCCTGGGTTTCTTTGGGAGGGATAGAAATTTATAGAATAATAACAGACCTTCTCAAAAGGAAAATGTTCCAGAATTCAATCTGTCCTGTCCACTTAACTTTCAGTTTAGTCCCATTGCTCCACCTTCAGAATTCTGTTGAAATAATAATAAAAAGATTAAATTTTATCCTAAATCTTCATTTAAAATCCAAGTGAGTGAGTGACCAAGCAAAAGAATGAGCTGCTGTATGTTGCCAGTAATAAAACATTCAAGAGAAATACTATTTATTCCAGCAATGTGAAAGGCAATATGTATAACTATGTCATATCTCTAAGCCTCTGGTGACTATTTAATTGTGTGGGAATACAGAGGTTTGATGTATTAGTATGAGTTCCTGTTAGTAAACAGCACTGAAAGCCTTCCTGACACTAGTTTCCCTAGAGCTTTGTAGTGGCATGCTAATTGCCAAAAGTTCCTTCCAAACTAGCTGCAGCAAATTACAAAAGAGGGGGAAGTTTTCCATGCTTTTATGTGTAGGCTTTTTTTTTTTGTTATAACTAGTCAAAAAGACCCCACGAGTAAAGGATGTTTGGGGGAATGTTGCAAGCATGAAATGCGTGTGTGATTAACCAACAGAAATCTTACATTGTATCTTAGCTATAGTGGTTAACAATTGGGTGCACTGCATGATCTCGTGCTGTGGAGTTAGTGGGACCTAAATTGGGTGGGCATGGTGGTCTGTGTTATTGAATAGATGTCTCCCCCCCAAAAAAAATGGTTTTGCAATTTGTGAAATGAGAACAGACCTAAGACTTCTATTCTTCTTTTAGGGCCAAAGTCATGGTCCTGTTTGAGTCGGCTGAAATGCATTCTGCCATTACAATGAGAATTATACATTAATTCTAGTCTTCACCACAATGTCTTTTTTCTAGTCCCTAATTCTGTGTGCTCTCCTTTTCTCTGGTGGTGAACATGCTAGTTCTGTGAAGGTTGCTACTAAAATATCCTCCTCTCCCCCCCCCCCCACTGCCACGAGCTGCTTACAGATCTTTTAAAAGTGCTTTTTAGTGTTTAACTATAATTTTGTTCTTTTACCTTTTATGCATTTATTCTCACTCCCACCCCCACACGTTTGTAGTGTTCATAACCTTCCTTTTTTCAGTTCAAAAGAAAGGTGGGATATAAATTATAAAAGATATACCAACTTAACTCACTGCTGGCTTTTAAAATCCAGAAGCCGTTTCTCATTAAGGAACCACTTGGAAGCTTCTGTTCTGAGACACAGTTTCAATTTGGTTAAAGCCAAAGCTTAGCTCAAGGTGAAGGCATAGCTGTATCTTGAATTTAAACGTGATGGTGTTTTATCATTTGTCACTGGCCACATTTGCATGCAATGCTGAGCCATAAAGTGTGTTTTGTTAAGCCATAATATACATGAGCTGTGTGCTTGTGTGTGCAGTCTGTCCTTGCCTTGCATGAGTGCTTTTATACATAATTACTAGTCCCACTAAACTCACTGATCAGAGAATGGTATTTCTGGGCACACCAGAAATGCTTGTATAACTTTGGGTTTGACTGTCCCGTATTTTGATTTGATTTGCCCATTATTACGAGCAAGTAATGCTTTAAATCAGCCATTTTGTATATTAAATTTGACTCTAATTGATTTTGTTTTGTTTTCATAGGACACCTCTAGGACAATTTCAAACAGATACAAAAGGTAAGGGACTTACCAGTATATTTTAAAGTCAAATATTGATAGATTGTGTTTATATGACACCTTACCACAGTGAGCTGTGCCCAAAACAGCTTACATTGAACACTCACTTACCAAAATACAAAGCATTTGGGTGGAGGAGAGAAGTCTACTTACAAAACATACCGAGAAATCCAAACAGGAGAAAAAATCTGCAATTTAGCAAACATTGAATAAATTCAGTATTATAAAAGAAAGTGCGCACACTTAAATACCTAAGTACAGAGCAAAACAAAAATCAACTGCTGATGGAGGTCTTATTGCTTCTGAACTTAGTGGAGAACCAGGGAATTAGCTAAGAGCTGAAAGATGGGGTTGGGAAAATGCATACCCTCCAACATCCTGCTAATCAACACTGAACTCTTCTGGGAGCTAGGTAACGAAAAACCAAGCATCTTTTGGTCTGGCATGAGGCAGCTGACTCACAGCAGAGCTCCAGAACAATAAATGGGACATTCCGGATGCAATCAGAAGACAGGATAGCTTGTGTATTTCAGGGATATCCTGCTCAATTTGGAATGGTTGAACAGTATGAAAATGTGTAAGGGTCTATGTTGTGAACCTTATCTCTCCCAAAGCCTAAAATGTGTCTCAAGAAATCTGCTAGAATTGTCAGCTAGGCTTAAAAAGAGAATGTAACAGGCAGTATTTATTGTTACAGTTGTTTCGTGATCTGCATTTTTAAATGACTTGACAGATAGCAGGCTTTTCATCAGTTGCCAGAGGAGTTGGTTTTATCTGTCGTAGCAACAGACTTCTGCAACGTGAATCTTCATACATCTTGTCAGTTACATTTGTTACAGAAAGTTGCAGATGTCGTGGTTATGTAACACTTCATTTTCTCTTTCAGCATCTAGAGAGCTTAAGGACCAAACTACATATTGTGTGGGCCTTCCATCTTCTTCTGGTGTTGTTTTCACTTAACAGCAGCCACAGGGAATGTGGGAATTATATTGAAGTGCTGGGGGAGGACATATTTTTTAACTCACTTCTCCATCAGCCCTGTTCTTGGTCTAAAGTCTTCCTCACATCCCCACCCACATCAGAAAAGTTGTCATTTATTTCCTTTGCAGCTTCAGGGGGCAATTTAGTTTTGTTAACGGATCCAGGGTAGAAGGGATTAAACACAACTCCCAGTATCTCTGTACCCCTCCCCGCATGCTGGTGCTTTTTTAAAAAGTGTAAACCAGTGCAGAGAAAAGCACTGAATAAAATGCTGTGTCTGTAAAAGAAAAAAAGAAAATTTTTCTGTGTCACAATCTGCTTTGGGGGTTAACCCTTACATAAATGCAGATAGTATTTATAATACAGTGCTTCCCCCTAGTTAAAGTACATCTTCATTGTACTTTGGTTTTAGCATAAATTTTTGGAGTGGTCATATATCATCAATATAATAGAATGTTCATTTGTTTCTCTTTATTTTATTATTTATTTTTTAAAAATTTATACACCATTTGATTGGTAAAGTGGTTTACAAAAAGTATGTTTGCTAAAAGTATGTTCATAATACAGGGTGATAGTAAATGGAAGCTGTATGCTTCATTATGAATCACCCTGTATTATTACTACTATTAATAACATTTTTAAAAATCATAGTACATGTACAATGGCCTAGTTTCCTCACCACATAGCAGTTTACCTGTCACCAAGCACCCTCCATGTATATAGGTTCCTCCTAGATGGTTCTGTCTCCTAGGAGCTGATTAGAAATCTCTCCCAGTTCTCATCTTTCACTTCCATCTTCCTGGTTGAATGTAAGGTACCAGTCAAACCTTTTCTCTGCATGTATGGGTTGGACAGTCATGTCCCGAGTATCAAAACTCTGGCTGGATATCCATATGTCCAGACCTGATTGGAGGATTTGCTTCCCACCCTTAGCCTCCCTCTTTAGGGAGTGGAATAAATCCTTGTGAAAATTTGTAATTACCCTATGTGAGGGGTGATTCTTACTCCTCACTTGTGAGACTCTTAATTCAGATGCTGAGGTTTGACTGTGTAGCTTTGAACAATCCAAAGACTTTCCCCCTGTGTGCCAAACTGCTGTTTAATACTACACACTTAGATCAAGAGGGGGTGGAGGGAAACAGTCTGAACTTGCACCATGGTTGCTGGTAATTGCCCACTCCTGGGTCTCCTGCAGTTCTTGGAATTCCTCTTGGTCAAGAATTACGGTGAATTGAGAGGTGGTAGATGACATAAGTTCGAATGGCTTTATCTCAAGGCAACTGACCAATTTCCACAGTCAAAGTGGCAGGCAATGAATGCCCCGCATAAAGTATACCATCATTATATCTCATCCCTGAGATCTTGGCTGTATGTGAAAATAGAGCTATTTGAGCATATGTACATAGGAAAGGCCAAAAGAGCAACTTCATAGGAAAGGCCAAAAGAGAAATTACCTATCAGGGTTTAAAATAACTGAAGGATTTACCATGGATCAGACAGGATTGGTTGGCTCAATTTACAGTAAATCAGATTAGAATTTCTTGGTATGCATGTTCTTTCTCTGCTTAAGTTTTTTCTAGGAATAAATGCAATAATTGCATTCTTATTTAAATAACTATATAGCCTTGAATTTTAATGATGCCAATTCCAAACAGAAAAAAATCCAAACAGAAAATTCATTATTTGAGTCCACAAACAAGTGTGTGGACAGAAAAACTAAATCAGTTTTTCCAATACTAAAATATTAGCTAAATGTGGTTAGCCAAAACCTTAAGTGTCCTTTCTGCCTCCCAGTGACTAAAACTGGAATTTTGTCTGCAATACACTTTCATTCCTGTATGTCCAGGACAGATTGCAGGTAAAAAAGAACTGCTGATTTCACTTGTCCTGCATTGATGTCCTGCTGAGTGTATTGCAGCCTTTTACTCAGTAGGATCAGGTTATCTGACCTGCCAATAAAATTCCATGCAGACCTATACTCTGGCCTGGTCCCACAGTCTGAACAGCTTGTCTCTCAATACAAATTAAACTGCTACAGACCTCCTGCAAGAAGCCCTGGCTGATTGCATTGAACCTGCAGCCTGCTTCCCGGCTGCCAGCCATAGCAGGCTAGCTTTTCCTCTAGTGAATCCTTTCTCATAGACATGATAGCTTGAATTCTGAGATCCCATGACTGACACTCAACTCATGGAATGCTCCTACAAATCTATATGCAGGTATCTAACCAGGCCACTAGTGCAGATGAACCCCAGCCTGATACTAATAAGTTGGTAAATTTATAGCTAATAAATGGATTACCCTTGTTTATGTTCTAATCAGAAATTGGAAATATATATATTAAAAATTCCTTAAATGATTTAAGGGATCTCTGGATTGTTCTATTGACTACATATTACCTACATTTCCAACTCTTGAAGTTTTATATAGCTTTTGTATAAAGGTTTTTACCATTATCTTTCAAATCATAGATCAGTCACTAACAGCAGATCCACTCTTGTCCTTGCTTTCAATAGAAAGCAATAGAAATCCCATAATATCTCATAAGACAGTGGTCTTTCTATTATTAGCAACAGGAAGAATGTCAATGGCCAGCCAGTGGCCATTGGTTGCCTCATACCCCTTAATAAATGCAGGGTCCTGGGTCTTGATGCAGGTAGCAAGCCTACCCATGTTATTGGGGAAGATCTAGCCTGTATCTTGAGAATGCACAGATGTTGATTAGTAGTAGTAGTAGTATCAAGTTACCAGTCCTAGTTTTCAGCTTTGCAAGTTTGTATTGAATTTATTATTTATTTTGTCTGTATACTCCTAACTGTCCTACTAGGCTAGTAGTAGCGTACATACAACTGAAGTGTTTCTTTCAATAATTAGCTGAAGCACAAAGTGTTGCACTTTTTCCTTTCTTGTTGAAATGCTGGCAGGTTCTTATCTAATGTCAGGACCTCTTGAGCTTTGCCTTCTCCATTTTGTGTGTGTGAAAGTTGAACATGTTTGCTTTTTCTTGACCAAATAAAGAAATTTTATAGGGAGAGTCAACCAGAGTTTACCTTTGTGATTTGCTGTTTGTGTGTGTGTGTTGCACACATAGGCAAGGATTCTTTCCTTAAACAATAAAAAATGGAAAGATCCCTTTAAAATACTCTTCCCCTCTCACTTTAATCTAATCTACTAACCACCCATTCTAGGGACAATGTACTAATGGTGAATAGAATGTCCCAATTTTCTGAGGAATGTTGGAGGGTATACAAGGAGAAAGAGCAAGATACACTGTGTGTTTGAATACTTCGGCTGTGTGAAATACACACTGTATAACAGTTCTTGGATTCTTTTCCACAATATGAATGACACAAGTTTTAGGGGTTAAAATTACAAACATTATGTTTGTGTTGCAACATGCACATCCTGTTTTTAGATAGATTTTTTTTTAAAGTCACGCTAGATCAAGCAGTGCCAAATATGGTAATAGAATTAAACTACAAAATTCCTTACAATTGTGTCATCATGGCTTGAAAGAATCTTTTATACTGCACTCCCTGGATTGTTACATCCATGGAACCAAGTTTATTGTGCCAAGTTAACTAATTGTCCCTAGATTTCCTTTCAGTGTAAAATAGTTTTCTGTTTAATACACACATGTGATTTCAGGTAAAAAATACCAAGCACCCTACTCACATACCTGAAGGTCATGTAAGACTCCCCACCCCACCTGCAAAAAACACATGGTGTGTGTTTGTTTGATTAAGAATAATAATTTTATTATTTATACTCCGCCCATCTGACTGGGTTCCCCCACTCTGATTAATTGTGCGGTCTACCAGATCTTGTTAAAAAGTCCTGGGAAATCCAGCATTAATCTTTTAACTGGACATGTTGTTCAGTGGTGCACCAACTACCTGGTGGTTTGCTACCCAGTGGTGGTGGGCAGAGGGAGGCAGGAATGGTCATCTGTAGCCTAGCAGACATCCACCTTCAAAATAGCTGGTGGAAATGTGCTTCCTGAAATGACAAATCTGAATTTCTGAACCTAAGGAACACAACATGCACATGCAGCTGCAGCTTTAGTGAATGTTTGTTCAGATTAATTTGCACTGACTACAATGTGGAAATACTGAAACTTATGTAGCCTAGCTCTGATCCTATTGAGTTTAGGAATGCAAGTGTTTCCTACTGTAGGAGAGAAAATGGCAGACACCAATGTTGGTCTGTAGCTCCCAGTTAAGCCATTCTAATGATCTACTGTTCATCCTGGTCAGTGATATAAACTCTTGATGGTCAGCATTTCTTCACTTACAGATGCCCCCTAAGCTTTATTAACAACCCACCAAATCAAAATATAAACTGGTTGCTTCTTTCCTAGGTAATGTTTTACCCCTGCCCCTAATAGAAACATATAATGCATGCATGTTCTCTCTCTCTCTCTCTCTCTCTCTCTCTCTCACACACACACACACACACACACACTTTTTCTAAGAAGTCTGAGTAAAAATGGACCATCCAATTTCAGTAACAGTCAAATAGTAGAAATCATGGATCCAGTGCTTCAGAAAAAATTAATACGCTCCAGCTATCAGGAGTAAGGGAAACATCATCTTAGGGCAGCAATCTTCCAGCATATGTCCTCAGATGTTGTTTGACTACAGCTTCTATCACCCGTAGCCAGTTTAGTTAATGGCCAAGGATGGAAGAAATCATAGCTGAACAAGATAGGAGAGAACGTATCTTAGAGAACAACATTTTCTACTTGAGCTTTAAGAGACCAAGGTGTACTACAAATGCGGCATAAATTAAATATATTTCATGGCTTTTATACTCTCCCCCCCCAAAAAAAAAACCTTTCAAAATTACTGATCCAATAAGCTCATTGCCCAAATCAGTTTTGCACCAATTGATTAAATAATATAGTATTGCATTACTTATGTGATTATTCCTTTTCCAATGATCCGTTTGAGAGTATAAAATAGGCCTACTTTTTATATTAAAAAATCTATCTTCTTTTTCTTTCTTTTATAACCTGCCCTTCACCAGTAGGTCCTGGGCATGGTTAAAACAATTTAATGTTCAGAGATTAAAATCAATTAAAAGCAAAGGAACACAGGAATAAGGTGGGTCCTCCTTTGTAGGTCAGCCATACTTTGTAAAAATGTTTGTATTTATAGCTAAATGCAGAGAAACATTTGTTCTGTCCAACCCCTAAGTTTGTCTGCGCATGTGTGAGTTTGAATGAGAGAGAGAGAGAGAGAGAGAGAGAGAGGCGCTTCTGCACAGTGACGTTAATGAGAGCTGCTAGGTCATTGGTCTGAAAGGTGCTTTGTGTCAGTCTACACAAACTCAATGGAATGATAGGTACTGGCAAAAACACAGTTTTCTGTGCTTCACCCACTTCCATTTTTGGCTAATAAGCTAAGACTTGGCAACAGTAAAAGAGGGAAGAGATAGGAACAAATTGTACACTCATGTAGTACCAAAAAAATTGCTCTGTAATTTGTTGCTCTTATGTTCAATTTAAAATGCAATTAGTGATTATGAACCATGTCATGAGCATGCATCTGCTCAGTGGGCTGTTGCACATTAGGGTCTTGCCATACAGTGTAGCTGCCATTTGGAGAGACTTGCAAGTAGCCTGTGTCTGGTGAATGTCATGAGAGGTGAATCTTAGGTAGGCAAGTTTCAAAGTATGGTAGAAAATGTCTGCAAAAACAGAAGGACATTTCTAATCATTTTAGTGAGCAAGAGAAGCCTAAGTTATGTGGAGTTTATGGGATTTTGGCACAGTGGCATAACTAAGAGTAAGTAGGAGTAAACTCTGGTAGTAGGAGTAAACTCCCATTATACAGTTCTATTTTATACAGGACTATTTTATTGATAAATGTTAGACAAAAGAATGAGTGAAACAATATTATAATCTTATAAGGTTTATTTTTATGGCTGGATTTAACTAAACTGTGCTAAAAACAAGTCCCCCTAGCACAATGGGATTCACCCCACATGCCCTCCCCAAATCCGTTTGGGAAGGCCAGGAGAACCCTCAGAACTTGATAAGAGGGACCAAAGTTCAGCATAATAGGACATGTTTTCCATGTGGAAGGTTCAATTTCTGATATTCTAGTTAAAAAGAATCCAGTGGCAGGTAATGGGTGAGAAAGCCTCTGCCTGAGACTCTGGAAAGTTAGAATCATAGAATCATAGAGTTGCTTAAAGTTGCTTAAAGTCAGAGCAGACAGTTCCGAACTTGATGGACAAACAGTCTTACTTGGTCTAAGGCATCTTCTACATTTCTGCTTTTTTATTTGGAATCTCTTCATTATCTATACTTGCGACTGTTTCAGAAAGAGTTTTCATTCCTCATCAGATTGTTTGTGTGCGCTCTGCCAGGAACTTCTCTTGCAGAAGCTTCTGTGAATTACTTCACTGGCAAAGAAGGATAGCCTTAACAAATAAGCAGAGCAAGACTGCAGTTTTGTTCACACATACCGGAGAAGTAGCCCCATGAAATTCAGTGGCATTTCTGAGTAGTTCACGTATAGGATTAAAGCTGTAAGACCATGATTTCTGATACATGTGCAGTTTTATATGTGGTTTGCAGCAATAACAAGCTCACTACAGAAATAAAAAATTATGTTTTATAATTTGTTGTCGATATTAAACACTACTGAAGAAACATTTGTTGTGGTCATGGACCAAATATGTTTACAAGTTGTTGTTTTTTTCACAGCACAACAAACACACCAGATGATGTTTCTAGTAGATATTCACGAGCAGCAGACAGAACAGGATATAACAGATATAGCAGGGATGCAAATTCTTCTGGAAACATTTTACCAAATAATTCTTTGGAAAAGAAGGTTGAAGACCTCGAAAAGGTAAGTGTGTAATCAGTCAGTGGGTGTGGGCAGGGAGTTCTGTAAAGCAAGTCACCAACACTGTGAAGACCTTGGTGCGGTTGCCACCGAATAGAAGCTACTTCAGAAAGTAGAAACACCTAGATATTGACGTCCAACTAAGATCTTAACAATTGTGTAGGTTCATATTGAAGCAGATAATTTCCTTCAAAATCAGCACTTTGAATCTGGGCCAGTTGGATTTTCTAAGCAGTCTTTCCAGGGACCTTTATGTATCATACATTGCAAGAATCAAACCTGATTATTATAAAGGCATATATTATGTATGAATAAAACTGGCCAGTTCACGTGATACTTTGTGCATCTGACACCAGTATTGTTGAGCTTAGTGAACTGACTGTTTGTCTCAGATTTTAAAGAACATGTATATTCTTTCCCAATAAAGTATTTTTGAAAACAAAATGGATAAAAATCAAATGACCCTTTTTCCAAAAAATGAAATTGGATTTTTAAAATTTCAGAATATTGACTATGATCCTCTGTCTCAAACATGCACACTGCATACTTTTCTATGTAAAACAATGAATCGGGGGGATTATTTATTTTTTAAGAAGAGGCATAAATATGACTCGAGACATCATGTATTTATTGTGCAAATTATGACTATATAGACTCTCAATGAAATTGCATTCACAATTTCTCCTGTAAATAAATGTTAATTACATAGTGCAAAAGATGTGACCAGCAGTTATTAATTACATTCCATATATAATATAAAGGCCTTATGAGGCTACAAACAGCTGTGCATTAATGCTTATGGCAACCAATTGCATGCTTTTGCAGGAAGTGGTGAAATGGAAAGTTAGAAACTTGATTGAAATTAATTATTTTCATCATCTTGATTTAAATCAGCCCACTCTGGATAATAGAAGTAAAGCCTGTGATATGTCTATATTGGTGTGTTATTACATGCAGCATATTTTGGGTCTAGAGCTGAATTCCTAAATTCCATTGAATTTTAAACTTGATTACATTTACTTTGTATGTCTGTTCTTTGCATTGTTCTTAAAATAAATATTATCTATTTTATTTTTTGAAGGAGCTAGCAAAGGAGAGACAAGAAAACATCAGGCTTGTGAGGATAACACAAGACAAAGAGGAGTTAATTGGGAAACTGAAGGAGGAAATTGATTTATTAAACAGGGTAAGTACTTGTTTGCTGTGGGATACAGTTGTACCTTGGTTTACGAACTTAATCCATTCCGGAAGTCCGTTCTTAAACCAAAGCATTCTTAAACCAAGGCGTGCTTTCCCATAGCAGCGGTGGGACACAATTTACAAGTGGAACACAATAGGAAGCAGAACATGTTCTGCTTCCAAGGCAAAGTTCACAAACCAAAACACCTACTTCTGGGTTTGCAGTGTTCTTAATCCAAGTTGTTCCTAAAGTAAGCTGTTCTGAAACCAAGGTACCACTGTATGAGAAATTCCCCAGAATTTGGGGACAGTGCACACACCTTCCAGTCTGGGACTTACTCCTGTAAGTAATACCACTTTCTGGTTATTGGTTTATTTTTACATTTTTATCCTGTCCTTTCTCCTGAGCTCAGGTGGTGTATTTTGTGTCCTGCATTATGTGGCTCTCATTTTTGTCAACCAGACAGTTCCCAGTGAGTCTCTTTGAGTTACCTGGCATCTTTTCATCTCCAAACTGCTTGTTCCTATTGATGGTTTTTGCTTCTGCATTCAGGTGACCTTCCTGCTGGTTTCAGGTGAAGGGCTTCTTGCTGATGTACAGTAATCTTGCAATTTACCAGGGGGTACTTTCTGCGGATTGCACCTAAAGCAAAATTACACAGTGTCAAAATACATTGAGTTCAGTGGTGGGTGGCATTGCCAAAGTCTTTCTTCCCGACACCTGCCTCTCTTCCATCCCTTTTTAAATTTTGCTTGTTTATTTATTTATTTAACCAAGTGCATAAAGCTTAATGCACACAACTTAAAAGTGTGTAAGTTGCAGTCTTACTATACTGTAAAAAGAGGCAATCTGTCAAGAACATTTTCAACAGAAACCAAAGTTCCTTTTCTCAAGAAAGTTGCCCCTCTCCAAAAAAGCACCTGTATGTGTAATCTCCAGTTTGAGCCAAAGAAAGCCATCACTGAGCTGAGCAACACTATCTTTTTATGCCCCAGGACAGCTCTGGAGTAGAAAGAGATGGTAGGGGGTAGCAGTGTGTGTGTGTGCATGCGTGTGTGCATGTGCTGGCTGTTCCTGCTTCCCTGCTAAGTGTGTGTATATACTCCATGGATTTTCAAGTGTATGTGTTCACCTGCAAGACATGTACACATGCACACTCGCAGGCAGCCCTTGCAGGAGTGACCAACCCTCAGTGTAGCCCTTGGGCCAAAAAGATAAGCTACCCCATCCTAATTGGTTGAGAACCCTAGCACCAGTTGACGGACACTTTGTTATTTGACTCTGGAATGTGTATGGTGCTTTTGTTCCCTTGAACAATAAACATTTAATTCTTAAATTAGGTATGTAATTTTGAAAAGGAATCTTAATTAAATAGGAAATAAATCCCATATATGACTGACTCCTTCCTTTTGACTTGCCTTGAGTATTTAAGTTGCAGACAGTTGTTGTGGTTGGACCATGTCCAAGTAGCTCATTCTTTAAGTCATTTTTGGAATGTTATTTCTGCTGCATAAACATTCCACAAAGTAAGCGTATGTATGTGTGTGAGAAAGAAAGTATTTTATATATACACACACACAATTATGTCCTTATGTGAGCTTCTTGTGTGCTGTATCTGTGCCACCTGTCTGGATATTATGTGTTTGATTATGGATTTCCTGCATCAGGATTTGACAAGATGGCTTAAAAGCCCCTGCTCTAGTTCTTTTGATACAAATTAGCCAAGACAAAAGCAAACCTGAGTCTATTGTAATGAAAAACTAGTTGCTTTCCTTTTCTTCCTAATACATATGACTTCTGAAATGGACTTTTTTTTTAACCATAGTGGATGCTTTAACCCAGGAATGAGAAACATGTGGCCCTCCAATTGTAGTTGGACGTCATCCCTCTTCATCCTTGACCACTGGGTATTTTGGCTAGGGCTGATGGGAATTGGAGCCTAACAACATCTGGAAGGCCACATGTTCCCGACCCCAGATGAAGTTAGCTGCTGACCTCAAAGTGCTGTCCTGACATGACTGCTTTGTTTTTGAAATTTGATTTCACGTCATTCTTTACTTGCTTTCAATTAGCTTTTGCTCATTTCTTATGGGCCACTAACCTTTAAATCTCACTTCTCCCCACCTTTTCCTCTCTTGAGATACTGGAAGGTATCCAGATGCCCATTGTATGGATGGAAGGGAGAAATGTGCACAGCTGGTGTTTTTTAGGGTACTGCTACAGTTGATGGGGCATGCAGCTGTGGTGGGTAGAGTTATTTTATTTTATTTTATTTTATTAAATTTTATACACCATTTGAGTGTAAAAAAGGAGAAGCTTCAAAGCAGTTTACAAAAATGATGTGAACACTTCTAAGAACTCTCCAGCTGAATGCCCAGAGTTCCATATGTTCCAACAATTTACAGGAGAAAACAGGAACATGCTTGTAACAACCATATTCTCATACCAAGGTAAAGGTAAAGGGACCCCTGACAATTAAGTCCAGTAGTGAACAACTCTGGGGTTGCGGTGCTCATCTCACTTTACTGGCCGAGGGAGCCAGCGTTTGTCCGCAGATAGTTTTTCTGGTTCATGTGGCCAGTATGACTAAGCCGCTTCTGGCGAAACCAGAGCAGCGCACAGAAACGCCGTTTACCTTCTCTCCAGAGTGATACCTATTTATCTACTTGCACTGCGTGCTTTCAAACTGCTAGGTTGGCAGGAACTGGGACCGAACAATAGGAGCTCACCCATTGTGGGGATTCGAAACGCCAACCTTTCGATCGGCAAGCCCAAGCGGCACAGTGGTTTAACGCACAGTGCCACCCACATCCCTCTCATACCAAACCCACTATTTTATCTCATGTGCCCACTCTTCAACAGCCTTGTTGAGGTGCTTGTTTTAAATTTGTTCTTTAAAGAACCCAGCCAGATGGGTGGGGTAAAAATAATACGCACGCGCACACACACAAAATTAACATCACCGGGGGGAGAGGGCTGTGTCTCCTGTCCTTGCCTATGGGGCACCTGCCAATTCACCACCACATTTTGGAGCATGTCTGCAAAGGTGAAGCCTGTTGAATGGGTACCACCTGTTCTGAACTGGAATCCAGATTGTACAGTGAGCATGCATTTGGCAAACTTCTTCCCTGGAGACATGCCCACAGCTTGGGAGTGGGTAGGGGATAAAACAGTATGGGCAGGGCCACCATGTGGCATGATAATTGCATGGAGAGAAGAACACTTCAATTAGGCTATGAGTGTGGCACAATCTTGTTTGTGCCACACTCATAGCCTTCATACACCATGACACCTTGTTGTTCATGTGTGGTTATGTGCATGTGCATTAGAGACAAGATTCGACCACCTCCCCAGACCCACTCAGATTACATTTCTACATTTTTGTTCTTATTACTTATTAGATTTTTCTTCTGCCCTTCCTCTTAAAGAAGCCAAACACTACAAACATTGAAATGAGAGCAATTCAAGAGTTAAAAACATTAAAAAAAATAAAATTCAAAGTTGCCAGAATACAATAAACCAATAAAATACAGGGTAAAACTTAGATAGGAAAAGCTTCAATAAAAACAACCAGTTAAAACCAATTAGAGCATATTTATTTGTCAGTGTATAACCTAAAGGCCTGTATAAATAAATGTGTCTTTGCCAGATGGCAGAAGATCATCTTTGGGAGGGGGCAGAACCCTGAACAATGACAATACTAGCAACTCTCATTAACACAATTTTAGCAGGCCATTCCTAAAATGCAAACATAGGGGCAAGGATTTACCGGGGGCAGGTTTCAGACAATAAGGTGTTTCCTGGAAAATTAGGTACAGTAGTGCATAAGTAACAGTTGGAGCAGATGTCACTTAATGCAGAAATCTCCTTTGTATTGCTGGCAAAGAACACAAGCTTTTCTAGGCTTTTATTTCATCTCCTCTCCAGTGCCTGAAGGATCCCCCACCCTTCCTGGCTTGCACGACGATTCCCAATTTTACCCTTTATCTGTTTTCCCATCTTTTCATATATATGGCACTTGGCAAAATGCTCGAGAAGCATTTTTAAGTTTCCATCCTTGGGCCCAGCAGCTAATTTGGAAAGAATGTTTGGACTACTGGTAATAATGTAAAGTAGTTAAAATATAGTTATAACTATTCTGGCACAGAAAAAAAATTCCCATGTCTAGAAGTATGGACTCAGTAACACAACAACATTGTACGCATAACCATTTGCTGCTGGTGTCCAGTTACCCCAGACGCAAAAACCTCAAAAGAGAGAGTATGCACCATTCCACAGTGCTGCTGGTGGTAATATCGTCGTTTCTCACCCATGGTGTGATAACCATTAAGTGTGCCATTCCACTTAGCAGGAATCTTGCTCCTAGCCAAATTCAAATTGTGCCTCAAACTCAAAAAAGACATTGTGCACCACTGCCTTCATGTCAGCTTTCTTGCACTAATAGTACATTGGATCTCACCCATGGTGTTTGGTCATGTGCAGGGAATCTAGGACATTGCATGTCACAAAAAGTACTCCTTAATCAACATTACTTGATCTGTAATAAACCCAATCTTTAATGAGAAAAATACTGGGCATAAGTGGACATTGTGAGGAGGGAAATAGATGCTTTGCGATTGTGCAGACATGGGGGGGGGGGTTAACTAGGGCAAGATGTAGGAGGGCATTGACCCTTTCTCTACTAGAAACCTGCATCAGTTTGGGCCTCTGGTGTGTCTGCATCAGGTTATAGTCTGAAGGTGAACAGCAGGTGTGGGGGCCCTGATTCGGACTGCAGTGGGAGTCCCAATTTGGAAAAGACACTGGCATCACATGACTGAGGTCCCATCTGGTTTGCCTTTGAAATTTGTCGTGGTTTCAGGCATAAAAGTAACAGAAGCAGCATGCTAACCATTTTTAATATGTGAAGATTTTTCCATTACGAAAGAGCAGTTCAGTAAGTAACATTGATCACACATTTCAAGCACAACCATCCATTTAGGCATTCTCTTTTCAGAGTTAAGAGAGCTCTAATTTTTCAAGTGTATATAACACAAAACATTTTACTAATCTTGCAAATTTTGATTTACTTCCGCAATTCAGATTACATTGTACATGCTTGTAGCAAAATACATTTATGTAGTAATGGGATATTTGCTTTACTCAATGTAAATTTGAAAGCTGTTAATGCCCATATATCTTAAACTTGTTTGTGTTTAGCAATCAGCTTTTGTTGTCTGCCACTTTGCTCTTATATAGTAATGTGCTATAATCCAGGCCATTAAGCAAATGAATTGATGAATTAATAACTGTACACCTTGCTATGTTTCCTTCTCAAAGGACCTAGATGATATAGAAGATGAAAACGAGCAATTAAAGCAGGAAAATAAGACACTCTTAAAAGTTGTTGGACAGCTGACAAGGTAGAAGTTGAAAGACTCAACAACGAATGAAATATGAAAACTACTGATTGAATGTTTCAAGATCAAGGCTACAATATGTCTTTGCTGCAATGTGTCAGAACAACTGTCTTTCTATTTATTATTACTGAGGGGAGTAGAATGAATGTTTTGCATAATACTCTTCCTTCAATGAAATAGATTCAGATTTTGTGAGTACTTCTACACTCACTCCCTTGCATTTTCCAAGTTAATTAATTCAAACACAGACATCTCAAACGTCATGTTCTTGATTGTTCTGTATGTATTTTGAATGCGTATTATCCAGCTTTTAAGAGCATTTGATTGCCAAGATTGAATTTTGGTCTATACAAACATCACTTTTTTGTCTTTGCCACTCTAAATGAGTGAAAGTAATTGGAGTAAACTTTGTTTACACAGATTCAAAATATATATTTTGCTACGTGTAAAGTGTGGGTGCCTTACTACAGTACTGATGTGAAACATTTTACAGCTGTGTTACTTATTCTACAAAGAATCCTGTATTTTGTGATTTTATTTTGTACTATATCTGAAATACTGACAATGGTATATAGTATCTCCCACCCCCTGTATAGCTGCTTTGTGACAGGAAAAAAAATGTTTTATAAATCATCAATCACCAATCGTTATCAACACTAGTAGTCTTTAGGAAAATGTCTGTGTCGTGTATTATAGGTTAATCACAATGCTTGCGTGTCCACAGGAAAAAATATTCTTTTATACAAGGGGAAATCCACTCTTTCCAGTTAACAAACGCTATGGCCTGGTTCAGATACAATGATCATGGTCCATTAAACCATAGTATTGAACTGAGAACAATGAGTCTTCATTTCATATCCTGGTTTGCAGTCAGAGATTCAGTGGGAAACTGGTTTAAGACACCTCCCCCCCCAAGCATTGCATCACAGTGCATGAGGGAACGAAATGTGGGAGAGTGCAGGACAACGTTTGTTCTCAGTCCAATAAGCCATGGTTTATTGGATTGAAACTGTTACGGCTGAATCTCACCTCTATGAGAGTGGTATGCTATGGTTTACATCAATTATTTCTATCATGCAAAATTTAATAAAGGATAGTGGATCATTTTGCAAGTTTTATGAGCATTGGTATTAAATGGATTATCAGGATTATTTGTGATTCATAATGGTTTTTGAAGCTGTGATAAAATTTGTTAATATAGTACAAAAGGGAAGTTCATGATTTTTGGGCCCTCTAAAAGTATTATAGATAAACATCTGGAATAACACTAATATTTGTTAAAATAAAGTATGTTGCATGTTCTGTTACACACTAACATCCGTTGTCTGCATCAATATTTTATGTTACGAACAATGAAATATCACTTATAAACCACTGGTGCCAGATCTTATCTTGGGAGTGCACCGTTCCCTTTTGATTTAAATATAAATGCTGTTAGTCCTGAGAACAATCTGGCCTTGAGAACAGAGTAAAGCCCCTACCAAACCCAAAGCCTTTTCTGATGTGAAGTGAAGTGGAGCTCTGTGCCCTATATGAAGAAAGGCATTGCAAGTACTGCTTAGCAGTGTATGCTACGGATGGAACTGGTGTTCCTGTGGTGCTGCAGCCTCTATAATAATAAGCCACAAGGCAATAATAAGCCACAAGGCTTTGGGAAGAAGTTTTCATGGCATGTTAGTAGTGCAGTGGTTCTCAAATGTTGTGCCATTGGGAGAGGCAAGGAGAGCAACTTGAAATATTAAGCTACATATTGGATGCTTCGACTGTTCTAACCGCTACTCTACACTCCTTATAGCAGGTAATTCTCCTCTGGGCCTGTATTTGGGAAATAACATTGTCCCAAGTTGGGGGTAGTAGGGATGCATCAGGATTTTGTGATATAGACTGTGCTTCTTACTGTGGGGAATGTCTCAGAAACCACTGTTACCAAGAAACAATGTCCTATCCCTGAACTGTGATGGACGGGGTAAACAAACAAAAAAGTGGGCATGACTCTTGAGGCAATCTCTGTTAGGCTACCCTAACAGCGCCTTTCCGTTTGAGAGGTGATGAAATACACATTTGTGAGTGCAAGAGTGAACCATGCCTTGAACTTTAATCCAAAACAAAAGCCCTATGCCTCACTTACAAAAGTTTGAGGAAACTGTTAGAAAACAAAGAAGAGTTTGAAGAAGAGTTTGGATTTGATATCCCGCTTTATCACTACCCGAAGGAGTCTCAAAGCGGCTAACATTCTCCTTTCCCTTCCTCCTCCACGACAAACACTCTGTGAGGTGAGTGGGGCTGAGAGACTTCAGAGAAGTGTGACTAGCCCAAGGTCACCCAGCAGCTGCATGTGGAGGAGCGGGGAATTGAACCTGGTTCACCAGATTACGAGTCTACCGCTCTTAACCACCACACCATGGCTCTGGTGCAACGAGGCATGTCATGGTGGCTCTGGTGTTACGAGGCATGTAAACTTAATTATATGCATATATTTAATGTAAAATAACATTTGCATGGAAGAATGGGGTTGCGTTTGGTTCTCTGGGATGGTTGTTGAGGCTGCAACTCTAATCCCATTTACCTGGGAGTAAGTTGCATTGCACTCACTTCTGAGTAGGCATATACTGGGTTGCCCTATGAATTTAGCAATTGTTGGCATGTTGACTTCAGTTAACACAGTGTTGCTCTTTGCTCAAAGCACAAACCATTAAAACAAGCCATGAAAATGTCATGTGTAGATCTGCATAAATGAGTGGTGTTATTCAACAGCTTATACGTTCTCACTCTTCATCCTGGACTAGAGGACCAAGCCCTGAGTACACATATTCTATAGAAATGAGCCTCAAGATGTCTAGGGTTTCCAGCCATATTCTTAAGGGATTGTCCTTTGTTTCAAAAATCGTGGTGGTCAGTTCTTGAAGCAAAATTGTTAATTTCTCCAACAGATCGTTGGTTCACAAAAAGAACAATATACCTGACTTCCTCTCTCCCTTTACTTCTACTCCAAAAAATATGACATGCATTAATTACCTAATATATAGCTGGCAGTTCTAAATGTTTTGAGTTGCAAGATGGAGAGGAATTGCAGGCAAGCAGTGTTGTCTTATCTGCTTTAATTTTGGACTACCTGGTGCGCTGTGACTCATTGACAGTTTCATTCGATAAGCATCCATATATGAAGCCTCAGATGATTTTATTGTAACTGCTTCAATATGCCTTTAGCATGCTTGATATCACAGTGAGACAAAAGCATGCTGCAGTAAGTATAAGGGAAAGTATAGAACCTGTTACCTTCAAACTGAAACACAAACACACATACACAACTACAGTGGTGCCCCGCAAGACGAATGCCTCGCAAGACGGAAAACTCGCTAGACGAAAGAGTTTTCCGTTTTGGAGGTGCCTCGCAAAACGAATCTGCTATGGGCTTGCTTCGCAAGACGAAAATGTCTTGCGAGTTCCTGGGTTTTTTTTCCTTTTCCCCCTCTTTTTCTAAGTCGCTAAGCCGCTTATCTGCTTATCAGATAAGCTGATAAACTGCTAAAAGCCGCTAAAAGCCGCTAATAGCGCTAATCCGCTAATCCCATCAATGGGCTTGCTTCGCAAGACGAAAAAACCGCTAGACGAAGAGACTCCCAGAACGGATTCTTTTCGTCTTGCGAGGCACCACTGTATTTGTTTCTGAAGCAAGATCTAACTCAGGGTTTCCCAAATTTGAGTGTCTCAAGCTGTTTTTGGACTACAAATCCCATCATCCCTAGCTGGCAGGACCAATGGTCAGGGATGATGGGAACTGTAGTCCCCAAACAGCAGGAGACCCAAGTTTGGGAAACTCTGGTCTCATTCCAGTTAACGGGGAAAAATTATATGATCATGTAACTTTAATTTTTTTCCAAGGAGGCAGATGGGGTGCATTTTCTATAAAGTGTTGGATTTTAGTCTGTGGTATCAGATTCTCCGTATTCTTATAGAACTTCTCATTTTTATATCTTTCAGAGGGATTGATCAGGGGATAGAGATGGGTAAGGTTCATTCACTTTTGGCATCTAAACCTGATGTGTTATCATCCAGCAGATAGCAACACTTCACTCTCAATCTGTAGCATGACCTAGTTTGGCTCCAGCTGTATTGTACAGTATTCCACTTCCTGTTAGCTGCAAGGCTGAAGATTTCCAGAATCCCTTCAATGAGATCAGGATTCAATGTTTGTGAAAGAGTACACACAAAGAGATGAAGTAATGGAATACGTGCCCATTCTCAATTCCCTCCAGGACCCTTTTCTAATGTCAAAACTGTTGGCCTTGTGCCTGAGATGTTACTAATGTTTCCATGGCTGTGATAGTGAGAGGGGTAGGACTTACCAGCAGAAGCATGTTATGCACAGTAAAGCTTGCAGAATCAAAGAGAAACTGAATAAGTACATTGCTGAATTACACAAATGACTACCAAACTTCTCTTTAAAATGTCCACATCTGTTAATCCCAGCCACCTTTATTGTTGTATACATATCATATGCAAACCAGTTGTGTTTGCAGTAATTACTCGCCATAATTAAATGTGCAGCTGATGTACCACCACACACCACATAGCAACCTATGTAGAGCAATGCAAAGATTTCTTACTTCAATTGAAACAGTTGTCAATTGGTCTGTTGCTTATATTCTGTTCTAGTTTTGGATGTTGTTTGTTACTAGTACTCTGCAATAGCTGTTTCTAAAAATGATCTTTAGATGAAGCCCAGAGTTATAAAATTTATTAAGGTTTGTTTAAAAAAAAAGTCACTGAACCATCACTTAGCAATAAAGGAATATATATGCACACTTACTCTCTTTTAGTTACAGTTAATTATTGTTTTGTGTTGATAGACTTATTGAACACTTAGTAAGGTGTGTGCGTGCTTTTTTTACTTATCTGGAAACAGAATTGTTTTTTTAAAAAATTGAAGAGAGCCAGTCTTGCAGGAATCAAAGTATCCTGTGGGGTCCCTCATATTTTGACCCAGTTACATTTAACCAGGTATCC